GTCACACGTCTCAGCCACGGTTATGACACCTAACTGTGCCATAGATAAGGCCGAAGCGTGACAAACTTATAAACTCTCATACTGTTATACAGCAATAATATTTTATAATCATTATTATACACTAAAGTTAAATGTAAAGGATACTATTTCCACAAAACTTCCTCTGTGCAGATTAAAAAATATTTAGTAATAAAATCTTTCCTTTTTATAATATTAGAACAAATGGCTATTAAAATTTAAGGTAACCTAGTCTAAGCAAGATTTCTATTTAATTAAAAAGTGTTCAATTAAGCTTATTTAATATTAATAACCGTAAAGCTAACGATATTACAAATATAAGCATTTAATTCTTTAATTAATTTAAACTTATTGCTGTAAAATTTTTGGCAATACAAAAGACATCAACGAACTAATTGCCGAAATATTAGACTTCAACGCGTTTGGGTCAAGTTAATAACTTGACTACAGGATGATTTTCTACATAATGTTGTTGAATGAAATATAACTGCGATCTCAATTTAGTGTAATTTCATATTAATAATAATAAGATGAATAAACACTCGCATAACGCGTGGTTGACTAAGCCTTAGTCACCCTTAACTTGTGTAGGCTCAGAGCCTTTTTGGTGGGAACATATAATATGATTAGACGACTAAAAACACTGTTGCATAGATAATAAAAATCATATGTAAAGGAAATATGGGTAATACACATAAGCATCGTTTTCTAATAATAACGGAGATATGCTTTAGAACTCACGTTTTCTACGACAGGATATTGCTTGAACGTCCTTCCTTTTGCATGCAACCGTTTCAAGAATATTATAAATCAATTAGTTTGTTTTGGTCATAAAATTGGTAGGTACTGTTAGGAAGAAAATCTGAAAATATGCTATTGTATTGACGCAACACTAGCTTTATTAAAATGTTGACATTTATATCCCATCACTATTAATTCTGACACTTGACTTTGTAACGAAAGCACGTCATTCGTGCGAAATGATTCTAACTAAAACTGTCTAAAAGAACGTTGTAATAATTACCCAAATCACTATATTATGATGGGTCATGGTCAAGCGATAGTTTATTCATAGCAAAGAAAAGATTTGTCATAAAAAATCTACACTAAGTAAATGTCTTAATGCCTATTGAACAACTCTAAGTAGGACATGTAAGTTTATTCTTTTTTTTTAATGCTCAATTCAGTCGCGCAAGTCAGTTTTTAAGCCTGTAAATAATTTTGTTATGATTAATAAATAAATATAAGTAGCGGTGTTCAAGCGAGAATTTTCCTCTATATGCAATTTGCTAACAAGAATTTTTCTCTATACTTACATAATTTGCTGTGTGGTCATACATAATTATTGACTTATCTGTATTAAGTTTACCGGTTACTTCATTCGTTAAGCTTAATTATATATGTGCTGATTAGCTAAGTAGGTTTACAATTGCTATAAAATTAGAAGATTGCAGATGAGTTGCCAACCTTTCAGGGAGATATAGATGCCTAGAAAAAGGAAACTCTTTCCTATACGTACTTCCGCGCCAAAACCTCTTTTTATTCTAATTCCATTTTAGTTCCACAACTCATAGACTTCTAGACTCCTTAAAAGGAGACAAATTGAATGATGCTTCTCTTCAAAATCGGTCTTTCCTATAGGCTACAGTTCACAATGGAATATGCACTAATATTTACCTCCAAGTTAGACGAGCAAAAAATTACTTCTCGCCATTTTACGTTGAAAAGAGGTAACGCAATTAGTGACATGAATTTTATAAAACGGTGTCAAGATATATTCAATTAACTATTTTTATCATGCAATTGCTGGTATTAAAAATAATTATAATACAGGCCTTGTTATAACTTTCACGTTTTCAACACAATTTTAATACTAATATTACGATATCACGACATACGGTCATAATATTTATATAAAACATCACGATTAGGGATGTGCGAATAACACGAAGTTACGAATTATTCGAGCGGGAATTGATTCAATTCTAATGATATTCCCACACCCCTAATAATGATATAAGTTGTATAATAATCTTGGTATTATCACGAATGTTTAGATGAATCGATGGATGGATGTTTTAGTAGGTTTGTAACCTCCAGAACGGCTTCATGGATCTCACTGAAATTTAGCATAGATGTAGAACATAGCCGGGAAGAACATACTAATTAGGTTTGTTTTTCCACGAGGACGGATACGCGGTTGACAGCTAGTTATGACACAAACAGACGGAAGATGTAATCAAAAACAATTGAAAGAGGAAAAATAAACTCTGATAAGTGAAAATAAAAATATTGCTAGTGTTCCCCGTTTACAGGAAACAAATGAATTGAAATATTTTCGTTCTCAGAAAAACAAACATTTCACAAAAACAAGGGTTTTGTTAAGTTCATTATTTCTCAAAATACCGAAAAGGAAGTATATAAAGAACATATATAAAGATATATTAAAGTAATTAAAAATCATTTTATATCAATACTTTATGAACTAAGTTAATGAGCTAAGTTATCTACAATTTTGCATTAATCGTAGTTATTTATCTTGGTTTATCTTTAACATGTACTATGTCATGTTTTAATTAACATAAACATATTCCTTTCGTGGTAAGCCACTGACCTGACTGATGTAAATATATATTATTATTCTGTAAGCAACTGCAGATTTTCAAATATACATAGGGAAGTGTCCTTTACTAAGGAGGCGGTATACGAACTATTTGTCATAAATTTACATTATATTTCGCTTTCATTTAACATTCATTTGTTTTTTAGTTATAATTTATCCAAAAAAATATTTTTATCTCTGTCATTTTCTTTGACAAAAACAGAGACAACAATTAGTTTAGTGTTAGTACTTTGACAATAGAATTTCACGGTTTTAAATTACAACTAGCTATCGTCCGCAACTCCGTCCGCGTTTATGTTTCCTTCATGACTATGTTCTATAATATATGTATGCCAAATTTCATCGAGATCCGTTCAGCCTTTCTGGAGATACCTTCAAATAAATACCATCCAAACATTCGTATTTAAAATATGATAATAGTATGAAGCATGATAATATGAGTATGAAGACGAATATTTTTAATTCGTTTTTAATAACATTACCTAATGTTAATAAAAATGCGTTTTAACGTTCTTTTTCTTGAGTGAAAATTTTAATTTCGCTGGAGAAAAGAAGTATCGGGCGTTGGTCATCGGTTTGGATCAAGTCTCGATTTGCAGTTATGTCGATTGCGACGTCACACCGTGTTTAACCAGTTAGAAATGTTGAAGTTACATGTTGATCTGTCCCTACACGTTTAATGGTGTACATTTTATTTCATTTTGATAGCGACGTCTACTACAAAATTAAAGTAATTTAACAAAATATGATGCCATAAATATGAAACAGGAAAGACATTCATACTATTAAACGTAATTTTTCTACCAACAGTTTGTACTTTTAGGAAGAAAATCCGAAATATGGCAGTGTATTAACCCAATACTAGCCTTATTAAAATGTCGACGTTTATGTCCCCTCACTAATCATTCTGACACTTGACTTTGTAACGATAGCACGTCATTCGCGCCAGCAGGGGCTCGTGCGAAAGGAATCTAACTAATAATATCTAAAAGTACTAAAATCGTATAGTTATAGTATAAAGTCTTACATAACCAAGGACAATACGAAGTTACGTATAATGTGGGTACATTTATTATAGAATTATTTCACGTATTGACTTGTAATATAATTTATTATAGTAAAACTAGCGGACCCGACAGACGATGTCCTGTCTACACGTCTTTAATTTGAATATTATTTAAAATTTGACACTGCGATGGTAGCGCCGTCTGTCGGATCCAATGTAAAACATTCCAAAATCAACAAACCATTCCCAGTTCCCTTTGAACACACACAAAAAATTTCATCAAAATCGGTCCAGTCGTTTGAGAGAAGTTCAGTGACATACACACTCACAGAAGAATTATATATATAAAGATGAATAAAAACACATTTATTGAATTAGTATCGATGTAAACTCACTTTCAATTTATAACACAAGAACGTTTACAAATGAACGATGAGACATTAGAACGTAAACATCGTACATTGATAACCGTTACGTACAAATTGAGCGGCGATGATGCCACAGAGAATAAATAATCAATTCCGCAACAGACTGACCCTGACGTCTAAAGACCTTTTTAATACTCCGCCTTCGCGGTTGTAAATTACACAATTTTATCCCTCTTTGCGAAAGACGATTAGTGAAATCGTTAGTGATGCCGCGAACGACTATTTATAACTTAGTAGCGGTCGCCTGCAACGAAATCCGCGCGAAATAAAAAAAAAACATTATATGTAGATTATATGTTCTTTCAGACTATGTTCTACATATGTGCCAAATCTCGTCAAGATCCGTTAAGCCGTTCTGGAGATACGTTTTAACAAACATCCATCCATAGCATTCGCATGTATAATATTACTTAGGTATGGAAATATAATTACAATACATAAAGCTATTAGTAATATTGGAAGATATTTACGATTGTTAGTAATATCACCTTGGATGAGGTTTTAATGAATCAAGAACATTAGTACACGCACAGTTTTTTGTTCTGAGAAATCACAGTCAATATTTTTTGTGAATAATATAATATATGTAAACTAACGCACAGGTTTTGGATATTACGTTATTATACTTATTTGTTTCTATATTCTAAGATTGTACCTACAGTAACTTGTCGAAATGGTAGATTATTTGTTACGTAATCTACGACCTGGGAAATAACAGTTTTATAAATAACAATCAATGTAACTTAAACCTTCTAACTGTATAACGCATTCCAAGAAAATGGCTTAAGTTTTCATTGTCAATACACACAACATGTATCAATTTACCATACATAAAAGTAACCTCGGAGGCGATGTATTCTGGGTACGATTTCACGTACCCGCATATAAGCTAAATATTTGAGTCTTATAATATTTTCAGACTCACCTCAGGCGGAGCGGCGAACTTCAGGTTGGCGAGAGAGCCGTGCGATCGACTTCTGTGTTCCTGTCTAATGCTGTACGAGAAGGCTCGCTCATTCAAATGTCCCTTCTTTCTGTAAATCCCACCGGCGTCCTCTACAGCTTCTAGGCCCGTCATGCTCTGAGCCGCCTTCATGGACGGCGGCTGCGGTTTTGAGCGGCGTGGGTCCACCGTGGCGTACTGCATGCGGCCCCGTCCAGGCGGTGGCACCGCGGGGAAGGGCCCGGGGGCCAGCGCCGCCGGCACCCGTCCTCTGTGGCCCAGCGTCGCTGGCCGCGCGTGGGGCAACGTAGCGGCTGGATGTGCGACCAAAACCATGGGATGGGCGGCTGCCCAGGCGGGGGGCGTCCGGCCCAGAGACCTACCGTTCATCATCGGGGCCGGTCCCGGCATGGTCGCGTACAACTCATCGGCGGAAGCGGATGACTTCTTTTTACTTTTTTTAGTGGTCGACTTCTTTTTCGGTTCCTCTGGCGGCGGCGGCGGGGGCGGCACGGAGGCAGGACGGGTTATCTGGCGCGGACGGGGCACTCGGGCCGGGTGCGGTATGTCATCGCTCGCGTCGTCGCGATCCACCTCCCCGACCCACACCTTGTGGTTCTCGTCCCCGTCGTACACCTCAAGCTCCTCCTCGGGCTCGGGGGGCAGCTGAGAGGGCGACCTCTCAGCCTCCAGACGCTTCGCATAAGAACTATCGGCGTAGGCGTGAAAACAACACCGCACGAGAGCGTTCGCCGCCGCCTCGCGACGACATATGAAAGCATGACACTCCAGCACTTTGATACCTTGCGTCCGGCGCAAAACCGCCGCGAACAAAGGCGGCCGTCGAGGAGCAGGGGCTCGTGCGAAAGGAGAGTCCAAGGGTAGGAATCTGGGCGCACCCTCGACGCTCACGCGGCGCACCGCCGCACAGTAGTGTAAACTCGATATCGGAAAAAATCTCGCAACCCGCGATCCGCTCTCGTCGACGTTCTCCAGTAGAATTCCGTTGGACCAGACCGACAGCCACGAGTCTATACCGCCGCCTGTCGCTCCCTTTTCCGGATACAACTCGCGCAAGGGCTCCTGGATTCCTTGTAGTCCGTCCTTGCTCTGCTGCGGCACCGCCGAGCCTAGGTACAGCACGCGGCACCTGCATATAGGAGTCGACTCCATTTCGTCACTACACTTATCACATGACACCAAATCACTCCGAAGGCACTACAAATTGATAATTGTTTTGTCGCTCGTAGCGTAAACGTGCGCTGGCCGCGAGACGGGCGCGGGTCTGAGTGAACGGAATTCAAGATGGCGGGAGGTGTGTGTCGCGGGGCGCGGGACGCGGGCTGCGGGACGAGAGGGGAGAGCGTACCTGCGCTTACGCACCTGTAAAGACGATCCGCGCGGGCGGGGTGTGGGGGTCCGCGGGATGGGTCGGCGCGCGATGGCGATGAACCGGCATCGTGTCAAATGAATCGTCGCGAATTCGGTCGCATTTCTCTTCGGCGACGGCGACGCGTCACCGCGCGCCCTGACGTGATAGAATGCCTCACTTTTATATTGCACTAGTGAAACCTGAAGGTCGGTAGGTCGATTGGAGATAATAGCATTTCTGTAGTCCCAAAGCAAAGGGATCGTGTCCGGTTCCTCTATATTTCCTACGGGCGGCGTCAACGGTGATATTATTTTGTACTGTGTAATTACAATAAAGTAATATATTAAACCACAGAATATTTGAGTGACATTATAAATGTAGGATTTTTCTGATAAAAGAGCTTTGGAGCCGGTTGGGTCTGAATAAATGTACTTATTGGAATGCGGAATGAAAACATTTAGTTTAAATTACTTGGCAGATCTCATTAGGTGACTTGTTTCTACACGAATGCCTGCGTTTGGTGATTATTAAGAATTCAATTACACAACAGTAAATGAGCAAGTTTCCTCGCGTAGTACATAACGGTTAGAATAATTACAAATGCGTGCATATCTTAACGATCGGAATTTGGAACATATCTGTATAAGTAGAACGAATGCCATGCAAAATTGCCTTGGAATTATAAAAAAACGGTACGAATTTTTCTGACCGTTTGAAATATGGGTAGTACAAAAAAATCTGTCGGAATCATTCTTGAGATACCGAAAATCGTTAGGGAAGGAAATTCTTACCAGGAGCGCTTTTGAAATTGAAATCTGAGGGACAATAACTATTGTGGTCCAAAAATGTATCCTTTTCTACAGTTTAATTATTGGTATGGTTGGAGATTGAGTTATCCAAATTTCTTACTTCTTACCAATATTATAAATGCGAATATTTGAACGTATATTGTGAGAAGGTATCATCAGAACGGCTCAAAGGATCTCGCTGAAATTTGGCATAGATGTATGTATAGAACATAGTATGGTAGAACATATAGGCTACTAAATAAGTTTTCTTCTTTAATTTTGCGGACGAAGTCGCGGGTGACAGCTATGTTTTATGATTTCAGTAAACTAATCAGCCTCAATAATTAAAATGCTACCATATTTACCGTACCGTACCGTATCATCTTCTTAAAGGCCGGCAACGCATCTGCGGTACCTCTGATATTACAGATGTCCATGGGCGCCGATGAACACCTCGGTGTTTCCGCTGCTCATTTGCTCTTTATTACTTAGTCCTCAGCATTATGCAGCGAGCTATTGCGCCTATGGAAAGAAAACTGTTTATCCACGATCTGTCTGCATTGCTATTTCCTTTAGTAGGTGCTAATGTCAGGCAGAAAATTAAACTCATGATATTATTCTACTTTTACTTTAATAACAATTCTTAGAAGTTGTCATCAAACTTCTCTTATCTCTACGGAGATTCGGCACATGTACTACTCCATACGTCTCTATCAGTCGTTATATCTCAATTCACCTCCTTACGCATATCCTTTTTCAAAGAATCCATCCATACTTTCTTTGGTATTTATGTTTATAGCTATACAAATTTAATCTCAAATCTCAATTTTCTAAAATATTAAGACATTAACACGATTGGTTAATGTCGGCGCACGACTCATGTACAAAACCCGTAGTTTTTACATAGACCTATATTGTCGCAATAATTTAAACCTAATTTCTTTACAATACAGTACCTGTTAGTTCATAAATATTATAAATTTTTACTTCTATGTGTTGTTTTTAATTATACAAACTTAATATAATATTAGAATAAGATTTGATTTGACGAGCTTCAATTCTGTATTGCGTCGTACAGAAAACAGTAGTTTCCAGGTAAATGAGCTTTGAGTTTACTTTAAGATCTGATTTAGTGCTGACCTGCAGAACTGAATTATATTTAATATTATTGCAAAAATACTATACTCTTAAAATATTCTATAATTAAAAAACAAAAAAATCGATTTCGTAAAATTACGCGACCACCAGTTTCTACTAATCAGGTATTGATTAACCGTGGGTTTCTCAGGCCAAAATCTCCGTTTAAAACATAATGTTATCTCTATGTTGTCAAAGAAAATGACAGGGATGACGATATGTTTTATACAGAGATTTTGATGTCAGAAACCCACGGTAAATTGTCTCGCTAGCAATCCTACAGCCTAATTAGTTTCCGATATTTTGACGTTTGCTTCTAATGTCGTACAATTTGCCACGAATACTTTTAATAATTAAGTTCGAATCAAATTTACGCCATTTTTGCTCAGCCGCATGCATTTGAATGTAATTCAATAAAACATTTAATGCATGTTCATCTAGACCGGGCCTTATAATTGTTGCTCCTGAATATATTTTGGATTTTACTCCAGGAAGAGAACATATAGTTAATGCGTTCTCGCTAAAAATTAGGAATAACAACTTTCGTGCAAGGGCATTGTGGTCCCACGACGTTATTATACAATGTCTTAATTGAATTTTGTTTACGTACACACGTGAAGCTGGTAGCAGTTCGACAAGACCAATTTCCTTTTCCTGATATTTTAGGGTCCATCTTGAATCATTCGGATCGTACTCTGGTGGTAAAATAAAATTGCGCGCTTGACTATTGACCTTCAATGGATTAATATTTTCAACTTCTGTACCGTCACTATTTCCTACACTATGTTCCATTTCTCCAGTTTTTCCTGAATCATTTTTTGATCCGCTTATTGTGTGATGAAGTAGATTAACATCATTTTTATTTATATCCAGTTCCATCGCACAATTTTCTATTTCTCTCACTGCTGAATCTAGATCACTAATGTCAGAACTATTTTTGGCTTCGTTAATTAGATCGATAAATTGTTTAGTGATGTTACTATGTTTCATAAACGAATCCTGCTTTTCCTTAAAGAATAATTGTTTATTATCAAACGCTTCTTGTAGTTGTTCCAATTTTTCTTCGTAGTTATCACCAAGTATTGACTCTAGAGCCATTATATTTTGATATTTAGTGACTAACATGGAAGAGTTATTTGCTGATGGATCATTTTCTTGATTATTGTTAGTCTTATCTTTTACACAATGGCTAGTTTTCGGAAGATTCTCTTTTGTAGTTGGATCTGGTAAATTTATGGTGTTGTTGCTTGATAAAGATATTCCATGTGAGTTTTTTGAACATCTTCTGGCTTTGGGAGATGAATCGGCAACTTCAATTTTACTTTTACTTTGGTTTATTCTCCCCTCTGCTTTAATCAAGTCTGGTATTTCTGTTATTTCTTTTAGAACTGCTTTAGCATCACTGTTTAGAGTTGAAATTGTACTGACTTTGTTTGTTTCTGAGCTCGATTGTGACTCAAATACTTCCTTGTTGGATGTGGAAGGTACATCTGGAAAGCAATTTTTAACAATTAGCGACTTAAAAGAAATATTTTTAAATGTCATCAGACCAATACATACTTTCGACTATTTCCGTGCTGCTTTGCTCTTCATCGAATATTATATTCAGTATCTTGATATAGTTGACTGCGTCTTCATAGGACACTATAAAATAAATTATTCTAGAACCAAAAGCATGTCAAATTACCATCTAAAACTTGTTTTATTGTGAGGGAAGTATCACCAGCTCAGAATTGGAAAAGAAATTTTTTAACAAACAACCCTCGGCGGTATTTCCAAACCGCTACGACTTAGTCTCCTTCAAAAAGGGAGTGTATCATCTCAAAGGCCGACAACACATCTGCAGTTCCTCTAGTATTATTGCTGATGTCCATGGGCGTCTGAACACATCGGTGTTCCCGTTGCTCGTTTGCCCCCTTATTTTATAAAAAAAAAACATAGCGAAGGTTGTAGTGTTTGCCAAATCGTATCATGTACTATCTTGTTGCTACACAAAAAGAGGCCAATAAAACAATAGTGGTCACAACTTACTTGTACTGTATTTTAGGTTAGCCAAATAAAGTTTTAAGTTTCCTGAGAATTCTTGTTTCGCAATACATTTCTTTATTTCTGGTAGTTTTTCGTTACCGGGAAAATGTACAAGAACTGGACCATCTGATGTTTTACGTAAAATTATCCAAGAATTCGGAACGCACACATATTTTTCAACAACTATGTTTGACGGTTCCAAAATTTCAATCACATGAAACTTAAACTGATTTTGTTTACTCATCTGAAAATAAATCATTAATTAATCGATAAAAATGTAAAGATTTAATACAGCGTCTTTACATGCGGATGTATAGACGTTATTTCCGTTTTAAAAAGTTTTCCTTCGTTACTCGAGTCTGCTGGGTTAGACAAAGCGCATTCGAAGCGATTCCATAGCGAATTTCAAAAATGTATGAAACTGACGCGCGGCAATCACATGACTTATCGAAAGTTATTGTCAGTTAGAAGCGAATGCACTTTGTCTAGCCCTCTGTGGAGATTGGATTATAGAACGGTGAAATTGTACGGACTTTTCTTCCTCCTGAGGTGGATTGTGACTCAAATACTTTCTTCTTGGAAGTAGATGATACATCTGGAAAGCAATTTTTAACAATTAGCGACTTAAAAGAAATACTTTTAAATGTCAACAGACCAATACATACTTTCGACTATTTCCGTGCTGCTTTGCTCTTCATCGAACATTATATTCAGTATCTTGGTATAGTTGATTGCATCTTCAAAGGACACTATAAAAACAAATAGTTTTAAGCACCAAAAGTATGTCAAATTAACCTACAATGAACACATCTTACTGATATAAATTTGAATGCTTGGATGGATGGACGGATGGATGTATGTTTGTTTGAAGGTGTCTCCGGATCTTAACGGAAGGCTTAACGGATCTTGATGAAATTTGGCACAGATGTAGAACATAGTCTGGAAGAACACAGTACTCATAAAGTTTTTATTTAATTCCGCGCGGACGGAGTCGCAGGCGCCAGCTAATAAAATGTTTACTTACTTGTACTGTATTTTATATTACCCAAATGAAGTGGTAAGTTTCCTGAGAATTCTTTTTTCTCAAAATATGTATTTATTTCTGGTATTTCTTCGTTAGCAGGAAAATGTACAAGAACTGGACCATCTGATGTTTCACGTAAAAATATCCGAGAATTCGGAACGCACACGTATTTTTCAAGATGTATGTTTGAATGTTCTAATAACTCAATCACATGAAAGTTAAACTCATTTTGTGGACTCATCTGGAAATAATTCATTTAAATAATCTATAAAAATGCTATATATCCACAGACTAGGTTATCGAACGAAAAAAAATGGTATTTCATAACGTATTCTTAATAGGTTAAAAAACTCTTTATATTTTTTAAATTTGGAACAAAATCTTTTACGATTAATTATAACCACGAATTGTCTTTTATTTTATTTTACAACTTTTCATTATTTTTTTAAACAGTTAATGTTGACACATTAAAACCGATTTTGTTCAAATTAAATTCTACACAACAACAATAAAATATCTAAAAATATCTTACGTTTAGCTAACTTTGTGTGTTGTCCAATTAATTGAATTCCAAAAAATAGTTGAAAAAGTTTAGGTAACACCGTTTTTACTGTAATTTCATCTTCTCTCAGTAAAATTGATGAGAAAAAATATTCGTTACGTTTACGTCGCGAGACGTCTGTTATCACGTACACAAGGCCACTGAGTGGATTTAATGTGAATAGATTAGCGAGTATGAAAGAGATAGTTATATATATCACAGTTTGTTTCATTTATTTGTCAGGCAGCCCGATAATTGCGTCACTTTTAATATATCTTACTAATATTATAATTGCAAATGTTTAGATCAGTGGTTCCCAAACTTATTTTGTCTCCTGTCCATTTTGAGATTTTTTTAGCGCCCCCATATTTAAACATATTTAAAAACCACTATAACTTCAAAATATATTAATTAATTATTGTGACCTATATATGTATATTAACAGAGAATTCTAAACGAAACTTCTACTATAACCCGCAACTTGAGACCTGCAGCGCCCACAAGGGGGCGTTATCGTCCACTTTGGGAAAGACTGGTTTAGATAGATGGATATTTGTTAGAAGGTATCTTCAGAACGGCTGCATGGATCTTACTGAAATTTGGCAATGATGTAGAACGCAGTCTTTTTCTTGTGTTTTGACATATAATATTAGCAATTTGATAATTTACAAATATTTCTTGTACCATTCCAACAAAGCTCTAGTCTTGTGCTAGCATATGGTTTACCACCATAGTTGAATGGCAGGATTCGGACAGCATTACAGCGAGGTGCAACGATTCTGGAGATAACTTCTTACAAACATCCATCCATCTATCCACACATTCGCATTTATAATATTAGTACGATTAAATTTATTAATATGTAATAAAATTTAAATAAATTTTTTTAAGGTTTTTTTGGGTTAGTAAAATTAAAATCAAAAACACATTTAACTCTTGTTTTAATCTTAACAAACACAATTACATACATTTAATATCATACAACTACATAAAAAACATATGTATGTTTTCCCCAAGTAAATACCATCACGGAACTTGACGCCAACGAATTTCAATATTATCTTTTATTAATAAAACACTACTCCCAAACTCCCATACAAAACTCTCCATACAAAGCCGGTCAGAGTTCTAATTAAAATCTATTATCAAATAGTAGATTATTCTTTTTTTTTATAACAGAAGGGGGCAAACGAGCAGCGGGAACACCGAGGTGTTCAACGACGCCCTTGGACATCAGCAATACCAGAGGAACCGCAGATTCGTTGCCGGCCTTTGAGAAGGTGATAAGCTACCTATTCACGGTGTTATTAAAAAAGTTTTGTGGAAGAATATTCAGATTTTTTTTATATCATAAGATGACAAACGAGTTGCCACCAGCGGGATTTGAAATTCATTATCGAATCGCTTCGAAGCGAATGCACTTTGTCTTACCCCCATGAAATCGCTAAAATAACGAATGATTGTGATACTATGGCTTTTTTATTTAATATATTCGTGCATTGTAATATTTTTTTATTGTTGCTGATTTTTTCAACGCAGTCATGTTGACATCACGTACATGGAAATCCATTTAATTAAGAAAACCTATAAATACTACAATAGTATTTATTTATCAATACTTCGGTGTCTTGAAATTGGGTTCATCTGCCGCTATCGGTGCTTTTCTCTTCTGTATAATATTCTGGATCTATAAAAGAAAAAACAAAAAAAATAATAAAAATAGCTACTATAATTAAATTAAGAATATTAATAGATTATTTTATTACTCACTTACATATATAAGTAGCCAAAGATCACAAAAAAATAACATTAAAAAAGCAAATCACAAATAATACTGTAATTTACCATAACTATCTAATTCACAAGACATTAATAAAATTAAAAAAAAAATTGAACTTAACAAAACAATAAAAACAATTATTATTCTCTTCATTCCTTAATACTATTAAATATTTTAAAAAAAACATTTTTATATTTTCATAAAAACATAATAATTTCTTTGATTAAAATGATACAGATAAAAAATATTTCTGTATGTTTGTATTAGAAAAAAAAAATACCTGTTGCCACTCTCTATCCAGTTCTGCTTTCTCGCTCTTGTCTCTGGTCTTCCTTGTCTTGCGGCCGTCCTGTGTCTTAACGCCGTACTGGAATGCGGCTTTCGGCAACGCTTCCTTACTACTCATGTATGCTGAATACTCTTCCTGAGTATCAAAGTCCCAACGACCTAGAAAACATTATCTATATATATAAAAGAAAGTCGTGTTAGTTACACTATTTATAACTCAAGAACGACTTTACCGATATGGTTGAAAATTGGTGAGGAGGTAGCTTAGAGCCAGGAGACGGACATTGGATACTATTTATTCACTTTGTTTTTTTTTTAATTTATGCCTTGAGCTGCTTTTTATTTAACTTATTAATATTATAAATGCGAATGTTTAGATAGATGTGATGTGAATGGATGGATGGGTGGGGTACACTAAACTAAGTCGCGGGCGACAGCTAGTTTGATAATAAAAAAAATGGTCAATTATGCGGCATATTGTTGGTAACACTATATATAACTATGCATACTATAGACAAAATTATTAGAAAGAAAGTACACTTGAAATGTATCTTGAATTTTAACCAATCTCTACGACATATGATTAAAAGTAGCTGTCGCACGCGACTCCGTCCGCGCGGATAAAAAAATATTAAACTCGTAGCCTATGTGTTTAACCAGACTATGTTCTACTTGTTTGACAAATTTCATTGACAAATGTTTAGCTGTTCTGCAGATACCTTCAAGCAAACATCCATCCATCCGTACATCCCTCCATCCATGAATCTGTTTAGATGGTTTATTCGCATTTATAATATTAGTAACATCGCTTGACTAAGATCCCATCAGCTGAATAAATGTTTTAATTCCTTACCACACTGGTAATACTGGTGCTGTATAACTCACCGATGGGTCCCTTTTTGTTGCCAGCATCCATCTTGGTGTAGTCCACTTCATCATCAGAATCATCAATGGCATCATCCATCTCCCGCAGGCCGGGGTAGCACTCCGCATAGCCCTCGGGCTCCGCTGCCAGTCGGGATAACAACGCTGCAGACCGAGACTCGCGCTCCGGACCACTCGCCGCGGTACGTCGGGGGATAGGACCTAGTAAAAAAAACAAAGACAAATTGACAACCCGCACTCCTTTACTTAGGGTAGGTTCCGAGCCCCTCAGTGGAGATTTATGTGAGCTTACAATAATGAAACAAGTAATAGTGAAAAACAAAGAGTGACAGACAGCACTGGTATATTGCTATTCAAACTTTATGACGGCTCGTAACGCTGCTCGGTCCCTTGGACTCTCGTTGAATCAATTTCGACTGTATGTATTAATACAAGTTTAAGTGGAGTCGAAATTGACAGTAATGAAACGTTACAACCTACAATTTTTACGATGACTTAGTTAAGTCCAAGCCACGGAGTTCCGTGGTTCAGCTGTTTATCAAGATTAACACAATTATTTTTTTGGTTAAGAGAGTTCACGGTAAGAAAGCGTGGCTGCGCACACCACTTCATACAGTTTTCTCGCAGCAGCTGCGTCTGTAGCTAAAATCTGGAGCTTCTATATAGTTTGAATATTATAATACCTTCTTCCTTCTCCGTCTCTACAGGTTTGTCGAAGTATCCAGTACGAGGTCTGTCGTCGCGACGGTCGCTGCGTCGCTCTCCCGCCACGTAGTCGCCGATTTCACCGTAGATCGAGTCATCATTACGACCCTTCTCATTTGCCTTGTCCTGCACACCACGGTCACAATAAATACGATAAATAAAATCAAAGATTTTGAAACTGTGACATTTTCATAGTTTTTGGTTAAAATAAAGAGTAAAATTATATAGAAGGCGATAAAATTAAAATTTGAAGAAAATTTAATAATACATTTTTTATATTGAATTCAAATACCATTGAAAAGGGACTGTTTTCCTAAAACATTAACAGCCTTTATTAATAATTTTATCCACCATTATTTGAACTTGATTTATAAAATTATAAAATGACTAGCTGTCGCCCGCGACTCCCTCCGCGAGAAAATAAAAAAAAAAATTGTAGCCTATGTGTTCTCCCAGACTATGTTCTACATCTATACAAAATTTCAGCGAGATCCTTGCTGTCGTTCTGAAGATACCTTCAAAAAAACATCCATCCATCCATCCATCTAAACATTCGCATTTATAATATTAGTAAAATAGACATAATATATTTTCAATTTGTTATACCATTTTTTTCAACAAAAAAATATTGATGTAATGAACATCTAAAGAAAAAAAACTTATTAACAAAATATTCCATACCTTAGTCTTCTTCAGCTTTCTATGGCGACCATGTCTTAAATATGAGAATATTTGTGCCAGTTTATCTAATACGACATCATTAGCGGCCGCAGCGGAACTCCTCTCATCTAAATCTGGTACATCAGCCTTGCTGCGAGTCAGTGTTGTTGGTATGTCACTGTCCATCGCACCTTCCTCCTCCAGCTCTACCACGTACGCCATACGACCAGGTGCGAATAACTCGTTACGTGTCACTTTTTTATTCCTGTAATATATTTACCGTTGGTTTCTGAGACTCAAACCAAATCTCTGTATGAAATATTAGCATGTCATTTTTTGACAATAGATCAAAGACCAATATGTTTTATACGAGGATTTTGGTCTCAGAAACCCACCGATAATAAAATAAATTGGATATAAGTTATATAAAACTAGCTTTTGCCTGCAACTCCGTCAGGGCGGAAAAAAAACTTTATAAGTAACCTAAGTTAATCCTAAGTAATCTATGCCAAATTTCTTCAAGATCTGTTGAACCGTTCTGGTGATCTTCAAACAAACATCTATCCATCGATCCATACATCCAAATATTCACATTTATAATATTACTAAGATGGTTATATCATATAACAGAATTTCGGTATTGATATGTCCATTCTTCTGGATAAAGAATATAAACAAAATTGAATTCATATGTAGCGACAAAACAATTATACATTTATAGTTTTTTTTAGTTTTAGTAGAAAATTTGCCTTACTTTTGTTCCAATATCATATCGTAAATATTCTTTCCCATAGTTGTTTCAAATTGCAATTCTTCATCCTGTAAACAAAACAAACAATAACTAAAAACGTATCATTCATCATCAAGTGCAGATGTTGACAACATATTCTTAAAATAAGTTTTAATTTAAAATAACCACATTAAAAACAACAAAAAAAATTTACTTGTAACCTAAAGTTGCCAACCCCTGACATAATATTATAAAATTTTAACTTACCACTGGTACTTCCTTCTTCTCCTTGACAGGTTCTACAATAGGCGCCTCCACCAATCTCTCCATTTCTGCCTCTTGCTCTTGTTCACGATTTTGAATCTCTGATCGAACCTGATTAATAAACATATTTGTTTTTCTGTTCATCAAGTTGCTATAACTGTTTCTCGAGACTAAATCCACGTAAAATAAACAAAACATGATTATTTTTTTTATTTTACGTGGAATTAGTAGTTTTTTATAAAAATCATAACGTGGCAAATGAGGGAGTGGCCACCTAAAATCCTACCTTTAATCCACGGAGAAGGAAATGTACAGAAAAAAAATCTTTTTCCTGCCATACATCCCTTCATCCGGAAAATCCTATTTCACTTCCTATCCTTTTCTCCCTGGAAGAGACTGGGAGTGGAAATAGGACTAAAGTTAGGCCTCCGGGATGGACACTTATCAGACTGTATGCGGAATCATTTCCACTTGACACCTGTCTTAAAGAGCTAAGTCAAGATGTCAAAGCAGGCTCTACCACTGTTAAGTTTTGATATAACATAGCATACATAATATTCTAGACTTTAATCAATATCTATCCCAAATTTCAATGTCCATTCATAGAGATATCCAAACTTTCATATTTTATATATAAATAAGTTGTAAAATTAAAGAAAAAATTTACAGAAAACATTAACACTATTTTTTTTTATTTATTCATCTTATTATTATAGATATCTTACCTTTTGTAACAAAGCATAATCGAGACCTTTCACCAAGTGAGTGTGTTCCATGTCACCACCTAGATATTTGGATTCCTAGAACAAGATATATAATATTCTTTATATCTGACCATCAACCAATTCCTTTAAATGGATAGGTTATGCTTAGAAATGAAAGCTTTAAGTTTGTTCCGACTGAAATGCTTCTTTATATCAGCACAATATCAAATAGGCACAAAATGCCACATCTTATAGCCTGTCCATTTATAGAGGTCTGTGCAATCAATACTCTAGAACTATTAAACAGGCAGACGTTTTATTTGCTTTTGCGTAAATTATACACAAAAGTGATAAATCTATTTCCTCAAAATCCAATGTTTTAATTAACAAGAAAGTTTTATTGTTTGCTTGAGGTTGCCCACAACTTGGTCAGTGCAAAAAAGAGGCTTTAATATGCCTATATACATTATCTAACTTCCAGATAAAGATCTATCTAAAACTGTTCACAGATTATCCAAAACAAAAATTTGCAGACATAGCAAAAAAAAATGGATGTTTGTTAGCAACGCAAATACATCCCATTTGGCAAATATATTTTGTTCAATATTACATATAGATATTGTTATTCATTGTATGGATGTATATTTAATATATAATAGCTAAAGTCTGGATGACCGAGCTTTGCTCTGTATTTTTTTTTAATTGTGTTTTTTAGAAATTATATTTAAGTACGAATTACTAATAAAATGATGAAATATGAATAATATTTTTCGATCTTACCAATAGAAAAAGTTAAGTTCATGTTTAAGTTGATTATCGATAAAACACCAATAAAATGACATTTTCTAAAAATGATTCCTAGCTAGATCGATTTATCGCCCCTGAAACCCCCTATATACTAAATTTTATGAAAATCGTTGGAGCCGATTCCGAGATTCCAATTATATATATACAAGAATTGCACATTTAAAGATATAAGATAAGATTATTGTACATAGTTTTAGACAATATTAGTTAGAATCCTTTGACGCAAATGATTCTATCTAAAGCTTTCATTATCAAGTCAATGTCACATTGATTAGTGAGGGGACATGAACATTGACATTTTAATAAGGCTAGTGTTGCGCCGATACACCAGTTGTGTTGGATTTTCTTCCTAACAATAGTAAAGAAATATAAACCTGAATCATCTGTCTTCTTCTTTCTTTGGCATCCATTCCAGATTTTAAATCTGGTGCTACTGCTCTGAAAACAATAAATTAACATTACTTATAATGTACATCATTTAATCTTATCTTCTTATATATAAAAATCTGTTTGTTAGTCTCGCTAAAACTCGAGAAGAGCTGAACAGATTTATCTTATCTTGGTATAAAAAAATCGTGAAGGTCCAGGAAGGGTTTAAAAGGTGAGAAAAATTTGAATAATTGCCGGAATCTAATTAAGTTTCTTTCATTCCACGCAGATGGGGTCACAGGTGAAAGCTAGTATTGTAATAAAAATTAGATAGTGTTAGTTACACTTCAATCTATTATATGATATATTCATCAATATTATTTTATTCATTTTAATTATATATGCATTTCCTAGCTATTTTTTTTCTTGCATAGTAAATATTTTATTTCTTTATTTACTTTTTAATAAATTTAATAATGGATTATTTATTTCTTTTGTTTGTTTTAAATAAACTTGAAACTATTGGATTAATAACAAACATTCACCATAAGAATGCTACAAACCACTTAAACTAGATACATAAAGTTTACTGAGCTGATGATGGAGAGGCACCTTGAGAGAAAAAGAGAAGATATACACTGTGAAAATGATCACCTGTATGCACTACTTGTGTTACTTGTTGGATCCATAGGTCCGAGTTCATTAAGACCATCTCTCCTTTCTCGTGCTCTATCCCTGTACTTCTCAGCCAGTTCCGCCAATTTATTATCCTCCTGCTTCTTCAAAGCTGCATAATATGATTTCTTTTTTCGACGTAACTCACTTTTGTTCTCAGCTGGTGGTGGCATTGATCTATAATTTGTAATTGCATTTTTTCAGATGAAATGAAACATTGGAAAAAAAATTGATATAGCTGACATCAAAGAGATCTAGTTATAATTTTCTTTCATCTATACTTACACCACAATAATAAACATTTCGTTTCATTTCATTGCAGTAGTTTCTAAAAGTAAGGGGGCAAATAGTGGGATTCTCGTATGCCTAGTATGAAGAAAATTGAGTGCAAGTACAAAGAGACCAAACCTACCCGGAGTTTGCCATAGCTTCTCGCACAGAGCCCACGGGGTGACCTCCGCCCCCAGATGGGGTTGCTCTGGGAGTCATCAAGAGTTTTCTGAAGTCATCGTTAGTCAGCCTTTGAGAGGCTGGTGTATCTTCAACACTCCTATGTTCATCCATTTTGAATAACACGCCGGTTTACAACTATAGACCAATAATTCACTCCAGTTTAAAAGATCACACAAAATACTCCAAGATAAATAGATTTCTGTAGCAAAAGCATATAAGCTCAATTTTTCTATTTAAGCAAAGCAAAATAATCGCATTATTGTTTCGACCAAAAATAATGAATGAATTTTGACACTCGACCACAGAGCACTTTGCAATTGACTGACAGCTAACTTGACAACTACAGATACAAATAGATTTTGGTTTCATTACATTTATCAATGTTTTGATCAACGGCTTAATTTAAAAAACAATATTTAAAATAATTTTAAAGACGTTATAATGTGTACGTATAAATTGGAAGTATCACTATTAATTGAATATAAAGGTACTTTATAGGCCCCCGAATCATACTGTTAAAAATTATTTTCCTATCGCGTTACACAGTAAAAGGTGGGTATTTGCAAAAATAATCCTAATGTTAGCTTTATTATAATTGTTGAGTATATTTCTGTATATCCTAGTATTTTCAACATTTCCTTACTTAGGGATATTAAAGATTATTTTGAAATGTCATGTAGATACAAAAGTGTTTTTAGAGTTCTTCTTTCACTGAAGAAAACTTTGATTTTGGTGGCCATATTTATAAGGTAAACATTTCACAAATAAAACAAATATTATGAGGAGAATTTTAATAATTGATTTTATAAAAAGTTAACATACAAATAATAACATGGTGATTAAATAAAGATAAATTGATTTATAATGATAATGATTAAGGCCAATTATAATGTAATAAGGAACATGTTATGCTTAATACTAATTAGTAAGGATTAACCAAACAAAGAATGGAAAGTAGTGCCTTTAAAGCCAACATTGCCTGTAGGTTCATCTTGGAAAGTGATGTACATCCTGTAACAATGGACAATTATAATAAAGATTTTATAATCATCATTTTAAATATGTTGTTATGAAGTCTCATTAAAGCCCTCCCCACCCCTTCTCACACTTCATCAACCCCTCCCCATGTAACATATGATGTGACCTATAATTTACAAGTACTCCTTATCTAGAGTTTATCATAAGGTCATGAACATCCTAATACACAAGATTAACTGTTTCTGGTGTAGTTACACAAATAACAATAAATGAAAATCATCAAATAATATCAATATATCAATGTAATCTTACTAATATTATAAATGCGAATGTTTAAGTGAATGGATGGATGGATGTTTGATCTGTTTGGTATCATGGAACTGCTGAACAGATCTTAATGAAATTAGGTATAGATGTAGAACATAGTCTTGAAGAACACATAGGCTACTTGATTTTTTGTGACGGTTATATTGTACATTACCTGTCTTGCGGAACACCTAACTCCTTCTCAACCAGTTCAAATAAAACTTTAGCATGCTTCTTATTTTGTTCAACACCAAGAGATCCAATAGACATCAAGTTAGCTATGGCACACGGGTCCGTACTGCCACCAAAACTCATTGGTACATCAGGAATAATGGAGACTACACAGTACTAAAAAAAAATAATGTCTTAAATGTCGAACAGTAAATTCGGCTATATACCATACCAGAAAATTCAAAATTAAAAGCAAATTTTGCGAACGAAATTGCAGTGAAAAAGAAGCCATTACTTGTTACGTATTAACGAAAGCCGGGCGACACTGCAAAAATCATCCAACAAAATGTCTACAATCATAATATTCAGAAGTAAAAATTATTGATAAATGAAGGACAAAGTTTTTACCTGTTCTGGTTTACCCAGTGCTCTAGCAAGAACTGGCACTGCTTTCGTTAAGAAATCTTGAGGAATTTTGCCTTTGGGGACATTTGTTTCAATCCTAAAGTGTGGCATTTTTTTATAATCTTTCAATGGTTATAAATATGTACCGCCTCTTCGCAGTTGGTTATTATTAAATAAAAACGATTTCAGTAAAACTTTTACCTTCACCCGATTTCGATTTCTGGATCAATCCAATCAAACATCAAACATAGACGTCAAAACAAACGAAAAGTCCAACATCCAACATAAGCGAATAAGTTATGTCAGTCAAGTTGACAATGACCATAGATAATGTATGAAACAAAGAGTTATACCAAAGATGGAAGCTACTACTCGACTACTGCTATAGTCTATACCAAGTTGATACCAAGTTCCAAAGCCGAAAGCCTAGGATTTCTAAGCAATGGTTATACGTTAAATCTCTTAGAATATTGTTGTTACTTCTTTCACGTTATTTCTGATAAAGTACAGGCATTTGCATAAATCTATCACACATTTAAAATTAGTCTTACCTCTATAAGAGTTGAAAAGAGCAATAGAGAAAATTTGTCTATGGCGGGGTGTTTTTAACATTTCAAGCAAACTTCAAATGACGCCATTTATCAAGTTTGTGTAGAAGAAAGTAAAGTGCATTCTAATTTTAGTAATTGATTAAAGTAGTACTCAATATTGCTATTATATTAGCAACAAAGAATTTTTAAAAGAAAAAATATTAAAGAATAAAAGCAATCGTATAAAAGATTAAAGGGTGACCTTGTGTTCTACAACATGGGTAATGAACAATCTTCAGAAAACGAGAGGAGAAAAAGGTAATTCTTTTGTATATTTTAAACAATAAACTTCGAAAGTTAGATAGTGGTGCTACTATGGAATCAGAATTCAATTATAATATCATAGTCACAGTAATTTAATCTAACTTCCCTTTTTCTCTTCACAAAATAAAAGCGTAATTGCACCTTATTGAGGTGATAACTACGTTTAATTTGTGTTAGCGACATTTTTTAGGGTTCATGTTTACCTTTTTGTTTTTCCATGTATTTCTAATTCTTTAAGATTAATTAAATGAGATAATTATGTTCAGATCTTTTAAAATATTTTTATATAAGTACATAAAACTGGGAATTCTTAATTCGCTTTAGGGATGCCAATATCCAGGCAACTTTGCAAAAGACTTTAGAAAAGCAAAGGCAAATTTATGAACAGAGATGCAAAGAAATGTTGCAAACTCAAGCAGAGGCTTTGCGAAAAGAACAATTAGCTTCAACAAGGTAATATAATATATTTATTAAAAATTATATAATTTTGATATCACTGAATCCTATAATATGCAAATGGCCCTAAAACTTCTTGAAAGTAGTGAGAATGAATGAGGACGGACAAAAGAGTAAAAGTTTAAATATTATGACTCAAACAACCAGTGGTCAGGGCTGCAGAGACAGGAACCTTCTCACGATGCGCGCAGTTTTAATTAATTATTTTCATGTGTAATTTTTCATTATTCCTTTTTATAGTGTAAATATAACTGCTGGAACATCCAGAGATTGTCAGAATAATTTATATCCAAATCTACAACCTAGCACTTCAAGTGAACATTCATCCCCCATTGTCTACACAAGTCCCTTATCCTATCAGAGATATAGTGTTACCAGCCAAAATAATGATCTCACAACAAATACCGCAACTGTCTCATCTGCAAATGATGCACAAAGGTTAGTATTTTTTCATTAACATATTCTCATGTCACAATTTAAGTTACCATATAACTCCGAAAGGGATTGTCCGGTTTTAAATATTTTCAATCACAATATTAGAATATCTGTTTTATTTTATTTTAGGGTAATACCTTCAGCACCACCAATGACTTATAAACAACCAATGAAAGTAAACAGGTAAGATAATAAGACTTATGCCCTGTTTACAATATTCCAGTCCAGCAAACTGAAACATACTGTGAGATGTTAACACACTGGAATGCACTAAGTTGGTTCCTGTATTGGATTTGATTGCTGGATTGGAGTAATTTATACCTGGCATAAGATAGTTGACTGAGATATAAGTAATATATAGTTGACTAATATTCACTGAGATACTATTGTATATTGTATTGTCAACTATACCTAAATAATGATAGTAATGACTATCATTATTTAGGTAAAGTTATTTATTTTCTATTTCTTTTTTAGTGTTCAAAATTATAGTGGACTCGGCACCGAACACAACTGTCCAAAGTGCGGCAATAAATTCGGCTTGCACATATTTCAATGTGGCAGTGGACACAGTTCATGTAGGAATTGTAAAATAAATAGCGGCATTTGTGGCGTTTTGAACTGTGGTAAAAAAATAACAGACATGAGAAATAGAACCCTTGAAGCTTACATGGCCGATTTAATGTTAACTACCAAGCAAGGGATTGTGAAAGATTGTAAGCCAGTAAGTTATTTTGTATTTACTCATCTTTCTTCTTATTAATATATTATACATATGTGAATGTATGGACCGATGGATGGATGTTTATTAGAAAGTATCTCCAGAACGGCTGCATGGATCTTGGTAATATTTCGTGTAGATATAGAACAGAGTCTGGAAAAATTCATAGGCTACTTTTTTCTCTTGGCATAGGCTACCAATTGTTTATTAATTGTAATTTGCTTTTAATTTTACGAGGATAGAGTTGTGGGCGACAGCTAGTCAAAGTCAAATAAAATTATGAATTATTTTAAAGGTAAATCAACAGACTAGTCAATATAACTCTAGACTTAATTGTCCCAATCATCACGATGGATGCTGTTTACATTTTACCACCAATGAAATGGATAACCATTTAAAAGAATGTCCATACAATGAAATGGCTTGCCCACTTCTGGCTATATTCGGACGGTGCTCCTGGCGCGGTAAGATTCTTATTATATACTTAAATACTTTAATTTAATAATAATAATTATAAATAATTTAATTTTAATTGAAATACTTTACACTCACCTCTATAAATGGCTATAAGACTTAGTATTTTATGCCTATTTGATTTTCGCCATTTTGGCGCTGATAGTAGTGGTTGTGTGAATTCGAACGAATGATATCGATAAAATTAACTGTCACGTTACATCAACCGGCGCGTTTTAATCGGAACGAATTTCATCAAGTCATTTCGAAGCAATCGCCTATCAATTTATAGAGATCAGTGAATATTTATCTATCAAATTAATTTAAATGAATGTGCTTAGATTTATTAGATAGGCCAATTTAATAGTCCATATTCGACATCTATCAATTTTAGCATCATAGTGAGATGAGCCTGCATAATCATCGATTAAAGTAAATCGATTCAGACTTAAATCATATGTGACTCGATTGTTGTTCGATTTTTTTGAACATCCTTAGTGTTTAAAACGAAAGAGTTCATTGATTCAACAAAATAAACCCAAAGGTTTATTATTTTAGCTCATAATAAAGTCTTGTTGCACGATACGTTATCTAAATCACGCGTTACGTTTTACTTTAATACATTTTATTGATAGCAAATAAATTATTACAAGTTTCCAGTTCTTATTGCCGAATATGTTATGTTACAAAAACATGTTTTATCTCGCTCATTTTATACGAGGAAACAGAGATGGGAAATGTTTTTGTACAGGGGTTAGTTTAAGTTTCTATTTTTTTTTGTAGGTAAATTTAACCAACTGGACGGCCACTTTGCAGACTGTCATCCTGAACATCGTCGCGGCCAAGTCGATACAGAAATGTCGATTGTAAACACGAAAAATGACAACAGAATATTTTATTTAGTTTTAATCGGTACATATAATTTCTTTATTCATTTAAAAATCGATTCTAACGCTAAAATGATTTATTTGGCCGCTCAATTAGTTGGCACAAAGGTGAGTGCTTCAAAATGGTGCTACGAATTCCATATCTACAATAAGGCACAGCCAAGAAGGAAATTCCAGTATTTCGGTGTTTGCACATCCAACACCATTTCGATAGATGATATCTTTTTGAAAAAACAATGTGCTGTTATACCGATGGCTTACATTGACACATTTATAAATCATAATTGTTTAAATTATAAATTTTTCCTAAAGAAACAAATCAAGACTACTTCATAAGATGAAAAGCTATAAAAGTAAATTCGTGTCTGCTGAATACGGATTTAGATTAAAATGCACGATTGTGATTTCAAGGTTTAAAAAAAATAACCATAGAGTACTGATATAGATGTTAATAATAACTAAAAGGCGGCAATTTATGTACCGCTGTTTTTAGTATTCTTCTAAAATACCATTTATGTAAAAGACATCCAGCATTGTAATATTTGATTTAATTTAGAATCTCATATGAGCGTGAATAACTATTTAATTGGGTTTTTAATTTTCTTTACACTCCAACACATTAATCGGGGCGGTCGCTATAGCTTATAGCTTGTAGGTTTAAAAATCGATGTTGCTAATCGAAAAGTCAAAAATATACGGAAGTGACAATAGCTTTCGATATGTCACGTACTTTTCCTACAAATTTTGTCGATTCCAGAACGATAAGTATAATCGAATATTACATTGTTTTGTCCCGCTGGCTCCACTGACCACTGACTAGCCTGGCTGGTTCTTTCAGAATCATAGTACCATGACATGTGTTTATAAAGGACTAAAAGTATTACAATTTAGTATAAGTGTAAATGGGTAAATATAGAAAGTAGGAACTTAGGTTATTTTTGATATATCGAACATATGTAATTTTCATATTATTAATTAGAATCCTTTGGCGCGAATGGCGCGCTTTCGTTACCAAGTCAAGTGTCAGAATGATTAGTGAGGGGACATATACGCCGACATTTTAGTAAGGCTAGTGTTGTGCCAGTACACCGCAACAGTGTCGGACTTTCTTCCTAATAATATGTAACCAATATTGTTAGTGTCCACTGCTGAAACATTTTAGGGTTTTTTTCTATGGCTTTGTATGTTTAATATATGTAGAGATAATTATGTTATATTTTTATTATAACCTTTATCAATCTGTGGAATAAAAAATTCAATTATCAGCAAAACATTCATTTTTCTTTTGTATGAAAAATTTTTTTTTTTGTATACCGGAAAATTTAAAAAAAAAAGGCAAACAAATCTCATTATTTTTGAAGTCGACTTAAAAATCTGCAATGGGATCCTATTATCATCAGCTCACTATATGTCCCCACTAAGAGACTCGGAACATACCCTAAGGGGTGATTAGGCCGTAGTCAACCACGCTGACACAGTACTGGTTGACTTCACACATATCTTTGAATTTCTTTACAAGTATATGCTAGTTGCATCACGATGTTTTTCCTTCATCGTAAGAACGTCGGTTAAATGTACATGTGAAAATCGAATCTGCTAATTACAAGTAAGGCACTTAACGAATGAGCCACCAACACTCATATTCCAATTATCAGATACTTATTTAATAAATAAAAATGCTTCAAATAAACAGTAATGTATTTATTAAGCATTGTTACCTAACACTACTGGGTGGGATGCTACAATGTTTTTGCACTAATACAACACTCGTTCGATAAACACTATTTGAAGACACGATACAAAAAAATATTAAAATCGAGAACACATCATTTTTGTATTAATTAGCGTATACATAACCTAACTCATTCTACAGATTTAGAGACAAAAATAAATAATTATTTTAATAATTTATTAATACAGTTTATTTACTGACCTCTATAATAAATATCAGCTGGACTGACAGCTTTTTATTTGTTTCAATATAAAGCGCTAGTTAAATAGTTCCAATTTTAACCACCGCTACTAACCGCAACCGTCAGCGCCAAAATGGCGAAAATCAAATAGGCACAAAATACCACGGTTTATATCCTGTCCAGTGGAGTAGAGGTCAGTATGTTTAGAAGATCTAAGAACAAAATAAGGCATCGTAAGGTTATCAACAATTAGCTATTCATAGCCTTTGGGTCCAATTTCGGAAACCCTTTCACTAAAGAGGAAGAGAACTTGTCAAAGAAACAAGTCATTGGACGGCATAAATAAGATTCCCAATTTTATATATTTTTTAAATGATATATTTGAAAACTGCCGTCCTTTTCAGTATTAATACTTTTTGCATAGTGTGACATAAAAAAAATTGTCCAATGATTAAGATCAACATAACCTACAAGTTCCATAGACAATAGCTACTTATTAAATTTGAGATCATACCATCACCAATTCCTAATCCCTGTCATAAAGGTAATTGTTTTATTTCAACATTCTTTGAATATTTCTCAGATCAACAAATATTCATAGCAATCGTAGTTCGTCTACTAGAATTCTGACCACATTCATTCTACTATAATATCAAATACGAGGAAAAATAAAATAATATACCATTTGCTATAAACAAAAAAAAAAGTAGTTGTCAAAGCAAATATTTCTTCGTACTAATTTATCGAAAATTTTAAAGTTTAAATTAACAATTACACTATTGTGACGTGTGACTAAATTATAAAGTCTAGAATACCACATTTGATCTGATAAGTAAATAAATTCGATAAATTTGTCTGAGCATTAAGTCCATATTTAAAATATGGTATTGCCATAAGAAAAAAATAAAAATATAGAATTATTACGGAATGCCTCATTGTCCTTCTTAATGTTAAGTACATAATAACTTAAATTCTACAAGTAATAAAAAATTAACTTTCATTTAATGAAAATATCAAAGTCTTGTATTTGTAATGAGATCATTTCCAATATTTTAAGGTCTTAAAATTTGACCATTTGCTCTTAGCTCAAGACATTTATATAACCTTTATTTTTCTCTTTTATTCATTTTTGTTGCGAGTTAAAACATTAAAAACAAATTCGGAAATTAATAATTTTTCATAATATTTAAAAATCAATTATGGATATCACTATTTTTCATACATTATTAAAATTGAACACTTATAAATGAAAACATAATACATGTGGATTTATTGTGGGTAGTAAAAAATCATAATTATTAAAATCATACTACCCATAGTTCTTACGGACATCAAAACAGTGGCAGTCAATCTTATCCTCACTCATGAATTGTACTGATGTTTGTAAGATGGCTAACTGTGGGTTTCTGAGACCAGAACCACCATTTAAAACATATTATTATGTCTGTTTTTTATTTAAAGATGGATGAGAGTATGTTTATACAGAGATTTTGGTCTTAGAAACCAACAGTGTAAGAGTTACATGCCTTTAAAAGATTTAATAAGGGATGTAACTTTTTATCCCATATGACAACAATCAACTTTTCATAGTCAGCAAAGACAATAAGTAAAATTATGTATCCTTAATACCGTTGTGCTTTCTATTAAAACATTGTGTAAAATAGCAATTGTATATAAATTGAACACATTAATTTATTAGTGCTTTAGTGCACAAACATTTATTTTTAAAGTTAAATAAATTATTGTAAAATGGAATGTATAATAAAAAAAATCCTGGAATGTTTGTATTGAAACATTTTGGTGACTCGGTACTTCCCATGAGTTGCTACTTAGTACAAAATAATAGGTGGGACTGGCATTTAAAAAAATGCAGAGAGAAGGCCTTGAGCCACAAAAAGATTAAAAAAGTCTTGATAATTAACAAAATATTTGTTTACCTAAACTTAGAGTGACACAATATTCGAAATTCCGAACAATTTTGTGTTTCAAAATTTTTGCAGGTAATTTTGTGTAGTATCATTTCGTGTACAATAAATTGTGCCAATTGAATAATGAACTGTATATGTTCACTTATTAATGCCTCCGTTATATGCATAATCAGCTTTATTATGCATCACAAGGTGATTGTCAACGAAATAGAAACTGTCAGAACATGTTTCAAATGGTGCTGCAATCATTTCATCAACTGAAACAAAACATTGCCTTTTATAAAGCAGATAACTATAATTAGGACATACATGTTTGTTAGAAGGTGTCTCCACAACAACTGCATGTATCTCGATGAAATTTAGCAACTACATGTAGAACATAGTTTAGAAGAACACATAGGGGACTGCTTAAGTTTTTTTTTAATTCCGAGTTGATGGAGTCAGGGGCAACTAGTAAACTTATAAAATTTAAACCATAAAATCTTACCTAGATCAGGTGGCAGTGTTGGAAATTCATAAATATGTTCACAAGTATTCCTTGAAAATGGAATACAGAAGCCAAATTCGAAATCAAACGTCTTCAACAATGTGTCTCTGAAGAAATGTTTTTCAATCATTCTAAAATGATTTACTGGACGAGCACCTACTGTAAATTCAACTCTGAAATTTACAAAATTGATAATGAATAACATTAATAAAATAAATGCAAAGAAATTCATGATGTTCTATTGGAGACCAATGTATTCAGCCATTTTTTTTTATACACTAAGGGGCAAATGATCAAACACATCCATAGATATCCCAACATTATTTAGATTGGATTAAAAATTGTTTACATTTAACTAATTTTCTTTCCTATTGGATTAAGACCTTATGAAGCGAACTGATGCTTGGAATTATGTTTTTAGTTACAAAATAGTCAGAACTTGTGGAAAACTTACGTTGCACCAACAGTTTTCAATTTTAGAAATTGAGGTGTAAATTGATATCTAACAAATCTTCCAGCGTTCGGATCAAGAGCGTCCTCCAAAGCATCTTCTGCTCCTTCATTATCAACACCAAAATCCGTAGGGGGCTTCGCAATTTCAAATAACACCGTACCAGTTTCTAAATCACGTATCTTGAACCTGGTAAAGTCTATGTCATATATGTTTGCTTCTGGACTGCACAAATAGGTGTCTGTTATTTTATTTAGCCGCAATACGTCGTCAGGTGTGATTTCACTTGGAATTAGATCGCCCCTGTTTGTTTCAGAAAGCGATATTGATTCGCACTTCTTTCCAACTAAGCTCATTATTACGAACAGGTGCAAATGAAATGCTTAGTTTCAAGGAAAAAAGTTAGCTAATAAATAAATTAAGAGGCACGCAAATTGCAAGGAGACTAAAGAATTAAATCATATCGATTTATTAATGCATTGAAACGGTAGAAATAAAATAATTCATAATTATTTATTCATAGCAAATCTTTCTCTATTTGACAAAAATGTAAGTACAGATAAGAAAATCTTTCCAAGGTACAGATTAAAAATTAGGTGAAGTAACAAAAATAGGAAAAGTAATAATAAATAGTGAAAACTAAATCAGAATTGCAGACTAGAGGATTAGTAATTGATTTCTATAGGTTCAATTTTTTTAAGACTAATATTTACTTGTCAATCTAGCAGTAGGTTATACGCCACTTTATTATAAAGTAAGCATATTGAGAATTATTGGGAGCCCCCAAATTTTTAATGATATATGACAGACACGTATTGAATTTTTAGTAATTAATGAAGCATTTTGCAATGCCTTAATAATATTTCTCTCATTTTTTCATTTAAGTTAAACATTTTCTTATCTAGAACGCGTCAATAACTGTTGACGTAATATCCGTTGCATCATGAAGTGAAGCATGCGCCTTGTCATTTTCAGTCATTGGTTGATTAAAGATTTTAAAATTATAATATTCGGGTAATCGGGGCATTGCTCAAGTGTTGTATTGTGATAAGAACCTTATACCGTTGTAGTGACAAAACCTAATGTGCATTTAAGTGAAAAAATAAACATAGATCAATATGCTTATCAAAGAATAGTAAGTACAGGTTATTTTGTGTCCTATTCAGAATAAGAATCGATTTTTTCGTCGTCACCAAAATCTTCCTTTTGTCCAGGTTATGATTATACTTTGTAGTAATTTGTGACTTTAAAACATGGTTTTTTCTAATGAATTATAAAAATTTAATTGAAAAACTGTAAATGTTGATAGATCTGACAATGACAGTAGTTTAGGTCAAGGGAGATAGTAGCAGATGTTAAGAACTTTGTTGCAGCTTTAAATCTCATAAGTCTATTATAGTCAATATTAAAATTGAATTATTTCTTTTACAGTCGAGTAACACTTCCTTTAACAGTTGAAGAGGTGAGTTTTTGTTACATTTTTTTTATATTATAATGAATCCTGACCTATTTAAATACTTAAACGTTACATTTTTCCCACCAATTATTATTAATAAGGATTCTAGCTGGAGTATAGCAATTTTTTAATAAATTAATAAAAGATTTAAATAAGTACTTTTATTCTTTTTGTTAAAATACTTGTATATTTTCAAGAATTTATTGTTGATATACCTTATTTCTTAATTTTTTATCTGTCATATAGATGAACATTGGAATTAAAACATTTGTTCTTTACATTATAAATGATTAAAATTGTAAATTGTGGTAACTCGTGCCATAAGAATTTTGTTATCTAACATTTGGTGAAATTTATCTACCGGTTATTAATGAACTTTGTACAATCTTATCTTTTAACTTGAAATTGAACTAGAAATTATTTTACCTTCTATACTAAGTTAATATATTTCACTTTACATCAATTTAAAAATACTTATGATAGTCTCCTTAAATAGAAAATAAGTATAAAATTTGGATTCATCAGTGACCTAGTTGTCAAAAAAAAAAACCATAAAGTGAGTCACTAGTCCATTTCAATATGCTCCTAAAGACACTACTTGACTTAAACTTCTTACTTCAATTAGAATAATTTTATTATTTAAATTACATTTCATTATATTCCTCTCAAGTATAGTTGCAATAAGCCGTAAAAAATATAATTTTGTCAAAGTGAAAAACAAACATACAATAGTTCATGTATTTTAAATATACAGTGGTTTATGTACTGAGTCATTGCAATGTCAGTTTTTGGTTATAGGATTAAATGAAATATGTGACATATTTATGTGACAAATGAAAAATATAGTATGAAGCTTATGTAAGAATGAAGTTGGCCAGTATGTCAGTATATAGAACACCTTATTGTTCCATTTATAAATAAGGAACTAAATGTTGACCTCCTTTTTATTGTTTTAATATTAAGGTAGGTTTTTCTCAGGTTTTTCTGTAAATCTAGCTCATTATTAGAACTTAAAAATGACCTATTTTTATTTCCAAGGTCATTTCTATCAATTTTTTTTAAGATTAAATATGGATTAAAAGTTAAAAATTGAAGTCATTGTGTGTTGTGCGGCAATTTGCGGGAAAATTTCTCCGAAACTTATTTCGATAAAAGTTTGATTTGAGCCAAAAGATCGACAATTGTTGGCGCCCTTGAGCCGTAAAGTCCGAGGTCTCTTGGACTATTGAGAAATGTCGCTTCATGGCAAAACTGTCAAAGTAACCTAAGAGCTTTACTTTTTTATACTATTGATTTTTCCGTATGACGTTCTTGAGTAGAATATACAAATGATATCTCATTCTACAAAATCCGTATTAACATTTAGCCTTAAGGAGGCCATAACAGTACTAATTTTAACAGATTATATAATTATTGGAATAAAAAAAAAGTCGCTTATGTTTATGACGCCCATATTTATGGGCTACCTTCACGTCCAAATTCTGTGAAGCTCAGTCCAGCTGGCTTACCTGGAGCAAACGCTAATTTGCGGATAGACATACAGACAAACAAAATTTTCGCTATTAGCAACGCAAATACATCATGTGTACATTTTTCGATATTACATACAGACAGACCAATGTTATTCATATTGATGTATAGATACATAATTGAAGTTATAATACGATAAAAATGTCTAATAAATAAACAAGGATGTATATTCAATAGTTACATAATAACTAAAATCATCTAAGATGAATGTCAAGACCGACAATTATGAATGAAAGATTTTCCATGGTCGTAATTGAATCGTATTAAAAAATTGTTCAACTTCATCACAAAGTCAAGCGAATCAAAATGCTTGAATGACATTGAATAATTTGTTAATATGTTAATTTTGTTCTTATAAGCATACATCGCCTTGATAAATTATTAAACAAATTTTTACCAAAATTGTAAGGAAGATATTAAAACTTTTTTATGTTATAATTCAATCTATTTATCTATTGTTTATTCTTCCTCGTATACGTTATTACATTTTAACACAAACTTTAAGAATATAAATGCCAATATTTCGTTATAACCTTACTATGTAAAAGGGAACTACTAAAAAGTGGTTATCACTGCTTGTCGGAATTTGATATTTTTCGCGAGTTCCATTGGGTACTGCGTAGACTTGAATTTTTAAATTGAAGTGTCATTCCTGTCCCCAGAATTATATGACTACGGTTAATAGTTTTTTTTAATAACTAAAAATTTTACGTATAGAAACTTAATAGAACTTGTTAGTAATAGAACTTGTCGCTCTAAATTACGTCCGTGCGGAATAATAAAAAAATAATAGCCTATGTGTTCTTCCAGTTTATGTTCTACATCTGTGGTAAATTTCATCAAGATTATTGAAGCCGTTTCGGAGATATCTTGTAACAAACATCCATCCAAACTTTTGCATTTATAATATTAGTAAGATAAGAACCGAAACTGTAATTCAAATGCAATTGTATAACTTTGGTTGATATTTAATCAATTCGTGCGTTGCATTTGATATCGATAGCGTAGTTTATGACTGGAAAAACGGACGCTAGTGTTAACTTTTTTTATTATTTTTTTCTACACTGAGTAATAAGATTATTTTAAATCATCGTATGATATCCGCGTATGCGTTTTATCGTGAACCGGATTTCTTTTAATAGTATATGATTTTTACGTCTATTTTTACCGTAATCCTACAAATATTTTTAATGTTTGGATGGATGTGTGGATGTTTGTTTGAAGGTATCTCTAGAACGGCAGAACGGATCCCCACATACACAATTTAGTTGTTTTATACTCCGCATAGACGGAGTCGCGGGCGACAGCTAGTAGTTGTATAAAAACATATCACCCATTCCCTTTGAAAATACAGAGATAATTATATGTTTTGTACAAGTTTCGGGAGTGGAAACTCACGGTTTATCTCTAACTCTTGAACTGAACTTTAATCTACTAAGATTCAGACGTATATAAGAATGTAATCAGTAATCATGTTTTTTACAAAGTAATCTAATTCATACTAACAATACTAATTAATACAGTTATAACAATGATATCGAGAACAGCAAAACATTTACTATTTATGTGCATTTCATATTTTCCATTAAAGTATTCAGTGTCAATTTGCTACATGTAAAAATAAGTTATCTGTGGCTTATTTTGCACGAAATTAAAAAAATAAATATAGTCTATGGACAACTGGCAAAGATTTCTTCAAATCGGTACTGTTGTTTCGGAGAATATTCAATGCAATGAATCAATCATATCTTTCCTCTTTTCTCTCTCTTTATATTAGTATTAAGAAATTGGTAATATAGGTAAATTTATACTACACTGATTGTTGAAATCTGTTGATTTTAATTTATAAGTAAATATTTATCTTTTTAAAAAACTCAATTATTTGATGTCTCATGAAAGTGGTTCCCCGCCTTCAACGTTTGAATCTAATTCTTAAACATCCCAGCTAATAGACAACTCATATTGTATACTTTTTTCCTATTGTTTGATATAATAGTGATTAAATATTCAGTCTCACATTATTCGAGGTCAGTTAGAATTAAATAAAAAAAAGAAGGTCGATTAAATTATGAACCAGTTATTGTTAATGTTTAGCATTTTTTGACATTTAATTAAAACTTTTTTTATGATTATAAATTAATTCACAGATGAATATTTTTTTATTAATATACTCTGTGGTTAATGTTATAACTGGCACATCAACTAAATAAATGTTCATTATTACTTTTAAATGTTTTAGAGTTAAAATCTGGAAACTTTGTACTTTCGACCTGATTTTTATATTATTTATAATAGTTTATAAAAAATATAATAATACTAGCTGTCGCCCGCGACTCCGTCTGCGCGGGATTAAAAATAGATGTTGGCCGATTCTCAGACCTGCTCAATATGCTCACAAAAATTCATGAGAATCGGTCAAGCCGTTTCGGAGGAGTATGGGAACGAAAATTGTGACACGAGAATTTTATATATAAGACAATAAGACATTTTATCAGTTCAAAGATATTACAATACTTATAACACAATTAAGTACACAATAAAAGTAAAATATGGAACTTAACAAAAATATCAAACATAGAAATTATAATTAAGCCTTACAATGCAGAATAGATAGGGTATGTTACATATATCGACCTGTGACGAAAAGAGATACATTTTTTATGATCTTACTTATAATTTGATTTTTTTGTTGACAGTACCAAGTGGCACAGTTATACTGCGTGGCGGAGGTGTCCAAAAATGAAACAGGCGGCGGTGAAGGTATTGAGGTCATCAAAAATGAACCCTTCAAAGATTTCCCTTTGCTCGGTAAGTTTCATTGTTTAACTTACGTCACTAACCGTAGGTTTCTGAAAACAAAGCCCTGAATAAAACATCATCCCTCTTTGACAAAACAGAGATAACAATATGTTTTAAATGGTGATTTTGGATATCCAGGGTAAGCTAGATATGTAGCTTTTATGATATGTCATAAGTCCGGAGTAGTTTTAAAAACTTTAAAGTTTAAGTACCAAAATTTATTTTTTCTATGCTGACTTTTGTCTAACCAGACTATGTTTTACATCTATACCAAATTTCATAGAGATCTCTTTCGCCGTTCTAGAGCTACCTAGTAACAAACATCCAGCCAAACATTATTTTTTATAATATTAGTAAGATGTAGTAAAATGAATCCATATATTGATTTTATTTGACTTATAACAATGTTAACATGTTGAAAGAAAATGATTACGTGGTTTTTCTCAAGTTTCCACGTTGTGTTGTCTGTCCTTGACAACGCTCAATCTCTCGACCTTAGTTCACGGCCTCGCACTTCGATTATGTCACGGCTTACGGAACGCTAGTTATGACGATGTTAGCCATTCAATCTAAAATTAATGAACTTTTTTATAGATTTAGTTATTTTTTTCATCCACGCAATAGACTCCACTAAACTGGATCAGTTAATTATAAGGCTACCAATATTAAAATCTTTTTAGTTATTTGCTGCTGCCCGCGACTCCTTTGGCGCGGATATTTAAGTGTTCTTCCAGATGTTCCACATCTATGTCAAATTCTTACAAGATCATGCAGTCGTTTTGGATACCTTCTAACAAATATCTATCCTTATATTAGCATTAACAATATTAGTATATTATTCCGATAGTCGTATCGGTGAATAGATTGATAGCGAAGAGTTTCGACCAACATCTCAAGAAGCTCTCGCTGAACAGTTGGATTAAGGGCCCGATACAAAAGGCAGTTATCCTAGAAACCGCACGCATCGTGAGAAGGTTCCTGTCTCTGCAGCCCTGACCACTGGTTGTTTGAGTCATGGGACTCCGCAACCGGTGGTGCTCTATTTTTAAATATAATATATTTTGTATAATTTTTTACTTTTTATATGAAATGAAAATATTAAGAATAAGGTTAATAAATGAATAAGTTAGTATGATTAAAAAAATAGAACAATTTGCTACTTTGTCTAACGTAATTTTTTTTACAATACAACGTTTAGTGTAGTAAAAAATCCTAAGCAAAATTTTGAAACAAAAAATATGTATCATAAAAATGGCATGGTATCACGATTGACTCATTAAAATTTGTTACTATTCGCCATAACATAGCCTTGTTAACGTGTATAGTATGACGTCACACACTAGTTTACTCAGATGTGTGTTTACGTAAGTGTTTCGCCGACATAATTATTCTCACTACAAGATATTCTGTATTGTAATGTCTTTGTAGAAGTTTAATTTATACGTATGTTTTTAAATCAAATAGCAACTACATATAAAATTCCCAGTGAAAAGAAGTTTTTTTTTGTCTCAGAAACACACTTGGTCCAATTGGTTCGTAGCCTTATATATATTTCAGTTAACAACTCTGAGCTTTATTATGCTTTATACGTAGTTTCAGTATAAAGATGCATCTCCACTAGAGTGGACAAGAAATGTAGGATGTATTCAATATAATTCCCTAGTTAGCGCGTCGCCAATAAATGATATAATTTATGTCTAACTTCCTTTGTCTATAGTATATTAAACTAATATTTTTAAGCGTCCAGTGTCATAAAATATTTCGAAGAAATAGTTTTGTTTAGTCATTAGTTAATTTAAATTACTGTCCCTAAATTATTTTTTGAATTTATACGTGATTTACAAATCAACATTTGTCGAAAAGGGTTGTATCACTTATTAGATATCTTAAAAGATGTAACTCTTTTCGTCATATAAGTCAAAATGTTCTTTGTCGTTCTACTTTAGTGTATATGCCCCTTAATTCGTATTCAAAACCTGTGTTCCATTTCGGCAAACAACACCAATTAGCAGAGTCCGCTCTATCGTCGAAATCTGTGTTATTCAGCCTGTGTTGTTAATTACACGTACCTTTTGGGTCTTTCATAGCTTTGTATTATGTAACTTGCGTAATCTCAACGGAAACTATACACAGTAAAATTGAATTAAAAGATAAAGCGTCCCCTATCGTAAAGTAGGTTCGCACAACGAAAGGTCTTAGGTTCGATTAATTAAAGATTCAGTTAACATAACTATCAAAAGAGCCCTAATTGGCTTAAAAAAGGTGGTTTATTCTAGACACCGAGGGCGCATTGCTGCGACCCCAGATGCTAAATTAAGGGAGTTTCTTTTAAAATCTGAAAAAGTCAAATCAGAATTCTTTTGTTTGCCAGCGGCCAGCGTGCTTGACCTAGTCAACCCTAACTCAGGGTAGGTTCCGGCCCTTCAGTAGGGATGTATGGAGGCTGATGATGGTTTAATAGTAATTTCTATAATAGAATTTTTATTTCCAGGTGGGAAATATTCATCGGGTCAGTATACATATAAGATTTACCACTTAGCGTCGAAGGTGCCTGCTTTTATCCGGCTGCTGGCTCCCAAAGGATCTCTCGAGGTGCACGAAGAGGCGTGGAATGCTTACCCCTACTGCCGGACTGTGCTCACTGTAAGTTACATACGAGCTATGCGATGAACATAGTTACATCTCTACACATATAACTCTTTTCGTTGCCTTGTTTTTAAAAGATGTTGTTATAGTAATATTATTTTGGTAGTGGCGTTAGGCTTTGGTATATGTCTTTCTGTCGTGGTTCTCCTTAGTGTAAGAGATATAAACGTACATACTTTAGTAAGAGATATCTAGTTTAGTACTAGATGGGCAATAGAATAGATCTTAATAAGTAAAATTAGTCATCAAACAAAGTTTATACAACGCCGGTTAACAATAAGGGCCTTTCAACAGTCGCCCTTGACGTGCTGCATTGTATTGTTCACATATTTTTTATCTAGTCTAGTGAAAGGTTATTTTAAGACAGCAGTGACGTCACAATTCTAAACTATCGACATGTAAATTGATACATCGTCAGTCAGGTATTATTTTTAAGATTTCAATGACATCATTTCAATGCCGTCAATAAGCGAAACTAAAAATAATTGAGTGTTAAGAAAGACTTAAGTGACATGTTGCCATGTGACTTACGAAGCTAATTATTGTATGTGGTATACATTTTTGATTAATAGTTTTAAAATTAATTCACAAATTACCAGACTAAGAACTAGTTTATCAAGATGGTACATCTTTAACAAATAATATACTTTATTTATGGTAACAACGACCCATCTGAAGAAAAGTGTTACATCTCATGAGAAATGAGATGTGATTCTTTGCCTCACTGAAATATAATTTTAAAGTTACTTTTTTTTTGCAGAATCCCGGCTACATGAAAGAAAACTTCGTTATTTGCATAGAGTCCCTACATTTACCTGACGTTGGTGACCAGAATAATGTAAGTATATTTATAATATGATTCTGTTTTTTTTAACTAGGGTCTACCCTCGACTTCGTTAGCGCAGAATTATAATATAATATGCCAGCGTGCATCACGTACCTTCCCGTCAAAGTTTTGCGTAAACAAATGCGCTCTTACGTACAGACAAAATGACAGACGGACAAAAAATTGTAATTTTATTTTAGATATGAGATACGAAAATATATAATTTGCACGAAATATGACACTTTCGATATTGTTATTACATTCAGAGTCTCCAATTGTGTTTATATGTGTTAGGAAAGGATACCTTACCGTGTAAACGAGAGATTTCCAAAATCAGCCCCTCTCCACCCTCTGACGACACCCATGAATCAGTAAATGCGATTTTACAACAATGAGAAAGACTATTCCTTTCTTGGTCGACTAAATCAAGACAATATACAGTCAAAAATGTCTAAAATAACACCAATGAGATTTTTGTTACTCCAAATATTTTTCCATTATACCAAGAAACCAAAAACTTTAATTAAATACATGTGTTTAAGTTAATAGTTGTATATTTTTACACGTTGTTATCGTTTCTATGTATATTTGCCACGTATAATCGTTGCAGTAATTATGCGAGTGTTGACTCATTGTAGATAGGTAGTATCTTAGTACAAAATTAAATAGATTTATCGGTACCAAATAACAACGCCTTCGTCCGACCTTGTCATTGATCCTTAGATAACGGTGTCGATTTTAACCAGCCTTAAAGTTTTAATACGTGTTTTTTCTATACAATCGCAAATATACGATTCTGTTTTATGGTATAGCTGTGTAGAAGTTTTTTTTTATATTATAACGTGACCGTTGCCTAACTTTAATCGAGGGAGGAGAGGGTGCACAGAAAGAAAATATTTTCCCTTCCCATGCATCCTCTCATCTGGAAAGTCCACTTCCACTTCCCATCCTTTCTTTATATGAAAAAGGGTGGGAAGGGAAAGAGGACTAAATTAGGCCTCCGGGACGCACACTCATCAGACGAAACACGGAATTGCGTCCACTTGACGCCTGTCTTCTGTGTTGTCGTGGTATTTCACCGGGCGAGCCGGGCCAGTTCATGCAAAGATGTTAAAGCGGGCTCTACCACTGTTTGTAATCTCACTTCTTACTAATATAAATGCAAAAGTTTAGATGGATGGATGTTTGTTAGAAGGTTAACGTTAACGGCTCAAAGGATCTTTATGAAGTTTGGCACAAATGTATGATAGTCTGGAAGAATCTTTTGCACTCTAAATGCTTGAATGTTACATTTAATTTGTTATTTCTTAGTATTCAAAAGTCGACGCAATTGTGATTGCTACATTTAATTCGTAATCAAGGCGTTTGCAATAGCAATATCTTCAAGTGACAGTCGTTTGCTTAATTAATTTGCCTTCTTTTATACAAGATTTCGTAAAAGTATATTGTCATTTATTGTGAAATTATGTTCTACTTTACATGTATGTGGTTTATATTAAGATTTCGGTAGAAATTTATGAATATATTAATCTTACTAATATTATAAGTGCGAATGTTTATATAGATCGATATTTGTTAGAAGGTATCTTCAGAACGACTTAATGGATTTCGATTAAATTTGGCATGGATGTAGAACATAGTGTGGTAGAACATATAGGCTACTTATTAAGTTTACTATAATTACGCGCGGAAAGTCATGGGCGACAGCTAGTAATCCGAATAATTGCGAATCAATTTTTTTTATATTTAACACTTTTAATATATTTTTTATGGAAATATGGTTCAGACTAAATATACAGTTTTGTTTACTTATATCCGTGACCTTCTGTAGAAGGGTATAACGACTTACTTACGCACTAAGTTAGATTCCTCTTTATAGTATATCTACTTGAAGATGACTTCGACTCCCTTAGTGATCAAACTCAAACGGTAGTCAGAGTCGACATAGTGACAAGTATTTTATAAGTCAGTACACGATCTTATTGCGCAGTTTGACATTGATGTCTTGTATTATGGTAGCGTAAGTGCTATGCCGCGTTAACGTAATTATTTTTAATTACGCAATAAGAACTCTTTAACCGGTATGAGTTAAGTGTCAAGTTACTTAGTTCACAGTCATGATACAATTGCTATTTTTTATGAAGTCGGTACTAATATTTTTTCTTGTTTCATACCTTGAAGAGACACGGTAGTACTATTGCATTCAAGCGGAACTTCTTTTGTCAAACAATTGCTAAAAACGGCCCTTATCAAGGCCATCATACTTTATAGTATTTTAACAATTTCAAATACTTCGCGACGAAAGCGATTTATCGGACGTTCTTGCGGTGAAGGGAATTCAAAGATATGTGGGATGTCAACCTGCACTGGGCCAGTGTGTTTGTCTATGGCCTAGTCACCACTAACTTACCGGTTCCGAGCCCCTCAGTGTGTACGTATAGTGAGCTGATGATGCGACGAAAAGGGTAACAAGAGGTTATAGGAGATGTAAACTTTTCGGCGATACATAAAGAACTAGTCATCATCGTCAGCACTATACGTCCCCGCTGAAGGGCTCGGAGCTGAACCTAAGTTAGGGGGTAACAAGGTCATAGGTAACCACGCCGGTCCAATGCAAACTGGTACCATTGTTCAAATAAAGTTATTTTTGTGAAAGAATATAGTACAATGTGCCCTTATAATTCGTTTTTGTTCATTCGTCTAGAAAATATATGATCGTCAGCAAAATATCGCCTTTCTTACGAGATAAACTTTGACCTTTCCTGTAATAAATCTGTCCCGAGGTCAAACTTCATGTTACAAGGTTTTCTGTTATTCTTAAACTTCGCTTCTAACTTTAGAAAATAAAAATATTCTTGGTATTAGTATTATAGTTGACGCCCGCAACTTCGTTCGCGCAGAATAAAATTAAATTCCAGCTTGATACCTTCACGTGTTTTTGAGAAAAAGAGTCTTGACAGACAGACGGACGGACAACAAAGTGGTCCTATAATGGTTCCGTTTTTTTCCTATGAGGTATGGAACCCTAAAAAGAACGTTAGTAACCTATGTATTTATTATTAGTAGCCTATGTGTTCTTTCAGACTATGTTCTACATCTATGTCAAATTTGACCGGGATTGAAATTCATCCGTTCTATAGATACCTTCAAATATCCATTCATCATCCAAATAATATTAGTAAGACATAAAATATATGAAAAGTAAACAATAAACTTATTGTACATTGTTTCGGTAAAATTTGTTGAGTTTTAATCTGTGAATGCAGAGTTGCAGTATGCTTTATTATTTGCGTCGTATAAAATTTTATTTATCTTTTATTCAACAAAAGATAAATTTTACCTTTTATGTTTTCCAACAAAACTGTGACGAGGCACTTTCTAGAATGTCTTTGTGCCGGAAGCACCGTTATTGAGATCAACAATTGCTACAGTTTAACGTTGACCTATTAGTTTTTTTTTAGTATTAACTGTAGGTTGCCAAATAAACAAAATGTGTCGTTTCGTACTTTCGTGGAATTTGTAGACAAATAAGTTTCTATTGCACAAAAACGTTAATTCGTGTTTGTGTGATTTTTTCCAACGCGAAAACAATATTGTCGACCTTCATAGAGGGCTTACTTTGATGTTTTTTTTTAATTGCAAGAATCACATCTGATCATACGAATCGTCAGCTTCAATCCGATACGAATTAAAAAGTCATCGAGTTCAAATGGCTCAATCACCCATCCAGCCCAAACAATATCATTGGCAATTTGCTTTTATTAAGTTACATCTTTTAATATGGACACAAATTATGACATAGTTACATGACTTTACATTTGAACATACAACTGAGTTATATGGCTTCAATACTTTGCTAGTAAAAATGGTTTACTTAATTAAAGTAAGACATTTTTAAACCAAACTTAACTATGTTTTTTCATATTACTATTTACAATGTGTATTTCGTACCAGATATTCCATTGTTATGGTGGACCTTGACAACTAAAGGGTCCCACACATTAACAGTCCGCCGGCCGATATTAGTCTGTGAGTTAATCGCACTTTTCTCACAGGCCACCAGATACGACCAGAGACTGTTTGAGAAGGAAATCTATTGTTTCATATGTAAAACACAAGTTTAATAAATCATCCCTTCTTTTTATTAGGTGCACGAACTATCAGCTGAGAAGTTAAAGAGCCGCGAGGTTGTCCACATCGACATCGCAAACGACCCGCTGCCTTCCGCCGACTACAAGCCAGAAACCGACCCTACAAAGTTCAAGTCATCGAAGACCGGTCGCGGACCACTCGTCGGGCCCAACTGGAAGAATGATATCAAACCAGTCATGACCTGCTATAAGCTTGTCACTGCCGAATTCAAGTGGTTCGGTCTCCAGGTAAGTTGGTAACGGTCATTTTCGACCCGACGTCCGTCGGTCGAAATTAGCCTGAAATTAATTTGTTTCCTGTTATATTTCCAGAGCAAAGTTGAAAATGTGATCCAAAAGTCGGAGCGACGGCTTTTCACCATCTTCCATAGGTAAGATATCTAAATTATTACTTCTATTATGTATTGGATGCAATTACATAATTGATTGATGCATTAGGGAACTGTCAAAAGAACAAAAAAAGAAAAACAGTAGGCTATGATGATAAGTTAGCTGCGTTCTTACATCACGGTGCTCTACCCGGTACACTGCAGTGAATAAAGCACCATTGTGTTACCTCAATTTTTTCAAAGAGGATAAGAGGGATGGCAATATGTGTAACCTTTACAGACAGGAAACCGAGCACCTTGTTACATTAGTTTTGTTAAGTTATACGAGCATAAGCAAAAATTGTTCAAACGTTATACGGTCATAAACATTTCCAATCATACCAGTAAATGTAGTTATTATCGTAAAATATAATATGTGCCATTAAAGTATTGCAAAGATTAAAAGTGCTTATCGTAATCTATAGATTGTGATGTGTTACGATCGTATTATTATTAACATACTTTATTTTATACTTTTCTTTGAATTGGTAATTTGAAAACATATATCGACAGTTTTATTAAAATTAAAGCGATAATATCATGATATGAGAAATATACGGACGAAAACTGGGTTAGTATACTGTAATTTTGCACAACATGCATAAAGTAAATTTTAAATATTACAAATGTTGCTAAAATTATGAACAGCGACAACATATGTAGATTTTTATAGTTGAAGACATCTTTGTAAAATAAATTATTACGATGATTCGATTAGCTTGCGCCAATCCAATTTTTTGCCTGAAACTATAATAATATCGAATTGCAAACAAACTTGCTTGTATGATGATACTTCACACCAATATAGGTAAGAAGTAGCAATAAATTTGGTTTTCTGGTATTACCTATGCATTTAATTGTTGTATTACAGACAAGTATTCTGCTCTATGGACGACTGGTACGGTATGACGATGGCGGACATCCGCGCCATTGAGGACCGCACTAAAGAGGAGCTGGAGAAGCTGCGGCGCGAGGGCGAGGTGCGCGGTATGCGCGCTGACAACGAGTAGAGACGTGTGCCAGAGCGGAGCTGCCCAGCGGACGTAAGACATGCCCACATACACCCACAACATTCTCACTTGGCAACGCGATTGTACTTCAAACCTTTGGCAGGTCGTAATTGACCGCCAAATTGAAATGGTGGGTCGAAATGACCGCCGATAGAGTGTAGCTAATAAAAAGTTGTTGGAATACTTTCCCGATAATTTTAAAGTGATAACTTGATTGTAATAATAAATTTAGCCAATCTAACTACTTACTTAAATTTTATCAAATGTTTCTTAGATTCACTGATGGGTCATCTTTGATTACCTATTTTTAAAATTTGAAATTTCACTGTTAGAATGTTTATTAAAGAAATATGGTCGTCTGTGAGAATAGAAGTGGTAAGTGGGTGTTGCGTCTGTCGCTCGATGTCGTCGTCTCGCTCCCGCAATGCCCGAGCCTCGACCTGTGAGATTGCATATTCGACTTGTCAAAGTCCTGCTCATTTAACTAATAAAATACGAATAAAATCGTCATTACTAGTGTCCTATCAATGTATTTTAGAATCCAACGTGGCGTTGCGCTTTATTAGTAAAAAATTTAATATTTATTTTACATAGATATTTTGACCATAGATTGCGTGAAACTTGTCAACTTCTGTTAGAGTTTTATGCATTCTATAAATATGTATAGTCTATGGAAATTTAAAGCGATTTCAATTTTAAAAAAGTTAAATAAACAATTTCGTTGTATAAAGGCGATCTCAGTCGAAGCATGGGCATAGTTAACCATTAGCTAAATTTCATTCAACTATGAAAATAATATTTAAATAATATCAATGTAGTCAGTGGTTATAGGTAGTGTTGTGTCGTTACCTTTGAAATATTTAAAATTTGGATAAATTACTCTTTAGCAATGAGATTTGATTGGAATTAAGTCGTATTTAGATCAGATTCTTTCGCTGTTTAAAAAAATATATATAATTAAGGTAAATAATCCTGTCTAGGGCAGGAATTATTTGGCTGTTGTGTATTATAAATTATGATAGATATAAAATAATAGTATATTCCTTTTAGCATCACTCCGTTGCATAAAATGTTGGTGCAATTTATATTTATTTGCGGCAACACTGAACTGTTATGTCAGTTAACTAATTTATTTCACGGGTGTTACAAGGTGAATAAAATCATTAAAATCGGTTGTCGGTTTACTTTGTGCTATTATGATTGTTGCAAATTTTTTATTTTGTACATCAAATTGCAACTATAACTGCATGTATTATATAAGTTTGTTGTTTTAACAAATCAGTATTTTTTTTTTGTAATATTTGTGTGACATTCCAGATTCTATACTGATGATTGTGAATTATAAATGTTTGCCAACAAAGAGATATAAATATTCGCTCTCTGTCGATATTCCATGTTCCAACGATTTGTTGATGTTATGCATAATAAGAGATCAATCCATAATTATTCAAACTTTCGTGACACATTATACTAAACTGATATATAAACACGGCTAAACACTCACGTATAATCGGAATGAGCTGAGGGCCGCGTCCGCGAAATAATACCAGTCCCACTCACCCTGATGAAGAGCCCCCGATGCGCTCGAAACTAGTCGGTGCCGCCACCGGACGTATATACGTGAGTGTTTAGCCGTGTTTATATATCTGAATCCATCCATATATACATGTCAAACCGTATATTTTATATAAATTTCCATCTTATGTTATCATATAAAATTCTAGATTTTATTTTTATGTTCCTTTTTTTTAATGAATTAAACGGTGCCGGTATAGGCACGTGTTTTTTTAATTTGAATCAGGTCTCACAGAGATTCAATAAAATAATCAAATTCATTTAGTTTTTTTTATTAGTAGAATTTGTCTATGGCGCCATGATGCAAAGAGTTTCATGCTTAATGCACTCTGTAGAACGCGTGCACAATAACATAACACTTGCGTCAAATGCACCCGATCACCCTTATTCTAGTTCTTTTCACAGCGATCTGGTTCATGTCGTCGTGTGACGTCATGGGTCTCAGTTCGCATGTTATTGTGCACGAGTTGTTATTCTTTTCTGTTTATGAAATTTAAACAGCGTGATTTTTATTTCTTGGCCGTCTTACAGTGTAGTTTAGACACGCGTAGCGTTGCTTAGTGCTTTTTAATTATTTGTTTTTTGGTTTTTATATTTTTCTAAAGTTCTTATATAAATGTAAAGTACTTAATTTTCTTAAAACTTTACATTTTCTCGATGTAGTAACATTTTTAGCTATTTTAATGGTTTTATGGCTGAAAATAAACTCGCTTTTCTAGATATAAAGTCCAATCACACAATAATAAAAATATTTTCACTATGACGGTGCAAAAGAATTGGGCTTATTATTAAGTTATAATAATAAAAAAAATATAATTTAAAGCTTTCCGCTTTGATAATTGTTAAAGCTTTTTTTTGTTGCGGTTACCAAATAAAATTAAGTACACTTCAGATTTTTTATTTTATTTTCGTGCGAACTGCACATATCTGCTTACATTGCTATGATTGCTATCCTTTTTTTATTTTCTATTAGTCTTCGGTTTATTTTTAAACACAACTAATATATTCTAATGAATATTAACACGATAGCTGCCATAATGATTTTTCGAAAAACGATTTTTTTTTTAATTTTGTCCAAAACCATTTGAATGGGACCTTGCAGGTCACGCTGTATACAATAATTCGATTAAAAAGCCACAGCGAGGAGTGAGGCGAATGGAAGTATGGCTTGTCGGACACAAAGTCCGATACGGCCTGTTTGAAACATTAGCTTGTCGGACATATAGTCCGACATGGCAGCTAACGTGTTAAGTAAAAAAAACTTTTTTTTTTTAAATCTGAATCTTAGTTTGAATTTCGAACCACTACTAAGATACAGATTATGTTACTGTTTACATAAATTTTGAAAAGAATAATTAGATATTTTAAATTTAGTATAATTATTATTAAGAAGACGATAAAATATAGTTATTTCATTATAATTGTAAACCGATGACTAATCTGAGATGAAAAAAAAAATCCTATTCCTCCTTCCTTATTTATTTATAAATATATAAAAACAGATCAGAGCACAGTTAATAGCAATATTTACACAATAGAAAGCTAAAATTGTCAATTTCTAATATTTAGCTAAATTAAAAAAAAAATTCTCGCATCGATATGTAAGTATATAAAGTATTGAAATAAACAACTGTAGTAAAAAATGTACCGTCGACTTTAAAGGCCAACAAAATAAATATAATTTAATCGAATAATTTGTCTTTGAATTTTTCCTAAATGGCCATTTATAGCGTGTCTATTTAATATACATTAGTTTGACAACTGACGCCTATAAAGTATCGAATTAATTTTGTATGACGATTAATGTTGTACTTCATGGACGGTTGTCATAGTGTCGACCGTACGCGCATTACAAACTATCGATAATCGGTCTTGTAATAATATTAATCTAACAAATAATACTATTTCTTTTTGAATTTATTATAGATATTTAGTTATGTCTCGCGCAATCAACTAAAAAAACATTTAAAAAAGCTCTATTTATTTCTTAACATCTCAATTTCTGGTGTAATATTTTATTTTTCTACGTAATTTTGAAGAATAAAATTGACATAAAAAGGAACAATTTCATTTATGTTGTAAATCAAAAACAGTTGTCACGAAATTTTCGATTGCGAGTTCTATGAGAACCATCAAAAATTAAAAATTTTCACAACCAATTTTAATCAACCCATCTCTAGTGAATTGTCAAACTAATCTATCTTAAATAGACACACTATTACACATTTATATCATCTGCTCTTGTATTTCAAATTAATACGTAAATAAAGTAGCATTGAACGTGTTAGAAATAGGATTTTTCGCTTAAAAACATATCAAGAATCAACGGAATAGATGCTGTTTTTGAAAAATGGTGAGTTATGTAAGATTTTCAGTGGCTCAGAGGTTAAGTAGACTGCAAGTCCTGGGTTCGAATCCCATCATGTACCAATGTGTTTTTCGATTTACATGTGTACATTTATCCGATGTTCTTACGGTGAAGGAACACATCGTGATGCAACCTACACATATCAGAGAAGAAATTCAAAGGTATGTGTGAAGTCGACCCGCACTGGGCCAGCGTGGTTAGTGGCCTAGTCACCCCTAGCTCAGGGTAGGTTCCGAGACCCTCAGTGGCAAAAAGGGAAGGAAAATACACAATGGACATTTCAACTTAAATGTTTGGTAAATTCTTATTGTCCTTAGAATAAGGTGTTTAAAAGTACAAACTAAGTTTGTAATAAAAAAAAAACATTTATTATCTTAATAAATAATTAAGTTAAAGGACGATCACGATATAACATGGCAAAATTGATTGCGGTACAGATTACAAAAAACATTAAACAATAAAAAATACTTTTCCATTTAATTTTTTTACAATATATAGACAAATTTAATGGAAATTAGAGAATATATTTACAAATGTCACTGGCTAATAATGTCAATTATTGTCTATGGATTTATTTTAGCAAGTTATAGTGTATAAATTAATTAGCTGTCACTCGCAACTCCGTCCGCGCGGATTAAAAAAAACATAAAGCCTATGTGTTCTTCCAGACTCTATACGTAAATTTTATCGAGATCCCTTCAGCCGTTCTGAAGATACCTTCAAACATACATCCATCCATCTAAACATTCGCATTCAGTATGATGATAGAAACATGTTTGTTTTTAATAAGTCTGTAGTTACAGACTTATTAAAAACAAATGCAAACAATGTGTTATTTAGATATGTTTGTAATAATTATTAATTTCCATTGAATTTGACTATAACGTAAAACACTGGTTATAAAGGACAGCTGTAAAATTTTAGAAAACAAAATATTTCAGAACTTATTTTTTACTCTGCTTACACATTTTTTCTTCATCTTTATTTCAAAGAGACGGAGTTATAATAAGGTTTATACTCGAATGTAGCGATTTGGAAAAACTAACATAGAATATTGTTATTTTTTATAATCTATAAATGAGATCTTGCTACAACAAAGAAGAAACCTAATTCCAAAATTCTAGCCGACTACCATTGATATGTTACAATTAACCTAAAGGTACAAAGAAATAAATTGGCTTTCCACTTAAATCGAATATACAGCAAACTCAACTTAAGCCCTAATTTGCAAGGGCGTTTTTTATAAAGCAGTTATATTAAAGTGTTCATCGCTCGATTCAACTTGACAATGTTGACTTTATCAAGGAATTAAAAAAGTTCCCATGCAATAAGGGCTAACCGATGGTTTCTGAAACCAAAATCCTTCTATAACAAATATTATTATTCCTGTTCTGTCAAACATAACATGTGTGTATTGAACAGGGTTTTCGGTCTCAGAAACCAACCATAATAATTATAATTTAGCACATATCAAAGTCGCTATGACAAGTTTTCGATTGCATTGTGTCAAGTGACATTTCACCAAATCGGGTAAGTAAATAGTACACTGTACATAAAAAATAAGAACCCAAACATAGATAATGTTTGTATATAAAGGTATATTAAAATTCAATCATCAACTTCAAGTTCTAACTCAATATCAGCTAGATTTATCTTCCTTAATGTATTTATCACCATATATCTAGAGAAAATAACATATAAATACCGGAACCACACCATTTGTGATCTGTGCTGCTTCATTGCACGCGTCACACGACGACTTTCCGTCCAACGGAGGAAATATCTGAAAATGTTCAAATACTATTGTAAAATTGTGACATGAGTATAAAATTTTTATATGTAGGCAAAGTTCATTTTACAAGTGTTTTTATACCGGAAATCAGCAGTAAAATAATATAATATACACTAGCTGTCGCCCGCGACTATCCGCTATATGAAAAAATATTAGGTCACTGATTCTCAAACTTATTGAATATTCATATAATTTTTTTTATAAATTTTTTTAATGGCTCTCCGATGGAGTTGCGGGCAACAACTACTTTTATATAAAACGTTATACTTCCCAAAACAATAATTAATATAATATGTTAACAAACCTTTTAGAAGACAGCACAAAACTTAGCGGTAAATCTAAAAAACCCATATACTTTCTCAAAATATTAACAGAATCCATTGTGTAGACTGTGCATCCTGAAACAGTAATAAGTATAATTTTTAAATTATAAAAGTAAATTAAATAATGTTACTCCAGACCCCAGTATACATTTTATAATACACTAGCTATCGCCCAAAATTGAAAAAAAAAGTAGCCTATGTGTTCTTCCAGACTGTGTTCTATATCTATGCCAAATTACATCAAGATCCAATGAGACATTCCAGATATCTTCGAACAAACATCCATCTATCCAATCTTTTGCTTTTGTAATATTAGCAAGAAGTAGATATCTAATACTTACAATTTATTACAGTAAATTACTTACTTTTAGGCATATTCTTCTCAACAAACATATAAGCAACAGCATAAAATACTGCGGAATGATTTGGATGAGATGAAATACCACCTCTATCAAATGTGACTAGTGTGTCAACTTCTAATGCTTCAACATGATGGTGTATAAGTTTAGCTATAACTTGCACCGGCCATTGTACTTTAGGATCATCTTTCATTCTTGTATCATTAATAAGATAAATATTTCCTTCAGGAACTCCAAGTACTCTGCACGCATTCCATAACTCTTCTTCTCTAATATTGCCCTTGCCCTCATAATTACCTAAAATATGTAATAAGGGTAATTAGTTATAGGATGTTACACACATTCAATTGACTTTGAATAAAATAAATTATCAAACATCTAATTAACCATAATTTTGAAGATGTAAGTTTCACATATCATATAAAGTGACTTGTGAGTTTTTAGTTTGAAGGATTTACACAACACAGATACGTTTCATAGTAACAAATGGAATAGAGCCAAGGTAAGCATGTTAGACAACATAAAATCGTACTCACCATTTGATAAACATAATATGTAGACTTCAGCACCCTGTTCGCATAATCTGAATATTGTTGGCCCGAAAAACATGCATTCGTCATCCGGGTGCGCTATTACTAGAAGAACCCGTTTGGCACCGAGTGCTCCACGAATTCGCGTAGGTAACTTCCTTGCATATCGTCGGTACACAACACAACAAACACAAAGGTAGCCAGCGATCCATAAACTTATGTATAAAATAAAATTTCTTAAATATAGCAAAGTCTCAGCTATAAATTTAAGATAAAAATTGTACACTATTTCTACGTTAAAGGACGAGTCAATAAATGACATTTCTGACTAGAATGTAAATATATCTTTGTAAGCTGAAGTATAGAATATTGTTCTTCATCGGTTCAGTATTATTCTAATTGATTTAATACTATAAATGTAATAAATTTGTTACATTATTAATTATTAATGTACTTATTGACTATGTGACGATTATTGACAAGACACCAAAATTGTAGTGACAGAAAGTGACATTGACAGTTGATTTGAAAACATATGTCAATCACATTGCAGCGTTCGTGAACTTCATTTGTAAATTAGGATTTTTTTTCTACATGAATCAATTTTATTTGTAGAATTTTTATAATATTTAAATATTAATGAAAAAGATAATTTGTATTGTGAAGAAGCATTTTCAAATGCATTTATATAAGTGTCCGTGTAATTCTTTTATTTAGTCTTTGGCGAGCAAACCGTCGGCCTTTGACGAAAGGTTGAAGTTTATTTGTTTGACATTTTGACATTGGAATTAATGTCAATTCAACAATGTATCGTAATTGTAATAATTTTTATTAAATTGTAAAAACCTTATCTATTAATTAAACGCTAGATCTGGAAATTTTGTTAGCACAATATTATTTGTGTACTTGTAACAGTTTTTTGAGAACAAGCTTTGATTGTGCTGTGTCGAATAAGAATTATTGCGATCAAGATGATTCAACCGGACTTCTCCCCAGCTATAGGTTTCCTTGATCATTTGAATTCTGACGAATTAAAGGAAATACTCAACGATGATACAAAATTTGATGCAGTTTTGAAAGACGTAAAACAGGTAATTATTTAGATTATAAAGTATCCTTTATTGTCTATACAAATATTTGTACTTACATCTAATGTTTTTTGTAAACATCATTAGGTCAAGCAATAGAAACTGAATACAAGTTTGTACTTGTTGCTCTTCAAAAATAATATTTTTGTTATGAATTACAAAGCTTGTAAAAAGTTTTTGAGGACTGAACTCTCAGTAGCTATTTTCGTACATGAAAATCCAAATAAAGTTTTGCTTATTTACATTAAAAAAAACATAATTGATGAAGATACACAGTAATTACATAAACAATAGTATTTATTAACAACAGATTGTTTACAAATAAGGTTTTATAAGACAAACAAAGGATGTTTGTAACAAAATGTTGCTCATCTTTGTTGTTAGCCAGTAATATGCATTGTTGTTTTGTTTCCATTGTTCTGAATACAGAGTTAATTATAACAGTTTATAGATAAAAATAGACACAATTAATCAGTAAAATATAGGTCAGTTCTAGTAGATAATTTAGGCTTGTTTTTGATAATGACAGATTTTTGTATTAAGAAATTTAAAAAAAAATTATAATAATAATAAGTAGCTGTCACCTGTGTCTCCATCCGCACGGAACGGAACGCAGACTAAGTTCTGTCTATACCAAATTTCAACAAATTCCATGTAGCTATTCCGGAGATAACTACAAACAGACATCCATCAGTCCATCTAAATATTCACCTTTATAATGTTAGTAAGATAATAAATTCATAGTACTATGTTAATGAAATTGCATTGTTTACTTTATTTGATTTAAATGAGGCATTTAAAAGTCCCGTTTTAATAAATATTTACTATTCATAGGTGAAAGATTGGGAGACAGAAAAGGAAATGATGATTGCCAGCAACAGATCCTTGGCTGAGTTTAATCTGAGCCAGGAACCTGAATTAGAAAAGTTAAAAAGTCAAGTACAACAAAAATCGGAACTTGGTGAACAGTTATGTAATCATATTCAAGAACTTTTAGATGAATATAGTAAGTTTATTTTTTAATTTTTTATCCTTCAGAATCTAATTTTCACATTTATTATTTTATTCATATTTAAATGCCTATGGTTACAAATACAATTTTTTTTTAAATATTTCTTTTACCATTCCAACTAAGCTCCAGGCTTATGCTAGGATATGATTTACGACGATAGTCGAATGGCGGGATTCGAACCCCCGACCTCGTGATCGGAAATCCGTACCCTTAACCATTAGGCTATTGACGCTTTTAATATATACCTGAATAGGCAATAAATCTCTATAAGTCATTTCATTTCAGAAAATAAATCAGCTGGTATATCACCGGATACAACGTTAGCACTGCTTCAAACAGCTGCAGCGGAATCAGAAGAACAATCCGAAAATATTGCACAAGACTTTCTATCAGGGAAAGTTGATGTTGATAAGTTTCTTGAAGATTTTGAACCAATTCGCAAGAAGATGCACTTACAGAAATTCAAAGCGGACAAAATGAGTGAATTGTTACGGTCTGGAAGTCAAAGTTCTTACGGTAATGGCCTAGCTAAACCATTCTTGCCGTACCCGAGTTATGCTCAGAATGTACCAAGCGTACCATACCCAGTTGGACCTTTAAATATGCCAATGCCCGGAATGTACGGTAACCATTTTTAATTACGTAAATAAGTTTTTTTATTATCATGTGGATCGTGATTTTTTATATTAATGTCGTAAAAAGTACTCGACAATGCTTCGAAATTCAATTACAATTAAGTTTTTTTTTATAATTTTTTTATAATTTCATTTTCACTTCCCGTAAGCCAGTACAATTTGTACATAATAAAATACTTTGTCGTTTTTTTTGTAATCAATTATAATAGTAATGTTTAGTTTTTAATTGATTTAAGGTTTTAATGTAGTCGCGATTTAAAACTGGCTACTTTAAAACACAGGAATTAAAATTAAAAAATAAACAGTTGTGGCTAATGCAAATATCAAGGATATGAATAGTACCTATTTAATAATAAAAAGGTTCAATAAACTAGATTAATATAATTTTTTGAATATTTGAATATGAGGGAATTATTACAATTGTGATGTATTGGAAATCTCTAATTTAGTTCAAGTTAGGGAAGATATTTGATAGTTACCGTTGGTTTCTGAGACCAAAATATATGTATAAAATATATCGTCTTCTGTCTTTATCATTGACAAAACAAGATCAACATTTTTAGTCTCAGAAACCCATGGTTAGTCATTGTTGTATGGAATCATTATTTTAAAAAAAATATTCAAAAGAAATTTAAATTGGATTGTATGAATAAATTAAGACTATTTTTTAATTAAATGAATAATCTTCATATAAAATTTAAATTCAATATATTAGAATGTGTTCTAGTAATAAAGGGCTAGATTCAATTTCATCAATATTGAAAGATAAAAACAAAAATGTACATTGAATTATTAATTTTTCTTTGATTATCAGTCAGAAACCGATTTTAACGTATTAAATATCTTCATTCATTTCATAAAAAAGACAGGATTCCGTTGCTTTTCTCAAAATAAATTAGACTGATAATTTCAAAAGAGACTATAATAATTACTTTAGCTCTTGAATGTTTTATTTTCCTTATGTATTTGGTATTTATACGTTTATCAGTAATTTAATTTACGTCAATTGTTATCATAAATAAATTTATTTGTAATACACAACTGTCCGCTTAAAGTGGTGCTTATGTAGACGGAATGTGATTCTTACTGTATTAAGTAGGCAAATAATATAGATTAAATTAAATAATGTTTTCATTTCTATTAATAAACGACCAGTTTTTTTTAATCTAATTTCTAAATGCAGAGACCAGGAACGATGTCAACTGTTCATCTCTGTTTTTGTTTGATGGATCGACTTGTTACAACAGTTAAATCTGAATAAGTATGAATCCGGTCCCAACGGACGACCTTCATAAGTGATTCGGGTTAGAGAGAAGACTCTATCAGCAAGAAAAATATGGATTTCTGAGTCCAAAATCTTCGTTCAAAATATATTGTTATCTGTTTTGTCAAAGATGAAAGACGGGGTGAAGATATATTTTATACAGAGGTTTTGATGTCAGAAACCCACTGTTAGTCATCTTGGGCTTATCCAGGTCCTACTAATAAATCAGTTTTGGTATAGTATTTTTCAAATATATTAGAGGCGTGGAACTTTACACAGAACACAATATTATGAATAGCAAGGCGTAAATGTTGGGGAGAGAGTTGACCTTGAGCCGCCAAATATATTGAAAAGCTTTATACTATTTACATCTCGTTGTTTAGTTATATATAAATCCTGTAATTATAATTGATTGCGATGTAAAATTTGTTATGCACATGCCTAATATGTAAATTTCACTATTCATAATTTTAAGATATCAAAAATATATCTGCACGTAATCGCTCCCAAGCACACTCAAGTTCGGAATGCCAAATTTACTCTCGATTACTCACTAAGACCGAACTGGTCACTAAGGGAGCCCTTAGTTTAGATTCAGTATTTGAAATATGCACTAAGATTCTATTTAGGTAACCAGTAAATTACTAAAAGGGTAAGTAATACTTCGTTTGGTGTCACTTTGTCTGCTGTAAACAACGAAACTTTTATAAACAATTTTAATAAGCAATCAAACGTTCATCAGAATAATTAAAGAACCTAGATATACGTACTACGCGTGCGCAAAAACATGATAGTCGTGTAAAGTAAATGATTGTGCGTCATAGATACTATAGCGATAAAATTACTATGTCAATTTAGTTACATTAATTTAAGACATAAATGTTTTAGTTATGTCTACGCATAAATATCGAGTTGTCATAAAATATGCTTATTTTCGTGGCATGGGTTGATATAATGTGATTATTTTTAAGAACTTTTTTTTTAATTAATTAAAAGAATCCTTTTATTCTTTGTGAAAAAAAAACTATCTCAATTAGGAGAGTTTAATAATTTGGTGTATAGACTAAGTGTATAGGATTGCATTTTTTAAAATCAGATATGTATTTATGTTACGAATATAATTATAATTAAATTAAATGGAGTTTCAATTTAAGTCATTGACCGTGACTTTCTGATACCAAATTTATGCGTAAAACATATCATCATCCCTTTCATTATCTTTAACAAAACAGAGATAATTTCAGTCTCAGAAACTCACGGTTAATAATTGCTACTATTACGCATTGGTTAGAATTATTTGGAATGGCGAGCTTTCGTGAAAAAGTCAAATGTCAGATTGATTAGTGAGGGGACATAAACGTTGAAATTTTAATAAGGCTAGTGTTGCGATACACCGGCACAGTGACGGATTTTCTTCCTAACACTATACAAGAATCGAGGTACTTTTTTTTGTTTGAACAAAAACGCATTTTTTTTATAAACATTGCTTTAGTAATTTAAAGTTGAGATATCTAAATATGTACAATATATACATATAGTCTAAGTTATATTTAGTCGCTCAAAGCAAAATCAACTGGAACTAACAATATTAAAAAAATAATTATCTAATAACAATTGTTCTAAGTGGACTTGATATTTACTTGTCTATGGTTTCTTTATTCGCGGTAATATTTTTAACAACACGGTCTTTGTCGTAATCATCTTGACCATAGACAACAAGAAACAGGAATAGACAACCAACACCGAATAGAGTGTAAAATAAAGTTTCTTGCTGTGTCCCCTGCTGCAACTCTCTAACTTTTGCTGCTTTCTTTTTAAGAAACTCTTTATCTTTGATGGACTTTTGCAATAAATCACCGTAGTGTTGTTTTGACCTGCAATTCACTTTTAAAATCAGTCAACAAACTATTGTCAATATTGTCAGTTTTTAGGGTTCTGTAGCTCCTATGGAAAAAAACCTTTATAGTATTACTTTGTTGTCCGTCCATCTGTCTATCAAAACCTTTTTTCTCAGGAACGCATACAGGTATCAAGCTGGACTTTATTTACTGCCATCAATTGAATTCGTAAAAAAAATCTTTTTTGCAACATACCATGCATCAAAGTCGTAGATTGGTGTTCTACCATCCATGGTTGGTGCTACTTGTCGTTTAGAATGTGATCTGTAAAACTTAAGTGTTGGATCATCTGGTTCAGTGTCGGGAGTATAATCCATTCTACTTGTATTCTCCCTGCCGGTTAGCAAACCTGAAATACATTTATACAATAATCTTACTAATATTATAAATGCGAAAGTTTAAATGGATGGATGTTTCTTGGAAGGTATCTCCGGAATGGGTCAACGGATCTTGATGAATTTTGAAAATAGAACATAGTCTGGAAGAAGACATAGGTTACTCATTTCTTTTTTCCGCACGGACATAGTTGCAGGTGACAGCTAGTATACAATATTGTCATTACTGGAATTATTTCTGAGTGTTTAGCCGTGTTTATATATTAGTTTAGTATAATGTCTCACGAAAGTTTGAATAATTCCTTTTCCTTATACAGGATCTCAATTATATTAACTATGCTTTTGCACATATGTATTTTATCAGCAGTATTACTTCCTTCTTATTCATATTCCAACAATCAATGTATGCTTTTTGAGTTAAATTGTTACTATGAGATGAAATCAATTAAATCAGTTAACTTCAGAATAAAAGTTTAATTTTTCAAACTTAACATCAATGTACACTTTTTATGCTTTAAATTTATTTCATCTTTTGCTCACCTTTGTCGTACATTTTTTTTAATTTAATATTTCCTAACACCTCATATGCCTCTGTTATAGCTCTGAATTTCTTAGCAGATGTTTCATCCTGTAATACAATAATTTTTTAATGATATATTTCATTTACAGCAATATCAAGGGGCATCAATGTTTTATTTAAATTAAGTTAAAGATAAATGATGATTACTTTCTAATAGTTGTTTGAATCAAGTGCATATACAATGAACACTACCAAGTGACATTGAAAACATAAATATTAAATTCAAACTCATTCTTCCCATAACCGGCCATAAAAAGCCACAACCTTAAGAGAGATTATGATGATGTGTCTATGGTAAAAATTGTCACTGCTTTTCTAGTATCAGTGTGGAATAATACTATAGAATAAATTTCTAAATTATCCCATGATTTGGATGTGATTTAAAACTGGTAGAATGGTTTAGTAGAGAGGAAACATAGGTTTATCAGCATTAAGGCATAAGATGATGTTGCACTACTTCTGATTTAACACTGTTGCGGACTAGGCTCTGTTATCAGTAAATGTAGATAATCAATATTAAATGTAATTAAAAAATCAATTATTTCATTGATGTATATTGTATGATACTTACACTCGATATATCGGGGTGATATAACTTGGATAATTTGTAATAGGCTGATTTAATATCATTTTGTGTTGACTTTGGCGTAACACCGAGTACATCATAGTGACTAGCGCATAGCCTTGGTCTTGAAGATATATTACGAATAGCACTTAAAATTATCTTCTGCTGCCTTTGTCTCAACATCTATTTAAAGATATATACACAGGGTAAGTTAGAAATAATACGCAATATGTATTACAACAAAGTTATTGCTTTGGTTATAAACTTTACTAAATTGTCCAACTTACTTGTACCCAAATATGATATTAATTAAACCTATTAAACAAGACCCTTTAAGGGTGATTTACTGTTATCCAGGATAACGGAGGCCAGATTAAACCTGTAATTTTTTCATTTTGTTTTGGACAAAAACCTTGAAATTACAGGTGACATTGACAGGAACGTAATTATTTAAAAGTTATGCAACGATTTGACTTTTGCCTAATTTTCCACCAACATTTTTTTGCATACTTAAAAATGTAATGTAATAAAACGTTTTTTGATAAATACGGTTTCTACGTTTCTATCGTTTTTTTTCTTTAATAACTTTTTTTTAAGAAAGGTAAAGGCAATCTCTTCTGCAAAGTTTAGAGAATCTGTACAAGTGAATAATTTAAATGTTTATCTGTGGACACTACATATATTTTGATATTTTGGACAAAAAGTTAGTCATTCTTTACGAAAACTTAAAATAATATTTCTACTTGTTTTATTTCTTTGTTACCGAGAACAAAACATTAAAATACCTTGTAAGTATAACTTTTGATAATATTATGTGTTATACTATTAAAAATGTAGAACAGATGGTTTTCTTAAAGAACATCCTTGAGTAAACAGGGCGATTTAAAATGCACTACCATAAAAGGTATTCTTGGGTATTTGAGATTGTGACATTGTGTCCTACATATTTTAAGTTCGAGTTTCGTCGCCTAACGTAATTCGTTGAAAATTTTGTGATAATGTCAGCATGCATGAGTCAGCCTGTGGTTAATGAACGTTAACGTGCAGAGTGACGGGTAGCAAGCGATTGTCGTGCTTGCTTCGCGATAGAATTTATTTTTAACTTATAACATACGTGGTTTTAACATCTTGTTGTTAAAAACTGGCTGCTCCGTTAATTTATTTCCGTTAAATTTCTACGAGAATATCGTCGTCTTCAGCATATAACGTAAGACTTATTGGTTTTTAATTATTTTTTTAATGGTTAAAATAATCAAATAACTTCTATGTGTGCTTTATTATCGTATTCTTACCCATAATTCTACATTTGCAAGTAAATTGATTGTGATTGTTTTAAGCTAGACTTAGAATATTTATGAAAATGGTCATAGAGATATGAGACCTCTTTGATTAGGCGATTTCTTTTTTCTTATAGATAATGTCGTCCAGAAAGACCGCAGGCCGCCGTGGCACCAACAAAAAGCGCGCCCAGCGTGCCACATCAAATGTATTTGCTATGTTTGATCAGGCACAGATTGCAGAGTTCAAAGAAGCATTCAACATGATTGACCAAAATCGTGATGGTTTTGTTGATAAAGATGACCTCCATGATATGTTGGCATCACTTGGTATGTTTACTTTGTTTTAATGTTTAGTTAACTTGTATTTATATATATAAAGCTAAGATAAGCTTCATTACCAAAATAAGTAATTTTTATTTGTTGAATTTGTCACAATATATTTATTAGGAATAAATATTTTTAATGTTCTTTATTTTATAGGCAAAAATCCAACAGAGGACTATCTAGAAAATATGATGAACGAAGCTCCGGGACCTATCAATTTCACCATGTTCCTTACATTGTTTGGTGAACGTCTCCAAGGCACTGACCCTGAGGATGTCATTAAGAATGCATTTGGGTGAGTAACAAGCATGATAAGCAAAACATAAACCAACTAAGTTCCATCAAATCCACAAATGTATTTTGTGTAAAGATTTGATGTTTTTGTACAAGTCTTTTGACAGTGGAAATCTAACAATAATTTGTTAACAGATGTTTTGATGAAGAAAACAATGGTGTGATTGCTGAGGAGAGGCTTCGTGAGTTACTGACCACAATGGGTGATAGGTTCACCGATGATGATGTTGATGAAATGCTCCGAGAGGCACCCATACGTGATGGCTTGTTCGATTACGTCGAATTCACGCGTATCTTGAAGCACGGTGCTAAGGACAAGGATGAACAGTAAGCAGGTTATTATAAAATATCAACCCATATTTACCATCCAATTTTATCTTTATATTCTAAGTCAATTGTCTATGGATTGAGTTTTTTGTATTATGAGTACTGGCATTTCAGATATATAAAGTTCAATGGTGGTCATAAGAATTAAAAATAAAAAATATTTGAGGATATGTTTCGTCACTTGATTAAAAATGTAGAACAAAACAATGTACTCTTGTTTCATAATGTAATACATAAAATAATATTTTGCTGTTCTATTACGAAATATTGAGGTTAAATATGAAATATATGGATTCTTTTTAAGCTTTATGGATTAGTCAGTCGTTTTAACATTTCTAAAATGTCTGCTGTCAAACTGACATATTGGTATAAGTTTAGAAATAAGTTTTAACAATGAGACATGCATATAATCTCGAAAGATAGCAAGGTGCTACAAAATGTAGTTTCTAAGAGTTTTGCATTTCAAATTGATTGCATTTTTTTCAAAAACATTTCCATTAGCTGTCAAGTTTTTAAATATACATGTTTTTTTTTTCTAAAAGCATTTTATTTGATTGACTAAGCTAAGTATTATTATCATTCCTTAATTGGTTTGTAAAAAATGTTAGTTTTCTGGTTTGTGTTTAATTCACATTTATGTATTTCTGTTTTTTTTTTATTATGAAATTGTCTATGCACTTTAACCTACTAATTGTGTGCAACAATATAATCTTGTATTTATTTAAATATTACGTACTTATAAATTTTATCAATAATATAATGGAGTTTTATTTTTTTTGCACCCATTTTTACGAATTTACTGCAAACGAGGTTTTATAGGTAGTAGCTTTGTATGGGCAACGGTTAATTAGTTGCTTACAAAAATAGTTTAACGTTAATAGGCTATTAAAAACTTCTTGCGTTATAGATTGTTCCAGAATTTAAAACTATATTCCACCAAAAGTCAGAATTACACAGAAAATTGTGTGCTCGAAAATATTCTATAAAATTGTATTCAGAACTTTTTTATATCAGTTCATATGAACTTTTTCATCTACAGTTGTGTGCTGTAAGTTTGCTTTGTTAAATACCAACCAATACAAAATATTTTATCATTTGTCTCTCTCATTTTCATTGATTAAACAGAGATAGCAATATGTTGTTGGAACATGTTTGAAAATAACGGAACATTACCCAAGTTAAATATAATCATCGTCTCTCGTCTGTCATTGTTACTTCGAGGTAAAATATTTTAAGATTGACTCATTTAAATGAAATCTGCACCGTGATTCATGTTTGAATTGCTTAAATTTATAAATATTGTGTTTTCACCACTGTTTAAAACATCTGTGAATCAAGGGACTAGGTAACTGAAAAACAAGTTAGAGGTATTTTTTAAAAATAAAAACAAAGTCTTAATAATTAATTTTATTATTAATATATCAATGATTTAAATCTAATTCACTTAAAATCTGAGATCATAACATAGTTTCAAATAAAAAATTCGATAAACTAAAGGTAGAAGTAACGATATTAAATTAAAGATTCATGTAAATTAGCCGTCCTTATTCCTCTCACGTAGGGTGAGCGCGCCAGACTTGGTCCTCCGTCTAGTCACTGATCTTTACAAATGAATTGCGCTTGGTAATGACAGCTCTTGTATTTTTACGATTTAAACTCGCCCGTTAAAGTCCCTGACAGTAAATTCTATCTCTATTATTTATTTAAATCCTCACCTTCACACAGAAATGGTGAAAATCAAATAGGCACAAAATACTACGGTTTATAGCCTGTCCAAGTATAGACGTCAGTGATCCATCCATCCATCTCTTTCTAATCCTCTGCCGGTATCACATTCTTATCCACGTAAATTCAATTCAATAAAATGAATTTTGGTTTTATCTAACACTAATTTTAACTTATTTCAAGTGCTACAGTATCGTTAAATTATTATTTACAAAGGTTTCTGCATATATTACGGTAAACATAACACTATTATTGCTCTAGTAATACAAAACGTGTAATAAATAATGTGCCGTGTGTTAAAATTATTAAAAATGTATTTATTAACTACGTGCTTTTCTTTATAATTTGTCGATAGTGACATACTGGGGTGATTGACTAACCGTTTGTTTCTGTCATCAAAATCTCGATATAAAACATATCGTCATCTCTTTCAAATTTGACAAAACAGATGTATTAAACTGGAATTTTGGTCTCAGAAACTCACGGTAAATGATTAACGCCACAATCCCATCATGCCTATCAATTTCGTTGAAAAACTGATTTAAAATATAGGATGAAACCTATGGAAAATACATATATTTTCACAAAGTATCAAACAAAGAAAAGATTTGCAAACTAATTTTGCACAATAATTTGACTTTATAGCCTGTCCATTATAAATACGAGGCCCAGTATTTCTTGATAAAGTCGACACCACGCTCGGCGACCATCATGATCACGCCCTGTGGGTTGCCTGTTGGCTGCTTTGGTATTGCAGATGCGTCTATAACTCGTAGACCTAGAAAATATTTATTAGATAACTCAAAAGACTACTTCCTTGAACCTTTTAATGGGGAAAATGTGAACAAACCGTAACCGTAAATAAACAGCTCCTGAAACTGCAACCATTATCTTTGAACTTTGTTCAGCGTACAAAATAACTGAATACTAAATAGTTGGTGCTTCGATGGATTTTTAAAGTCAGAAAACAGAATTGCCCTTTCTAATACTTTTGTAAATACTTTTTTATCCCTCCAATTAAGAAATATTGTGATGTTTAACACATTCAGTGCCAACTATGTTAAAATTAAGTTGCCGATTCAGTATTTCCATCCTAGGAAGTGAGGCCTTCAAGGGTCATTAAGAGTGTACCAACTTTCGAACACATTACCTAACATCAATTCATCATAACAAAAAGCGTTGAACGTGTTAATATATGGGACATACCTTTTATATTATACACGGCTAAAGTATGGTCTAGCACAAGTCCCATAGCAGCGGTGCCGACCTGATGGTTCTGCGGGTCAGTGGCAACTCGCGCGACGCACTCCAGCCATTCTTCACTCCACTCCGCTGCTGTGCATTGCTTTGCGAACCCAGGATGCAACTTTATCCCGTATTTATGACGTAGCGTCTGTTCAAATTATATTCATATACAGAAAATTTATTTACTTAATAGCTTTTTTTACGCGTAGTCGGGTGCAGTAACAGTTTTAGGTCTATTAGCTTCCTTGGAGAGATTTTTTATCATGCGTGGAGGGAGAAGGGGCGGGGGTTACCCGCTACCCTGGCTTAACTGAGTTACGTGAGACTTTAATTCGAAGACCCATGATGCCCCTTTCTATCTAGCGCCTTTTTTTTCAGAGGGGAATGCTTTATGCATACTCCGCGCCCCGGGGGGGACGCGGTAGTTATGTGAGATTCTCCTCCATAGCGGAGGCATACCCACTAAACCCCTCTGTTCCTCCAAAGCATCGGGACGGGACCACGGGCACGCTTTCGCTCTCGTCCGCGGCCCGCTCTATCTAGCGCCCTGAGCGGTTGACCAATCGCTCCCAACCTAATACCGGCCATGTCTCACGAATGTTTTAATAAGTAAAGTAGAAGAACTTGTATATTATAACTTTGAAAATACAAATTTTTTATGTGGTTTGAAAAATTAAAAACCTCTAAATTTCCTTAATAATGTTAATCACAAATACAAGAATCATAAACAAGAAAAAACAGTTTTAACTAATTAAAAAAAAATGTTTTAGTTGTATAACTACGTTTGGTCGTAAATAATACTTACATGACTTTTTAGTATCCTGTGCACGTAGTTTGCTGCGTCTTTCACCAACAGCATGTCATCGGGATGTGAGAAATACTGCGGGTAGAACACAGGACGGACCTTAGGGTCGCTGGAGGTCAGCACCATGTAACCCACACTGCGCGGCTGTAGCGCCACCGCGTTTATACTGGGAACCAAATTACCATGTAGGGTAGTTGAAGAATTCACCGTCAATTAAATTTAAAACAAAACTAAACGAATTTGACATATCGTGTTAGTTTAATAATATTAGTTTTTTTTTAATGAAACGACCAAGTTAAGGCCCATAAAAAGTTGTAAAGTAAAAAAAAATGTGATGCGAATACGAATAATTTTTTTTTTTTTAATTTTATTTAGAGCGTTTACTTTTATTGTTTTTAAAAGTAAAAGTGTACCTTATATTAACTCCTTTTTGCCCAATAACCTCCGGTTCTCCCACCTTGCCTGTCTGTGAGCATTCCGCATAAAAACCGTTGAAGAAAAACTGTAAATCAGGCTGGTTGTGACTCCGATCTGCCAAACTCGAGTACAGCAGTCCTGACAACTGCACAAATATTATAATACAAACATATTGTTAATTTACCTAAGAAAACTGCCGGAATACGTGAACTGTCTCTTACAAATGGAATGAAACAAAAACAAGTTTTTATAAGTACAAGTATTTCAATAATGGAAAACATAACCTCTTATTTTCTACAACCCAGACTAAAGTCGTAGTATTTTGTGCCTATTTGACTTTAGCTATTTTGTGCACTGATGGCACTTAATAGAGGTTTGGGAAACTCAAACTAATCATGATTACGATGACTTTAAAGAGACGAAGCAAATGCTTTTTATATAGAGATCATTGGTGGACCAAAAATGTGTAACTTACCTGAGTCAGCCCAGTGGCGCTCATAGGCCCGTCTCTGTTCAGCAAATATTGAACTAAAGCGCTCCAATCCAGGCATCGTTTCTGATCGTATTTGGTCATTAATAGCTCTAAAGTCACGCCGAGATGGTTCCTCAGGTTCTGACCTACGGGCAGGTCTGCTATGACTGGTATACCGTAACCTTCCAGCATACCTCGGGGACCTATGCCTGAGTGGAAGAGGATGTGAGGAGAGCTGAGGCTGCCAGCGCTTAGTATTACCTGGAAAAGCTTTGAGTTTAGCAAGTTGTGAATAATCTGCACGATACTATATTGTGACGTGGTAGTTCTCAAATCCAAAAGTAGGGACAGCAAAACAATTAAAAAAATAATTATTTTCGATCTAAACCTCACAGTTGTAAAAAGTAAAATTTTCATTATACAGCCCCTACTTATCTAACGACATTTGACTGATAGAAGTAATGTCCCGCACATTCTATTATAATTTAAATTTGCGGATGTAAATATTGCAGGCGCTTAACTTACTTCTTTGGTAGCGTAAACAGTTTTTATATTTCCCTTTTCGTCATAATATTGTACACCATACGCGTGGTTGTCTTCTATCAGAACTTTAAACACGTGTGCGTTTGTCTTGACATGCAGATTCGGTCGTACGAAACGCGGCTTTAGAAACACTCGCGCTGTTGTATATCTTTGACCGTTTCTGTAAACATTGCGCTATTTTTGTTAAATCCCACTTCAACATGGCTTTACGGATTTTGCGAATACAGCTTTGCAGGACTAATATCGTCGTGTCAGTGTCAATCAATGGAAATGGTACAGTCAGCTGCATAAATATTTATACATTTAAAAAACTCTAGAATCTTCGGCCAAAAATATGGATACTCGTATTCGTCATTCGCACGTATTCATGGCCGGAATCACTCGAACGGATACGTTTTTGAAACCGAAGGCGTGTATACAAATTTTTGAAGCTTTGTAATTGTATAAATATTTATGAAGGTGATTGTACACACTCCTCATAGAAATTACAGTCGCAACGCCGCGCGCAAACAACATTTCTAGTCGTTTTAGTGGAAAAAGACTTAATCGATGCCGCGCTCGCCTTAGCTTGATAACCTACCTTTTATGAAATTTGTCATTCTTCTTAATAAGTAATAATTAGTAATAATTATTAATAGTCTTTTAAAAAGTTCTTATTAGAATTTCATAGGAAATAGAAATATTTATTTTTTTAGACGAAAACTCAAGGAAACCAGTTTACATTGTTACTTACTCAGTAAAAGCCTGTGCAATACAGAAGCCTTCAGGAGTATTAGGGTCGTTCATATCCTGTATGACGGGCAACCCAGCTTCTCTGATTGCTTGCATCATATCGTATAGAAATGGAGGTTGGTAATTGAACTGTGGATATTGGAAATATTTGTTGAATTATCTAGTTAACTTTTATTTATTATAAGGTGGCAAATGATTAAGCGGCCACATAAATTCGCCAAAACAGCAAAGAGACCGCTATCTACTGTTAGGAAGAAAATTCGACACTGTGGTGGTGTACTAGCACAACACTAGCCTTACTAAAATGTCGGCGTATATGTCCCCTCACTAATCATTCTGACACTTGGTAATAAAAGGGCGCCATTCGCGCCAAACAATTCTAACTAATAATGTCTAAAACTACGCAGAGGAGGAAACGCACAGACAGAGGATATCGCTTTACAATACGTCCCTTCTTCTATCAAATACAGTTCCCCTATCCACTCCTTTCTTATAAGGAGAAAGGGGACTAAAATTAGGCCTGCCAAACCATACTCATACGAAACACGGAATTACTTCCACTTCAAGTGTATATTCTGTGTGGTCATGATATTTCACCAGTCGATCGATATATTTCTGCAACAATTATTGCTGTTGCGAATTGTACCTATATATTTACGTGATGTTTTTCAAAAAGAAAAATAATGATAAAGAACTTACTTGTTGTACCGGCATCGGTCCTGTTTCCGAATGATAATGTGAATCAACCAAAGTGCCGACTTGTCGATTGCCTTCAGTCATATAGAAGAAAGGTAAGTTATGTTCCCAAGACCATTCTTTACCCCAAGCTGTGTAGTCAGCTGCATGGCCGCGGTGATACATCATACCATTTAACACACTACTGCCACCTGGTGGTGGAAATTCATTGCTTAACTTTACTATATAATTTCAATCATTGAAGGGTATTTACCCCAATAATGGATATTTATTATTTGTCTTAATAACATACCGATTACTTTCCCTCTAGGCCAAAAGCATCCTTTCTCTTTCTGATCGAGGCAGTAGTTACCCGGTGCAGTGCGATATAACCAATCGATGTCCTGATTCTGCCAAAAATTACGATAGAAACCGGGAGGTCGAGCACCAATTGGCTCCACTCCGCCCGCTTCTAGCAATAAGACCTGTATTTAAAAATTAAAAAGAACAAATTTGCTACAATAATGTTGCAATTATGTAAATCGAAAGACCCTGAATTATAATAATTTGGAATAACTAATGTGGACAGATCATTCCTCGAATCGGTTATGTAGGGTAGGGTAAATAAAATAAGCAACAATACCCGACCGAATACAACCTTATAGCACCCAGTAGAAGATTATTAATCAAAGCTAGGTAATAACTGGGTCCCTTACCTTAAAATGTTCTATCTCACTCATTCTTCCAGCCACAATAGAGCCCGCTGAACCTGATCCCACCACAATAAAGTCGTACGCTTCATCTACTTTGTCCACCGGGTCTATTTTACTGCAGGGAGTGGCGATATCGCAGCGACCTCGAAGGTAAGCTTCTAGCAAAGCCATGAATAATACCGCGGCATTACATACAGTTGAGTTCACAAGTGAGACACCAGTCTCTGTTAATGGACAGGAACATGACTGAAATTATAGCAATATCAAATGTGTACTCAATTGAGTAGTATCTGTGAAAGAACCATTGTAGAAGATCGTGTACGAAAAAAAGAATCAATTTTTTTTATTATTCTTTTTTATTTATTTTTACCTGCGGTGCCAGTATCATCTTGTAAGAGTTGCCGTTTCCCACGTGTTTTGAATCCTGCAATTTGAAAATAAAAAAACAAATTGTCTCTGATCGTTATTAAATTAATATTATGAACTTTCATGTATTTACTGTCTAAATTCATGTAGCGCTTTATCAATCACTCAAATGTTTGTATCATTTCGTTTTGTACAAGTTGTTTATATAAGTTGTATTAAACAGGATATTAGAGAATGTATGAGGATCCTAAAGATCCATGCTCTATATGCAAATAAAACATATTGTCTGTCTGTTCAGGATTTTCCTAAGACTAAGATAAGACATCTTACTAATATAAATGCGAATGTTTGAATGCATGGATAGATGTTTAAGAAGGTATCTCTAGAACGACTGCGTGGATCTCGCTAAAATTTGGCATATATGTAAAACATAGTTTGAAAGAAAACTTAATTAAATTTGTATGGACATATTTTGATACATAACCACAGTATAGTCGAAAATTTTATTATCAAAAAGATTAACAACTAATATAAATTATTCAAACTTTCGTGAGACATTATACTAAACGTATATATAAACACGGCTAAACACTCACGGATATTCGTTCCGTGGCGGCACCGACTAGTTTCGAGCCCATCGGGGGCCCTTCATCAAGATGAGTAGTACTGGTATTATTTCGCGGACGCGGCCCGTCACTCACTCAAACTAGTCGGTGCCGCCACCGGACGAATATACGTGAGTGTTTAGCCGTGTTTATATATCAGTTTAACTAATATAAAGTATAAACAAGTAAGGTAGGGTAGATAACATAGTTAAACACAAATATAACAAACAATTTCAATTTATAAATAATCATTAGGTACATCGTTATATAGCAAGAAATTACGATGAGTCAGATTTTGTTCCGGATGTGAACTATGACTTTACTAAGAATCTAATTTTAATTTCAATCTATAGACCTAACTCTTACTAATATTATAAATGCGAATATTTGGATGGATGTTTATTAGAAGGTGTCTCCAGAACAACTGCATGGATCTCGTTGAAATTTGGCATTGATGTAGAACATAGTCTGGAAGAATTCATAGGCTACTAATTTTTTTTTTTTTAATTCTGAACGGAAGGAGTCGCGCCCAACAGCCAGTACAATCTTAATTCTTATCTTACTAATATTATAAATGGGTAAGTTCAGATCTCAGGATAGATGGATTGGATGGATGTTTATTACAAGGTATCTCCAGAACGGCACAACGAATCATGATGAAATTTGACACAGATGGAAAACATAGTCTGGAAGAACACGTAGGTTATTATTTTTTTAATTCTGCGCGGACATAGTCGCGGTATACAGCTAGATCAATAATAAACAATTTGTATAATAGTGCGTAATCGTTGTAATACAATTAGCATTTACATTGTTGATGTAACTGACGATTTATCGTTTGTTGGGATTCGTTTAACGAATTGGGCAATATTATTAGCGCTTGTTTTAGAATATTGCCATTTTGGGAAGCAGAAACTGTATACAATATAACAATACTAACTGTCGTCCGCGACTCCGTCCGTGCTGAATATAAATTATTTACTGGGTTTTAAAATAAATTACATATTATTCTATTCTTTGCCAAGATATCTCAATGCAAGTGTAAAACTTATCTAGCACATTTAGGAGTGTACCAGAGTTTGCGTAGAAATTATAAAACATCACTACAAATTAATTGATTTAAATAAAAGTTTTAAGCGTCAATAGCCTAATGATTAAGGATACAGATTTTCGATCACGAGGTCGGGGTTTGAATCCCGCCATTCAACTATTGTAAACCATATCCTAGCACAAGCATACAGGTTAGTTGGAATGGTAAAAGAAATATTAGTAAATTTACTAAAAAATCTGCTAATATTTTATTTAAAAAAAAGTAACTTAAATTATAATACACTTGTATTTCGTAACAAAGACTATTATTTGATTCAGTCATTAACATTTTAATAATAAATACCAGCCGTTAAATTTACGGGCCATTGATGCTGGCCTTTCAAAACTACGAATTTTGTAACAATCTATTAATTTTTTGGGTCACGGATAAAATTTGATTGTTGTGTTAAGTTTTAGCCTATATAGTGTTTTACATCTAGGAAGCTCGCGGGAACGATAACGAATACTTATATTAATAGTTTGTCATCTTATGCTTTTTTAAACGATTGGATATATTAATGAAATTGTTAGGACGCTAAAAAAGGGGTTGTGTGTCTAAAAATTACGGTAAATTTCACGGTTTCAAAATTGATTTAACGTAAACTTTTAGCTTGAAATTATTTTGATTATTTAATTTATACTTTTCAACATATTTTATGAGAATTTAAAAAATCTAATAAAAAATAGCAAGGGATAGTACTTGAAACAAAGAAAGAATTATTCAAAACAGATCAGAAGTTGCGAAGTTTATTAAATGCAAGGAAACAAACAATCAAATCTTTTATATTAGTTAAGAACATATGAAAATATTTAATTATATTTTAGGTGGCAAAGAAAATTAAATTCCGCAAGACGTTTTTATAGCGCGTAAACTAGCGCTAGACTATTACGGAGAAGTGTCATAATTTTTTACTACGCAATACTTACCAGAGTATGCAAAGAGTTCAAAATTATGCAGTCGGTACGATTTTATAGGTAACTAGCTATCGCCCGCGACTCCGTCCGCGCGGGATTAAAAATATATGTTGACCAATTCTCAGACCTACTCAATATGCTCACAAAATTTCATGAGAATCGGTCAAGCCGTTTCGGAGGAGTATGGCAACGAAAATTGTGACACGAGAATTTTATATATAAGATTAGACATTATATATAATTAGGTAAATAGGCCAATTAGAAACTGCATCAGTTTAGTGAGGGAGGACTTTTCGTCTTTCAAAATGTTTTTGTCAGAATCGTTTTTTTTTAAATCTCAAACGAAGAGAACATACCGAATGCTCAAAATATAATACTTGTTCTTTATCTTAAGAGTTATGGAATAGAATAATCTACTCAAATTATTAAACAACTGCATAATAGGATATTCTGCCACCCCTTCTTATTCGGTTATGGGGTAAAATGACTTAACCATCAGTTTGCACTGCCGAAATAAATGTAGATAAATATGTTGTCCTTTTCATTCTTCTTGGAAAAAAGAGATAATACTATTTTTATAAGTTTTTCCTAAGAGAAATGTCGAAGTAAATTAGTCATCAAACTATTAAGGACAACACTTTCTCAATATATCACAAATTTTGCTTATTATAAATCTAAATAGTTTTTTTATTTTATTTTAGTATGTTGTATGTAAAGAAATATTTATAGACCGTACCTAATAAAATAAATCAGAATAAACTATCACAATTTTATAACTAAAACTCACTCTATTTTATTGTTAAAAATTACAAAATTTGTAGTTCACGCGTATTTTCGTCAACTTCACAACAAATTTGTAATGCACATCACTAATAACGATAATAATTCAGCTATTAAAACTGCACTATCACAGGAAATAAAAAAAAACGGAACTTAAGACATAAATTTTAAAAATTATCTTTAATTTTTTTATGTAAATATGTTTTTATATTAGATATTTCAAAATTGCATTTAGTTTAATATTTAAATTATTCTTCGTCGAACACAAAAGCCTGGCAACAGTGATGCGTTATGAGATGTAACTGGCCGGCAAAGATTGTTTATTTAATTAAAAATAAAAATAATTTCGTCTCTACAAGAAACAGGTAGTCGGCCAGTGTTTTTTTTATTTTAATTCTCCAATAAGTCAATTTTTTACAGCAATGTTACATTAAAAATTATTTAAAGTAATACATATATCAAATTAAAAATTAAACATTTATGATCAAGACTCGAGAATCGTCATTAAAAGTTATTTGACATTTAAAAATCACATGAATATAAAATTTCATTTTGAGAAATAGTACCTTAATAATACCTCTGAACTCTGAATAAAAGGATTTAAAAATGAAGGAGGTTAAATAGGAATTCTAATCCTTGCTACTTTTTAGTCCATAGACATTATTGCGAAAACAGTTGACTGTTCCTTATACTCTATATTAAAAAGAAAAAAGATATATACACTTATATTTATCACAATTTAAACTTAAATCAATTATCACAGCTTTAAAAACCTTTTACGACCTTTAAAATATATTTTGCACATTCTAAATAACAAAGTATATTCGATATAATAAATGACAGATAATTTCTTTCTTTCATAATTATTAATAATCAATTATTAACATTACTAATATTATAAATGCGAATGTTTGGATGGATGTTTGTTTGAAGATATCTCCTGAAAGATTGCATGGATCTCGCTGAAATTTGGTATAGATTTTGAACACGTTCTCTGGAAGAACACATAGGATACTAATTGTTTTTTTATTCCGCATGGACGGAATCGCGGACATCAGCTAGTATTATATGACTAAATATCTGCTAGAATTAATCACTTATAATAATTGTCATGTTAATTTTAGTTACTCGGTACTTTAAACTTATATTTAGAGTGGGTTTTGATTACCTGTTCTTGGTTCGATTTTAAATGCTGAATAAATTGGTATGGTATGCTGAATAAATCTTCTTAACTGTGGTATATCGTGTACTTTGTGAAACATGGATATTTTAAAATTAATTATGTAAAACGCCGCATTTTATATTATAGGGTAATTAATAATTAAAAAAAAACATCACATGCATTGTAAAAATAGTTTTGTTGTTCGTACACATGTTTTCTTTACATTTATTATATGCCACAGCAATGAAAAAAGGTTGGTCCATAATTACCTCGTTAGTATTAACAAGGCAATTGGAAATGCAAAATTTATGATAAGTGAGACGCCCGTCTTTGTGCAAGTAGCGCATAATGGCAACATTTTTTTTTTTTAAAGAATTTAAAACCGATAAATCAGTGGCGATAAAGCACTTGTTTAATCTACCTATGTTTAACCCCGTCATGTACTAATGCATTTTTCGTATATATTTGTACAGTCAGCTGCATTATATTAATAAGAAAACGAAAAATTGTATTCGCTTTTGGTTTAAAAAATATGTATGCACTTATCTTGCTTAACAGTCCTATTTACATTATTAGTAAGATTGGACTTTTTAGATATTTAATATTTATTGGCTTATTAAAATCAAATCGAGGTGCAGTTTAAATGTCCTGTAAAATCAAATGTTATGTGATTATTTATGTTCTTCTGTCAACGTAAATCTTTTGGACATTTTAACTTCGTTATTATAAGGTTGCTACATTTATTACCTAACATAACTTTGGCTTTCAATAATAAAAGTTTAATGTTATTTGAAGTGTACAAAACAAAAAAAATAGTCCTTCGTTATATTTGTATATAGTTTTATTAAGATTTATTTTTAATCGCATAAGCTTGGTTTCCCTTCATTTATAAGTGTTGCCCATTCCAAAATATTGTAAATACGCATATGGGGATTTTCGTTTTTCGCTGAAATTAAATTAATTAGTATTAATAAAATGACATTGTGAATAATAAAAAAAAGAAGTGATGTGAGAAATTACAATTAAATCAAGGATAAATTTTGATAGTTCTTTTGTGGAACGATTTTTTTATTAAAAGATCGTAATACAATTTTTTTTTTAATTAGAAATAGGACAAACTGTCAAGGCCGAAAATTACTTACCTTGAATTCTAACAAATTGTTTTGTTGGTATATCTATTGGCTTCCATTTCGGACGTCCGAGTTGAAAGTAAGTTGTTGAAGCTATCCCTTTAGGATATTCCTGTTTTATAATGATATTATATATTTAAATCATTTTGTGTTTTTATTGAACATCTTTACTCTACAAACCAAGTTTTCATTACCAAGGCACGTATTATAATATTCAAACTTTATGGCGGCTCGTGACTAGCTGCGAGCGCATTCTGCGTGAATGAGTGAGTGGCTAGTTCTACGCGATTGCATTCCAAATGAAGATTTTGTGATCGTATATAGTAGGTACAAGTCCGAAATAACTTATCTTTACCCTATATATAGTATGCGTAAGGCATTTCCTCACATTAAAAAAGGTGTTTATGTCCCACCGATGCCAAAAGTTGTGGTTCACATAGCCGCACATGCGAGCCGCTATAAAGTTTGAATGTTACCGTAACGAATAGTTTACTTGATCCCAAATATTTTTTCTAATAATTTTCGGTTCCTGTCGATCTGATCTTGCGGATTTCGGGTTGTAGTCAGGTGGATGGTATAACATATCATATGCGCATAGTTTAGCAGTTCTCTTAGCTTCCTTGATATTGAAATAAGTCTCTTTTGATACAGGTATAATCATTTGAGTGTATAAATAATCTTCCCGGGACATTTTTGTTATAAGTTTTTATTTGAATTTGTAATTTTATTTTATTGCTATTGTAAAATATGCATTATAAAATTTAGGTTATTTTGATTGAATTGAAATTTGATTTGACATTTACATAGATAATGCCGATTGTTTTGGAAATAATTATAGTAATAAAATGAAAAAAAAAACTGTTTTCTGTTCAAAACTCTTATTCATTTAATATAATACTTGTTTAAGAAAAAATACGTAGTATTTAATAAAATGCTTATAGTGCCTAGAAGACATAAGATATACAATTTTTATAGATACGATAAAATAAAATAAGTAATGCAAACTAAGAATACTTAGTTAACTTTAATTACATATTTATTTTCTTTGTGTTAGGGTAATTTTTTTAAATAAGTTTAGTTTTTTAAATTGTGTTAACTTTTTTTTATATAATAAACATTTTAATGGCACCGGCAGGTTATTGTCAATCTGACATAAATTATAAGACATAAAGAAATTGTCAGCCGACATTATGAAAGGGAATATATTAATATTTTTGTAATTATATTGTCAAAATTAAAATATATAATAACAATTCATGCGGTGGTTACTCAAGATTTTCGATAAACTTTCGTTAAATTTGCTAAAATGGACTGTTACAGTGTCGAATCCGACGTACTTGGTCAGTTGTGAATTTTTTTTTAATTTGTTTTTGTAGTTTTTCAATTTTTCAATAGGGTTTTTTTCTTATTTTTTCAATCAAAGATTCTTTAGATTCTTTAATTCCTTCAGTGAGAAAAGGTCATAGAAATAGAGATAAAGAAAAAAATTACATTTCCGAGTATACGAGACCTGATATTCACATTGTAAGAAAATTATGTAAAGCTAAACACACGAAGCATCACCCTAATGACGTCACTGATGGGGCCCCTTCCACATCGGTTGTTATAAAAAAAGCTATTGCCAAGGTAATAGTAAATACAATAACAAATAATCTTATAAGAAAAGATAATCTTACTAATATTATAATGCGAATGTTTGGATGAATGGATGTTATAAGATATCTCTGGAACGGCTCAAAGGATTTTGATGTAATTCGGCATAGATGTAGAACATACTGTGGAAGAGTACATAGGATATTATTTAAGTTTTTTATGAATTCCGTACGGACGGAGTCGCGGACTACAACTAGTATTCCATACATAGTTATTGTACCATAAAAATGATTATTTGCTCGAAGTATAGTATTATGTCCAATGTTTATTCTTATTTTCAATCACAAAATTATTTTCCTTTTTTGTTTACATTTTTGCCATATTTTTTGATTAACTTTTTTAAGTGTCAATTCTCAATGCTTTCAGATTTCTAAAAGAAAATTCATTCCGGATACTCTATACAAAGACGATACATCCAGTGAAATACCACTCATCAAAGTGACTGTTATACCTAAACACGTGGACACACAAACATCTAGACAATTCAATAAAAGAAGACAAACTGTTAAAAGGGCACAGAGCACAGTTTCCAACCAAGAGAGTTCACTTCGATCGAAAAATATATATTTAGTTGTAACTGGCCGAAAAGCGGATAAGATTTACGAGATAAAAACTACAGGCAGTGAAAAGTTATCAACAAACCAATCGTCCAGTCGGATAAAATATGAAGACATATCATTGAAAAAATTACATAATTACAAACACGTTATAGATTCGTTAAATATGGATAAAAAGAAAAAAAGAGACAAGAAGAAGAAGACTGTTCCGCAAAGAAAGGATTCTAGAACATCGTTGGTGAACGAAATATTCGGTGGTGCGGGAATTACATTACAAGAATGCATCTGTCCTAACGCAAAAAGGAAGGCCCCAATGAACAATGTCAAACATCGTAGAAGTCGGTTGCGTATTATCGGCGAACTTGGACTCACAAATGATGATAAATATGTGATTAACTATGCGGCTACCGTAGATGGAGACACGGGTAAGTATAATAAGATTCAATCGTTATGGCGGCTTGAGATTAGCTCCGAACAGATGCCTTCGCAGTTGGTTCCAAGGTGGATCTTATAGGTACAGAAAAGTCTACGTAATTTCTGGGACATAGGTAAAGGTACTTAGTCTGAAAATGAATTAAAACTATTTATAATTGTACTTTTCTTCGTTTTGAAATCTTCTTTGACTGTCGATCTGCTATTTCTCAAAAACAAGCATATTTAAAAGCAATTTTTATCTAGGTATTAGAAACTACTCTCGTACGGACGAAAGATTGAAGTCTAATGAAGCATCAGATTTGACTAGTAGACAACAGTGAGTTTTATTTTATCAGAAATAAAGTATATTTTCGAGTAATCAAATTAGTGTACTATATAACAATTTAATTCCAGAGAATACACCAATTGCTCGTCAAGTTACAGCACGAGTAATGTTATTTTTAATAACAAAAGCTACTTTCGGTAAGATTTTTTTTCTAATTTTAAACACGCACATTTTTTTAAAAAAATTTTTGCTGACTGCTTTTTTATGTTTGTTTCATTTAGCACTCATCGCGATTCTAATGTCCAAGCTAATCTTCTAGAGCCAACTACATTCTGTGCTTTTTCAAAAAATCGCGGTGTAAGGTAAATCAGTTAATGATAAATACATTTGTAGTATACCATAGAGGTCGCAAATCTTTATTATTTATTTTTAATTCACTTTTAGACAAGAGTCACAAGGCACTCAAGTGGATTTAGATGGGCCATTAGATAGAAATAAAAAATATACATTTAGAGATCAAACAATACAATGTTACTGTAATTGCAGTAACGGTACTGCAACAGAAATTGTAAGCAGTACCACAGACGCTGTTAACAAAAGCAGTACAACAAAAGATACGAAGAGCCCACTAGTTATCATATCAGTATACTCTAAGCAAGATTCTGCGGAAAATACAACCAGTAGCCACACTTTAATAGACCAACGACCAGCCTTACCAAGACGTCAATCAGAATCTCCACAACATCATAGAAATAAAAGCAAAATGAACATGTATCGAAGTCGTTCTCCTTCTCCTGAACATAGAAATTACTCAAGAGAAAACCCTCTTAATAGAACTGTTGATGCCAGATTTTTAAACACGAAAAAGAAAAATTACGTCCGACCAGCATCCCCAGTTACTCAGAAGAAAGTTCCATCCCCAACAGATCTGAGCACAACGACGACTAAATCTAAAACGAAAAATGAGTTTTTTAAAAAGCTGCCAGTTACTTTCGGGTCCCGAGATTCGAGAGATACGAATATACAATCGATAAAAAAGAAAAAAATGAACGATAATAATCAAAAACCAGTTCTTTTTGGCAAGAAAGAAGTTGGTAATTACTCTTATGTGTCACGAATCGAAAGTAATATGAAGAGAACTTTTGATAATCAAAAACAAAATTACAACGGTGTGAAGGAACAACGCAATTTGAATAATATATCGAGAAATCGTAGAGAATTTAATAATGAAGATTCTCATAGATCTAGCGATGACGACTATGGATCTATGGAGAATTTCTTGATGTTATCAGAAGACAATAGAGATGTTAATACCCGATCTTTATCACAAACTCTTTGCTATTCCGTAAGTTATAGATTGCGTTATCTTTAGCTTAGAACACGTATTAAATAAACTCGATGTATATAATGATTTAGTTGCCAATGAGTCAATGATGAACCTAGCCCCTTCAATAAATCGTAATCAACATCTTCCCCCAAATGACAGGTCATTGGTACAACTAGTGAACAACCATCACAAACACCATTGGTCTGTACCGGATGGCCTCTCGACGGTCATTGTTGTCCAACAGTTGTCAATTCTACAAACCATGTCACCTGCATATTTGATATTAAGGTTTTTTAACATTTTTATAAAACCATCACAACCTACGCTTAAGCAACAGCACTGACTAATTCTAGTAACTGTTCAGTTTTTTTTTAATTTCAGCCTTCGACTACAGCAGTTTATGAAACTTCCCAACATACTAACACTGCTGTAGGTAATACAGACAGGTAGAACGATTTTTTTATTTGTTTTTTTTTTAATTTTTTTTATTTCTAACAAATGCAATTTTTAATTTTTCAACAACTCCCATATTTTATTAGGCAAATTGCCAGAGAGCTTTAATTGATGGATAGTGTAAAATATTTTTTGCATGTATCAAACATCAAAAGATTACTGTTTCTTTTTAATTTCAGCAGCGAAGTTGAACCTCAATGTTGCATGAAATTCACACAAACCAGTCGCAGTTACGATGAATTATATGAATCTACGAGTAACACTAATTTTTTCGGTAATTTTTATACAATTATGTTATTACTTTAAAACAATGAAATGTACGTATGTATGTATTATTGTGAGGAGAGTGTCAATAAGTGTCATCACTATTTCTAAATTTCAGGACGTGTTACCACTAAGTAGGCACTTTTAAGTTTGACATTCTCGAATTTAAAGTGTTTCTAGAGAAAGTTTTCGAATGCCCGCTCTACAATTGATTTATTTGAATGTCTATTTTAGCTCCCATCAAACATTATCATGGAGATAGCTGCAACATCATTGACCCCTTAGAAAGAGATAGAGAGATCAGAAAACTACTAGGACTTGAATATCGACAAACTCTCCCAAGACCCATTACCCACGTAAGTTGGAACACAATGTTTCGTACAAGAAACTAAATTACAACCAAAATATACAAGAAATGTGTTCCTAGAATTCTCTTTTCAATGTTTACAAAAATTTATATAAAAAAATCTATCGCAAACAAGACAAGGGGATGTAAGAATACACGTCTTAAATTTATATTAATAATCGTATGTTCCAGGAATATTATTCGGGTATGTTCTGTCGCGAATCCCGGTCTAAAAAAAAAAAGTAAGTTTTCATTATATTTTAACGTCTCTACTAGACCCAAGAGTAACTTTTCCATTTTTAGCCAATATTAAGACATATAAAACTCAAATTTGTTATAAAATTTCAGTGATTATTGTACGAAACACGTAGAGGCCCGTATATCTAGAACATTTGAGTGCAAATGTTGCAATCAAGAAAAAAAATCACCAGCGCCTAAAAACAGAGTATGTAAATTAGTAAAAACTAAAACTACACCAACTCAATACGATTTGAAACCACCCGTTATCCCGTGTATCCCCCTGTGCAGCCCGCTGACGCACCAGGAACCGCGCGACAATCAGTTGATACTAAATCGGAACATACAAGTATATTTACAAATAGAACAATTCACAAAACAAAAGCCTATAATGTTAACCAGAAAACAATACGACAAATTGAAAAAAACAATAAAGAGCACGGTAAAATTAAAAACTCCGAAACCTCCGAAATGCAAAAAGAACGTATACAAGACGTACAGTGTAGTATCTGAGGGGCAAATTAAAAAGGCGAATAAAAGTAAATGTTGTGGTATACGCGACAGAGGAATGCAAACGAAGAAAGGTTCGAGGTGTCAGAATAAACCTAAACCACCATCAAAACAGAGCAGCAAAGTATCACCGAATACATCGTGTGTGTGTGTTGAAGTACAAACAATATGTAGTACATTGGAGAAGCAGACATGTAACTATTTGCTGCTTGATAGACAAGTCGGTCAAGACACGTCGAATACATCCAAAGATAATGTACCGAGACAAACCATGTCATCGTTAGAAATCAGGTACGCGAATGTCGCTTTTAAACGGGTAACATTCTCATCGACCAATGTCGACCAGTTGCCAACAGAATCTGTATACTCAAATCAACTGGATACTACTTCAATACATTCGTTACCTAAAAGTAAGTTTACTTCATGTCTATATCGATGTCTAAATTACTATAGAGAAATGAAATAAAAAAGATTTTAAAATTATTACATCTTTTTAGAGAACAAGAAATCGGCTACTCCAAATCTTGGTACGTCAGGGTACTCATTATACTCTGAACCGACTGGGTCGGGTCAATCCCTCAAGTATCTTCTCTCGCCACGAGATTCTAAGCAAAAGAGGCCGTTCCTAAGACGACTCATGTCCTGTCTTGTGATGCATTCAGCGAGGCCGTCCAACATGAAGCTTCCTTGTGGTTTGACCAGCAAAGTTTCTGGCGTCAATAGTTCAATTGATTCATACTATATCAGCACGTCTCTTGGAGTAAGTATGCAAATTTAAAACGATAAAACACATTTTTATAATATTTTTTTATTCGAGAAATAATTTGAGAGAGCTCTTTTAATATCTAGCGAGAAATTGATTGAATAAGCATCGATTTCAATTCGACCAGGCAGAATCTAAAAATTATGTATAATGCAACATACGATAGGCTCTTCATACTGCAATTTGTTTTTTATTATAAAATAAAATATAATTTATTTCAGGCAATTGAACTTACATCATCAATGTACGACACATCGGCTTCATTTTACAGTAATCACACAATTGTACCTGTGAACAAAATTAAAAGAGGATTCTTAAGTTCGGTGCGAGGTTTTCTTACCAGTCGGAGAAGTTGACATTTATCGAAATTCATAAGTGGATTATTTATTAACTCGCTCTGTAATTATTTATCAGTTTTTTGTGAATATAAAACTGATTTGATGCTCACTTGAACCTTTGCAGAGAGGTTATATTATTTGAGCGGGCGAGTAGACGTAAAAGTAACTATTTAACGACGAAATAGAATCATTTTACGCTGCAGAAATGTATAAAGACGATTATATGAAAGATGTTAGAACTTACCAAGAACTATTACTAATTAGAAGACTACCTTCCTTATCACTACAGCTTTGGTTAACAAAGTTAATGTTGTTATATTTTACATTTCCAAAATTTAAAAGTCAGTTGTGGTAATGTACAATTTTTTGCTTGTATAAATTTACATGACGTTTTTATCTGTTTTTATAATCGTGAAATAAAAAATTCTTTTTATTTGTTAAGCGCTTGTTTACATTTTTTTAATACGATTAAAACCTGAGAATTAAAACAATACGTACATTCGCTTGATGAAAGCGGCTTCGATTATTTGACTTCGCTTCTAGTTTCCGGTTTCTTTTGCGACTATATGTAAACTATACATACTAATTAATTTAGAGCGTTTGCATGTAATATTAGAAAAATCATATTTCGTACAAATTATGGATTTGCTTTGCTTTAAAAGTTTTGTCAGTAATCAGTCGGTCTGGACGGATTTTGACGGGACTTGGACAGGAAGGTGTCTGATGCACACGGGCATATTTTCTTAATACCTCGCTGACGAAGCCTTATTTTAATGGTATTTGTGCGAATATAATTTTTTTGTTGCTGCAAAAAATATACTTTCGTCGGGCATCCACATATATTTATTTTCTCATCTTCCGTTTTTGAGTTCACTGCGGTTATCAACTCTGACAACAATTCTTTAGCTCATAGTCGGCCTCGCATGTTTTTAATTTATAATATTTTAAACTATCAATAAAATATTATATTATTTACAATTTAATATTTGGTTTGGCATAATGTTTATGACTTTTGCCATAACTTAAAAAAAACTCATAGTTTGTTTTATAACCTCAAAATAATCTCAGATTTTTGACATTTTCAGCTTTTCATGTATTAAAATAGAAATGTTTTAAAAGAAGTTAAACAAAATGTCCCTTCTAAGAAAATCAGTTCCACTTTTAAGAAATACCGTTAAATATTTTCCTGGAAAAATACAAGGTACATCTATGTTATGTCGTTTATTCATTTTTCTGTTTCGTTTGTTTTTGATTTGGTATAATTTTAGGGTTTTGCATTATTTTTAGCACCAAAAATTCACCGATGGGTTGCACCTACATTAGCGGAGTTTAAGAGACGCGAGAACAGAGCGGGTGGTAAAAAAATCAATCCAAGGAATACATTCCTGGAATGGAATTTAGAAGCGGAATTATTTGCTTTTGGAAAGCGACTAAATGAAGAATTCGACTCGGATTTACTTTTACAAGCTTTTACAGATAGATCGTATGTTATAAAGGAAGAAATGAAACAAAAGGAAATGGAATTTACCATACAAATGAAGGATAACAGAGAACTCGTTGAAGAAGGTATCTAATTTACTGAACTTACTGCTATACGTTTTTGCTGTTGAAACACCTGTACTAAAACATATAATTTACCATTATTAAACCTAATACAATTTAGTAAAACTGTAATGGTCATGGAATTGTTAATATTACTTTCTTTTAAGGTGACAAGTTTATCAAGCAGTATATAAGCTTGTACTTAGAAGCTGTCCTACCGAGGTTCCCCATGGAAGGTATTGCTTCGATTCAGGACCACCTTGTCAGTGAGGATACACTTGCAAACATATCCCTGCACCTTGGCACTAAAGACATCATCTTAGCATCTGTAAGTATATTGATATTAGTTATTTTTAATTTTTTACTTGCTAACCTGCCCTAGTTTGACCTAGGAAAAGTATTAACATATTTATTTAATGGTTTTCTACTTATTGGAAAACAAACTATCCAAAAATTTATTTTACAATATGATTGATAGTTTTTAAAAAACGGTTATGTGCCCTTTTTAATATCTTTTCTCTAAAAAAGATTGTATAAGAATAAATTTTGTTTCAGGAATATCCTGTAGATAACTTTACTTTAGCAAACACATTCAAAGCAATAGTTGGAGCTCTGTTAAGATCATCTGGTGAGGAGAGGGCAGCTCATTTTGTTAGAGATTTTGTTATTACACAGTTACAAGGTAACTACTTTTTTTTTGCAAATACAACACTTACTAAAAAAAAACAGCAATAATTTTTTTTACAACTTTTATCAAACATTTATGAGGAGTTGGGTTATGCCTTGGTGGCCCTAAATGTGCTAAGTTGAACAAAATTTACTGACTTTTCTTTGCAAATATTTGAAACATTCTTATTTGTTACAATAAAACTATATATTAAATTTTAGGTAAAGATGTAAATGATTTGTGGAAGATAGAAGATCCTTGGGGAATGCTCTGTGGAATAATTGAGAAGGAAGGAGGTAAAATAGAACCTAGACTCATTGGTGAGGTCGGCAAGAATACATTACTAGCTTGCTATAGAGTTGGACTTTATATAGACAAGAAAATGCTTTCTTCAGGTATGTATATGCCTAATTTGATAGAATGAAATATTTCAAGCAAAATTTATACAATAATTTAGGACTATTTCATATTTGATTTTCTTTTCAGGCTTTGGTGAAACTGTGTCAACAGCAAAAGAAATGGCCGCAGTTGAAGCGCTTAAGAAAATATTTGGCACAGAAGACAGTATGGCTCCAATCAATTTTAAACTTCAAGGAATACCAAAGTCGAGTCAAAAGAAACAAATATCTGCTAATTAAATTAATACCATAGTTACATAGTTGTATAGTTTCAAATAAAACTTAACATAAATCAATTCTGTATATTTGTTTAAAAACATCAAAATACATTAAAAAAAATTGCAATAATAAAATTCATACATTTACACATTAACACTAAATTCGTAACAATCAATTAACATAGATTATTTAAAGTGCAAACAGAGTAACAGTGATGCAAAGAGGGTAATCACTTTGACTCAAGCTGCTCCATGAGCTGGGCGAAGAATTAAATAAGCCTAGCCTAGTCTTATTTACCATGAACCCATTGTCTCCACAATTCATTGGTTCCATGTTGTTGATTCCATGACTCCTATATGACAATGGGTTTGTAAGTCTTATATTAGCTGGGTGCAGAGTCCATTATAAGGTTGCCATGTTTATCCTTGATGCGAACTCTGCCTGACGCGTACCTCGTCTCCGATGTACCATCATTGTAAACAAATTTCACCGTACCATCCGGAAATTCTCGACGCTGCAATGATAAAGCATATAATTCAATATTATTTTCTTAAATTTATTTAAATGTATTGTCTACAGCTTTCCTGTTGGAGGCGAAGACCCACTGGGTCACTGCGCCAGGGCAGTAAGAAATTTACATGTTGTTTTGAATGTTCATTCCCAATAAGTTCCAAACTTCTCAGATATGTTATGAAAATGCAGAGAATATATTTTCAATAAGTGTCACAAAAGTGGAAAATTACAATTACAGTAAAATTAATTATTAAACATGGATTAAAAGTAGTCTAAAGTTAACCTTGTGATCTTTAGTATGAACTTCAATTTGTCCATTACTGAACACAACTCGTTGTTCTCCAGTGGCGGACACTGTAAGCGCAGCACCGTCGGGGAAGCGCCACTCTTCTCGCACATGCACGTTCTTAGGATCATAGTACCGCACACTGCCATTTGGCAGCCGGATCTCCGATGAACCATCCTTGTATCGTTTCTCTACTTGTCCACTAAAATGAAACAGTGATAATAAAACAGATATTAACACTATGACAGTATGAATTATTTTTTTATACTGTGACGACATGAGAAGAATTTTGATTGTATGGAAAGTGTGGATTTTTATATAAGATATGCAGCTGTTTTGGTGTACTTGTCGTTTACAAGAAAAAATTGTTGCACACTTTTAATTATTGACATTGTTTTTAAAGGAGATTAGAAAGATCAAATATAATGTTTTCTTACTCTGGGAATTCTAGAACTTCTAGTCCATCAGCATGAGTTGTTTGGTATGTCTTTGTTTCAGCATAGAAATATTTCATTCTACCCTCATTATAAAAATTTTCCTTCACATCACCATTATAATAAACAAACTTGCTGTATTTGCCATCTGCTGATATTAATTTTACATTGCCATTAGGAAATCTAAGTTCCCTCGAGCCATCAGGTTTTGTTATTTCAGTTGGATTTAAATTAGTCTTTGTTAAACTACTTTTGCTAGTACATGGTTCTGGGGTAACAATGATCCTCTGATCTTGAAACTGATCAATAATTGTTCCTGATTTTTGACTGGAATGATTGCTCAATAATGTTGAAGTAGGTGATTTTGAACTATGCGAATTGCTTAATGAATTTCTCCCACTTTCTTTTGAATAATTTGAAATAAAATCTCCAGCTTCATAAGAATTTCTTGTGTAATTTGTTGGTGAACTCCTTGTCATTCTATCGCTTAAAGATGAATGTGTTTTAGTTGGCAATGTTTGCTTATCATTTAAATGTGTTTGATGTACAGGTAAAGAATGCTGTCTTGAATTTGATTTATGAATAAAATAATTGCTAGTATTGTCATTAAAATTGCTATTTTCACTTGAATTGTTTAAACTAGATTTTTTACTTGCAGGTGAAATACTCCGAAACCTCTCATCGTATATCTTTTCTAAATTGTTCTCTTCACTTTCTGAGGCAGTTTTTTCTGAACTATAAGAGTAGTCTAAATTGTCAATTTTATCAGTATCTGTCATGTAATCTGTTGGAGAGGTACAGAAACCATCCACATTTAGAGTTTTATTTCTTTCTATTTCACTTAAAGAATCTTTTTGACTAAAGTATTTTGCATATCTAGAAGTTATATTTAAATTAGGGACACTCTTTGCTCTAACTCTAATACCTTTGTTCTGAGATTGTACTTTTTTAACTCTACTTTGTCGTTCGATTTCAAATGCCTTATATTTTATATTAGGTTCTATATTTACTTCAGATTTTGAATCTTTAGAAGTCATATTTGTTAATTTCTTATTAATTTGTTCGAGATATTTTAAATTGGTTAATCTCCTTGTCACATCATTACTGTGTTGAATACGTCTATTTTCTTTCTTTAACTTTTCAACTTCGTCTTGTAAATCTTTTTTTTCTTTTTCCATGAGTTTTAGCTGGTTACGGAGTCTCGCAATCATTGAGGTAGATTTAGCATCTTTTATTCTTATTTCTTCTTTAAGATCATTGATTTCTTTCTTCAAATTAACTACTTCATCTTTATCTTTTTTATTAAGTCTTCCTCTTATATCCCTAACATATCGTTCATAGAGCTGTCTCTGTTTAGTTAGTTTTTCTTTTTCTTCTGCAATATAGTACTCGGACAAAACTTTTTCTTCATTAAACTTTTGTTCAAATTCCGCCTTTTCTTCGAAAAACTTTTGACGCTCTACATCAATTTCTTCGCGCATTTTCGTCAGATTTGCATTTTCTTTTCTAAATGTTTCTATCTCATCTTCTAATTCAGTTAGTCTTTCCTTAAGTAACTCACTTGTTGCAATCAGTTTATTATTCATTTCCACCATGTCTGATTTTATTTTATTGCTGTCATCAGTAGAGTCATTATGACTTTCTTTATCTTTTTTATTTTGTGTGCCAGGTTCATTTTCTGGTTTATCCTTTTTTGTTTTATTTTTGTTGTCTTTGATATTATTTATTTCTTTGCTATTTGGTCTACATTCAGTACAACATGGACAGTTACTCACTGGTTCCACTGTAACACATGAACAACTTGACACAGAAGAACATGTTTCAACACATTCCGTACATTCACTCTGACATGTTTCATCATCACAATCATTTCTTCTATTTTCATGCCTTAAGTTTGGGCTGATATGCATTAAATCAGGATTATTAGATAAACATCTCTGCATAACTAGTGGTGTGCTTTCTCCGGAACAGTCAGCCTTATTTCTTCTAAGAAAGCGGTTTATAAAAGAATTCTCTAAAGTAAAACTTTCATGCGTAACCTTTTTTTCAAGTAATTCAAACATCTTTTGTTCTGATGATTCCATGTCCTGTTGTATCTTATCCATATTGTCATCACAGCTCATTTCAGATGTAATACTTTTTGACGGAGAAGAAAAGTTTTTGTAATATTCACTCTGTTTTAATTGTCTTAAGAAATCATCTTGTTCTTTAGTGAGTACTGCTGCCCATGTTTTTCCTTTATTCGCTCTAAGTGGGTGCTTTCCTTTAGGTAGATTGATTAGTTTTTGACCAGCCTTTTCAATAGGACTCTTCTGATTAGGTTTATTTGATAGATTTGTATCAATTATTACAGGTGTTTCTACATATTTTTGAGTTTCTTTACTTTTGTTAACAATTTCAATCTTCTTTTCAACTAGTGATGGTTTTTTAATTACTATATTAACATCAATTTTATCTAAATTCTTTGTTGGTAGTGGTTCTTTCATAATTTTGGTAACTTGAACATCTGAGTTATTAGACTTATTATTTGGTTTCTTTCGAACCCATGGCAAAGATTTTGTATGTTGTATTATCAGATCTTTCTTTTGTAGTCCAAAACGTGACATGCCTTCACCTCTCTTAAGAAATGGTCTCTTACCATTTTGTAAAGGAACAGGTTTTTGTTGAATTTGATTTTCTTGTGTTTGTAATTTTTCAACAACCAATGCTTCGAAATTTTTCTTCGGTGTTAAAATAGGTATCTCATCTAATGAAATCTGTTTATTAGATGAAGTATTTTTTGTATTATGGTTTGAAGGGGACTTCGACGATTCATATTCGGATAAAACTTTACTGTGGACCGACGCAGGGGAATTAATGAGGTATTCAGATTCTCGAGAAAGATTTAATTCGGACACTCCATCTATTAAATCGCGTTCAATCAATTTTCTTGACGAATTACTTATGTATGGCCTAGGAGAGACATCGTTTGAAGAATCTTCATGTGTTTGTAATAAGCTTTGAAAGGTATTATAACTTGTGCTATTACTGAAATGACTTACAATTTCAGTCAAGTTTGCAGACATTTCGGGTGAATCCTGATAAAGTGACTGTTGTTTTTGGAGTTTCCCGCGCTGTAATAATTGTAATTGTCGAAGCACTTGAAGTCGTCCCAAGATTTGAGACGGAGACATGGAAAGATCACCTTCAGAATACGATTCATCCATTTCGATTTGTTTTAAATATTACAATGTTAGTAAATTATTAGGATTTTTGATACAAATATTTTTAAAAACAAGTGTCAAAGTACTGCGGCAGTTTGGTTTGAAATTGAAACTTTGAAAATGACGTTGACGTTGAAATGTTTGTTATGCTCTTTGGTTGTAGATGTGGTTTGACATTACGCAAACAGTATTACCAGTGATTATAAGGCACAGTAAGCAAAATTACGTAATTTTAAAAATATATTATTATTTTATTCACAAAAAAAATAAAACTATCGTTTTGTAATAGTAAAAATGTGATCAAGTTTTTATGAATTAAAATGTGTGCAAAAACAACAGAAAAGGGCAACGTAAAGTGCAACTGTCAATCTGTCACTATCTCAATATTTTTTTCCTTCCTCCTTGCCATCGATAGATGTCAAAATTTCTGTCCATACTTATTCAAAAAACATCTGGTCATCAGCAGACGAAACATCTATTAGCAATAATGTCTAAAAGAAATAGTTATCGTAGAACACCAAATTTTAAACCTGAGGTAAAAGTAGTCAAAAATCGTTCAGGATTTCCAGCGAGTACAGTCAATCGTAAGGAGAAAGTTGAAGTTTTACCTGAACCTATCAAATCTGCGTCTGATAAAAAGCTGTACAAGTAAGTTTATAAATGTTATTTAAAAATAATTTTTTATTTAATTTAAGTTTCCATTTTATATCATATGTTGGTCAACTTTTTGGTGCATTGTGTAAGTGCAAAAAATACCAAAATAGATCTAATCTTTAAAGATGAAGTATTTCTTCGTAATATTTCCCTTGATAGAAGATTGTAAATAATTTATCACTAATACATAAGTTATGGCATTTCATATTATATAGACATACAAAACAGACAAACTGTACAGTGCTATCCTAATATTATTATGATCATATTATAAATTTTAAGTTTTAATCCATAAATGATTTTTTTTACAGAACAATACGATTAAAAAATGGTCTAACAGCCCTACTAATCTCTGACCCGAGTAGACCTGTTAGTAATCGAGAACCACAAAGCTCTAGTGAAGAAGAAAGTAGTAGCGCAGAAGAAAGTTCAAATCCAGAAAGTGATGGTGGCCACTCAGTTCAGTCAGCTGCAAGTGATCACCACGGTACACATAGACGTAATGAATTTGATGAAGAGAAACTGGTAAGTACAATCAAAATATTATACCCTATAATTATTTTTTTAGGGCATTAAAGATATTTGATAGCTTTAAACAATTTTCACCAGTTGAAATATAAAAATAAAGACACATTTGTTAATATCCTTTATTTTATGTCCATCAGTCTTTCTCTCTATTTGTCCATATTGAGAGTAAATTTTTTTTCTCTTTATTTAACTGTCATGCACAGTCAAATCTCGCCTGCCAGATAAAAACCCACAAAATGTTTAATTTATAGAAATTAAAAAATAAAATATAAGGTCAAGGTTATAAAAATTACATATATAATTATATATACTTCTATATATAATTGTTGTTTGTTAAACCATCATAGATATAGTGCTACATACGTTATGTAACTGAAGCAGTGAAAGGTAAATATTAAATGAAGCCAAAGTAATTAGATTGTGACGATAATATGAAAAACAACTAAGAACAACATTCCAGGCAATGATTATTGTTAATTTTGTTCAACTGACAGAAGGGTTATATTTATATTATGTACATATATGAATAACTCAAGTTAGGTTTTTAATTTTTATATGTCTTAATATTCAGCCTGACACATAGCTGCTGTTCAGCATATTATACTATAGAAGGAAAACCACATTAAAATTATATTTTATTTTTGATTATAAGTAGAGTTGATTAATCATTTGTAAATATGAAAATGGAACTTGAGGAAATGTCTTCAGAAAATCTAAGAGTGCGATAGGCATCTGCTTATGCTTTCCATTCTCACTACACATAATTTTCTACCTCAGTTCTAGATAATTCTGTGACAAATCATGAAGGATGATAATGTTTTCGTGCATATGTAAAGTGAAAGACTGTTATTTCCTAGCTATTTTGGTGACATGTAATTTTACATCCACAATGTAACTTGATATAGCTTCTTATGATGATAGTTGATATTTAATCTTAGGTGGGTAGGGAAAATTCCTTGAGTCATGGTGAAAATGTGTGACCACCCATATTATAAACAGCTTGAATTCAAGGTTTAAAATATTTACTTCGTTTTAAATAACAATAGTTACATATTTGAATGATTATTAAACAATAGACCATAGACATATTATTATCTATTGTGTTGTGTTTAATTTAAATAGGAATTAGTGACACCTTCAGATTTTAATCAATCAACATCTTATATATATAAATATACACAGTTAAAATATGAATATGTTTTCCGTCGTCTTAAACCTAATAACATTGTTGTCTCGTATTTTTTCAAATAGAATGAGAGGGATGACAACATATTTTTGTTGTCCTGATTGTCATACTGTTCGATAACTATTCTCATTGGGTCGATTTAATCCATAGCAACACTTGCGCTATTGATTTTTTTTTATTGTATGGACTTAATCAACCAATGGGAATTATTTTTGAGCCGATTGAGTCCGTAAAATGAATAAATATTTCCATTTTTCCGATTCATAGGTCGATTGGTCTAACGGGAAACACCATTTTGGCGCTGCTGAGACATGATTATTGGATATTATTAACCTTTAAAATAAAACTCTGGTCTACATTTTATGTGTCTACATGCTAAGAATTTGTCTCTTCTCTTTATTACTTTTCGTGCTAAAATAATACAAACGCACTGATTCTTAATTAACACTAAACTCCTGTTTAAGTAATCGTAATGCCAAATAAAGTGTATACGAGCATACATCGCACTATTCATATTAAAGCTAATGTTAGATTTAGTACTCATTATCTATATGTTTACTATGTTTTATTATCTAAGATATGGCATGCTTTCTCCAGGTCCGCTTTCGTCGTAATGTTATAAGATGCATGAAGGACGCGTACGAAAGATTTTCATTGAGAAAGCTATGCAAGATATTTTTTACCCAACTTTCACTTGACACGGTACGATTTAGTATACAGTATGTAATGTCAAAACAAGTTTTTTGACGATAGGATTCCAAATAGTTTATCTTTAGAGTATTATCGTCTTTATTTCTTAGGATATAAAGTTTATTATTAGAAAGTACTCACGGTTTTTTTATTAGACACATTGTTTGTGTAGTTTGTAAAGTAGTGCTTATTTGTAAACAGATGTATTTTTCATTTGTTTATTGTTTATGGATCAATTATATTATTTGTTTATATTTAGACTCATCCTGTATAGGTTCGAAGACGTCTAGTTTGATTTGTACACGCGAAAACAGATTAACTCTGTATTCCACCAAAGGATATTAAACAAAATGTATTTTTACAAATTGAATAATACGATATTTAATTTAGTTTCGGGAGTAGCGTTTTGGAAAATTAGTTACATGAGAGAGACGAAACATATAAAAATACGTTGTAAAAAAGATAAATAACAGAATATTTGCGATGTTTCTCATACAATTGAATGCATTTACGTAAGGAGAAGTGCCGTTTAAGTATAGACCCTGATCTGATTTCATTTCTCACCGCCCGCAGTCTACACAAAGAAATCAATTGTCTGTCTATCAAAAAGCACTTTAACCTTGTCAAAAGTTTCTTAAATTGTTTATTTAATTTGTCAATACAATATCACGATAGCCTTGATATAGTTTTACCATTTGAGATGGCCCTAATAAATTACACTATTCAAAATAGGTTTAAACTATTACACTTGTGAAAAACATTACCTTTCTGTCAGTTGGGCAAAAAGATAGTATTACTATAGAAAAGAATTAGGCGTCTAGTTTACATATCAACTGAAATACAAAAGTTAAAGTTGTCACATGAAACTAGTCTTTTCTTAAACCCTTTTTCCACTGAGCAACTACCAGCGCGACTATGAAAGCTGTATGTATTATACTTTCCGGTTTTATGGCTATTATTTATATATGTGTTGTATCCTTGTTGCTAGGCGGCTTGCGCTCTGTGCGTCGGTGTGGGCAGTTACAGTGACCCCCCGGACATTCAGGGGCTGGCGCATTTCGTCGAGCACATGGTCTTCATGGGCAGCCAGAAATATCCCAAGGAGAATGAATTCGATTCCTTTATAAAGGTGATTTAGAATTTTATAACAATTTTTGTGTACCAAAGATACATGGAACTATGTAATTTGGATTGTGAATGTGTCATCGTGTTTTGTTTTTAATTGCTATAAAGTCTAAAAGTTTTGTTATTTTTTTAAATGTTTAATTAGAAAAAAGGCGGTTCTGACAACGCGTCGACTGACTGCGAGCTGACGACATTCTACTTTGAGATCCAGGAGAAGTATTTACCTCAAGCTATGGACATGTTCAGTCAGTTCTTTGTCAGCCCGCTCATGATGAAAGAAGCCATGCAAAGAGAACGCGAGGCTATCGAGTCAGGTAAGGGATTAAAATACTCTTTATATGTTTTTTTAAATTTGGATTCGCACTGGCAATCGATGTTCTTACAGATTAAACTACATTTTTCATTATTTGATAAATCTGTGTGAGTTTTATACAACATGCCAGTATTATCTTTATAATTTGTTTTCAGTAGTATGTCTATATACGAGTAAATTGACCAATTATATGAATCGAGTAAATTCTGCATATTATGTTCGATGATTTAGCAAGCGCACAGAGCGTTACGAAAGATTCTTGTACATTTTTGAATCATTGTACCTATGAATAGTTCTATTAGACCTCTTTGTTCTCTTTTTGAACTAAAGACCTTACTGTTCTTACACTGAATGTTTAATCTATAAATTAATAACTGAGTAAGTTTCATCTTCTATGGTTTTCTAATATATTGGCGGCTTGGAACATCATTGAAGTCATGTGCAGAACATAATTATAGGCGCACTATCTGTCGCCTGCGACTCTGTCTGCGCGGAATGAAAAAAAAAACTTTAAGAGTAGTCTCCGTGTTCTATGTGCCAAACTTCATCAAGGTCTTTTAAGACGTTCCGTAAGTACTTTCTAATAATCCATCCATCCTTCCAAACATTCGCATTTATAATATTAGTAAGATGAAAGGGATGCGAGAGTAGGGCATTCTACAGCTGACCTTGAAAAGGGACAATATCAATTTGCAAATGCATTTATTCCTATAGAATTCGCAATCGCGTCACCGTCTGACTCGAATCGTAAGGACCAGTTGCTAGCGAGTCTGTTCCCCGAGGGTCATCCAGCTCGCACGTTCACGTGGGGCAATCTACGTAGTCTCAAGGATGAGCTGAATGATGACGAGAAATTACATCAAGCTGCCCACGAGTTCAGGAAGCGGCATTATAGTGCGCACCGTATGACTGTCGCGGTACAGGTAAGGGGAACAAACTACATGTTTTATAGTCGGTTTCTGAGACCGAAATGTATAAAACATCTCGTCATTAGTTTTGACGAAACAGAAATAACATTATGTTTTTAATCTGAACTTTGGTCTCAGAATCCTACGATAAATAATTTTTTTGTAATAAGTTACTGGTTGACTAGCTTAAAATGGCCTTCAAATGTTTTTAGTTTTTATCTTTACAATTATAACAGACCAATTTTATCTAGACATATACGTTCACTAAAATCAATTTTCATTTAAATTTGAACTTTAAAAACACATGTTTAAGATTTAAAATCGGTTTATAAGTAAATACGCGAGTTATTTTGTTCAGGCTCGTATGGAGCTATCAGAGTTGGAACAGTACGTGGTGAATACGTTCGGAGGTGTTGAGAACAACGCCTTGCCTCCCACAGACTTCTCCCCGCACACCTTCACCCCCGCAGCAGTCACAGAGAACTTCCGAAGCCTTTACTACGTGAAGCCTATCAGTGATACTACAGAGGTAAAGTACACAAATATATCTTACTTATATTGTAAATGCGAATGCTTAGATGGATGGCTGTTTGTTTGAAGGTATCTCCAGAAAGGCTGTACGGATCTAGCTAAAATATGACAATATATGTAGAACATAGTCAGGAAGAACACATAGGCTACTAATTAAGATTTTTTTTCCGCGCGGATTCGCGAGCGATAGCTAGTTTGTTATATATCTAGCTACGTTATATATTCTTCCAGACTATGTTCTACATCTGTGCCAAATTTCAGCGAGATCCATTCAGCCGTTCTTGTGATACCTTCAAACAAACATGCATCCATTTAAACATTCGCATTTATAATATTAGTAAGAGTAAGATTTGCTAATCTACCAATATTATTACTATTAAATTGTTAAGAACTAGGTAAAAAGTGTATACTGTTTTAGGTAACTTTGACTTGGTGTATGCGATCACTTATATCTGAATATGAATCCAAACCACATCAATATATATCATATTTATTGGGACATGAAGGAAAAGGCAGCTTACTATCTTACTTAAGGAAAAAGTAAGTATACATAATTTATAAAAAAAAAAAATTTACAGTCACACCTTTTTTGGTCATATTGCGTAGGAGTGGGGGTAATTAAACTCAGTATTGTTTCAACCTCGGTACCGTACACACGTCTCTGCGCTTTTTGTTAAAAAGAAAAATATATATCATTTTTTTATAATCGATCTTGGATAAGCGAGAGTCAAAGTTTAAATCGAGTTTCTCACTTATGGAAGTCATTCACTGTTTTTAAAACTAGCTATCGTCCGAGAATTCGTGCGCGCAGAATTGAAAAAAAACTTATTTAGTAGCCTATGTGTACTTCTAGGTTATGTTCTACATCTATGGTAAATTTCAGCGAGATCCATGCAGCCGTTATAATTACCTATTAGCCGTTATACCCTTCTAGTAAACATCCATCCAAATGGATGGATGGATGTTGAACACTCGCATTTATAATATTAGTAAGATATGTAATATGTATGTATTTACTTCAGAGTATGGGCGCTTGGTATCTACACGGGTAACTCTGAGAGCGGCATCGACTACACATCTATGTATAGTTTGTTCTCCACACAAGTGGTGTTGACCAAAGATGGACTTGATCATATAGACGAAGTAAGTTTATAAACTGACAATAATTTGCTACACTGTTTTTATTAATGATTAATAGGAGTGTTTATTTATACATTATTTTAATATTATAGGTTTTGGAAGCAATATTTTCATATATAAATATGCTTAGAGAAATTGGTCCTTCGGAACGGATTTATAATGAAATTAAGGTATGTTGTTTTTATTATAAACTAGCCGTCGCTCCCCACTCCGTCCGCACGGAATTAAAAAAAATCATAAAGTAGCTTGTGTGTACTTCCAGACTATGTTCTATATATATCCCAAATTTCATCAAATTTCGTTTAACCGTTCCAGAGATACTTTCGAACAAACATGCATACATCCATCTAAACTTTCGCATTAATATTAGTAAGATATAATCATACATAATAAATATAAAAAAAATTTAGTAACATAAAAGTTTTCGACTATTAACAATTTTGTTTTGTAATATGAAGATTTATTTTTGAATTTCTAGTTTTTAGACTAACTTTTTGTTCATTGATTTCTATTTAAATATTTACTTTGATTTTACAGACAATAGAAGAAACAAGTTTCCGTTTCGAGGAGGAATCCCAGCCTTCAGACTACGTGGAGTCGTTGGCGGAGAACATGCACTTCTTCCCTCCGGAACATTACATCACTGGGGACAGGCTATATTATAAATACGATCCTAAAGTAAGTATAGAGCTATTTAATTGCTAGCTTTTGCCCGCGATTCGATCGTATTTTACAAGGAAACAAGGTTCAAAAGTATCCTATGTCTGTCTTCTGTTCCTGAGTTATCTCCCTACCAAATTTCAGAGAAATCAGTTCAACTGTTTTTGAGTTATAGTGTAACATACTTTATTTTATATATAACGTTAGCTGCTATAAACATCGATTAAAGTGAATGAATCGATTTCATTTATTATAAAATATCGATGTTTTCGTTCGATTTTGTAACCCCCTTAGTGTTTAAAAAGAAAAAAGTTCACTGACGCAACATTGTAACTGGCATGTTCAAAAGAACGAGTCATTATAAAAAATAAAGAAAAATAATGTAACAACGTTCGATTTACGCACTATAAATATGTTATCGAAATTTGAAAAAAAAATAGTTTTTCTCTCATAATATGATTTATTTATAAATTTGTCAGGGTATAACAGAATTGTTGGATTGTATGCGAGCAGATACTGTGAACATAATGATATTATCCAATAAGTACACGGCGCCTGTACAGTACAATATGACGGAGAAATGGTTTGGTACTGAATATAAACGACAAGGTAAATACAATTAACTATTTATTTAGTAATAAGCGGTCTATGTGTTCTTCCAGACTATGTTCTATATGTATGCCGAATTTCAACAAGATCTGTTGAGCCGTTCTGGAGATACCTTCAAACAAATATCCATCAATCTAAACATTCGCATAATATTATATTAGTAAGAAGTTATTTCGTTAGATATTTGGAATTCCTGTAACTTTGTGGTTTTTTTTTTATAACTACAGGTTTTAAAAAGTATAATTAAACTACGTATTTATCCATGTCAAATTACATCAAGATACTTTAAGCTGTATTAACAAATTTCCATATAAACTTTTATTTCTATAATCATATCTTCATATAACTGATATCAGCGTGCGATTAACGGGTTTTTAAACCAAAAAGTTTTTATTGTTACTTTTTTTTCAGAAATACCACATAAATGGTTAGAAAGATGGCTAAATGTAAAGCCGTATAGTAATTTCCATTTACCAGCTGATAATATATATTTGACAACAAACTTCGATCTAATATCGCCTGCGCCCGCGTACCTTGAAGCAGCGAATGAAATCGGCGTAGACCTGATGACAAGTTCCGTGAAGGATGTACACAGAAAGGTGACAGCGGCGCCCAAGATGAAGAAAGTGTTGAAACACGGCGATTTGATCGCTACTGTCAACAACTTTAGGTTGGTTTTGCTTTGATTTGATTATATATAGATATGTGGGTACCTTTAAATAAACTACATTATGAAATTATTGCTAGAACTTTCTTCTTTTTTGGTATTAAACTTTTTAGCACATGTGTAAAAGAGGAAAAGCTTGTCACAATTTTATTTTTAATACTGTTAGTTCTTGTTTCAGTTTTATATAACTTTTATTAAGCTTAAAATTTATTGTCTGTCCTTTTTTATCTCTATGATAACATATCTTCTGTCTCACTCGTGTAACGAAATACGTCAAAATTTGACGTTTTTAATTTCATTGTTTTGTTTATTATAACTCTTTTTATAAGTTGGAACATTATACATGTGTTTTATGTAAATATCGTATATTAACGTTTTTTTTTTTATTTTTAAGGTTAGATCAACCGAATCTACTACGTAAGAACAGACATATGGAGCTATGGTACAAGCCTGACTTCAAGTTCCGTTTCCCAACAGCTTTATTATACTTCTACTTCATCACTCCTCTCAGTCTGAAGACGCCAAGAGAGTAAGTTGTTTTATTTACAGTGAGTTTCCATTGTCGTTACAAAAGTATTAAAATGTATTGCTATTTTATTTTTCAAGGCGCATATTATATTTTTTGTACGCTTTAAAACAGTGTAAACCCACTGCAAAGTGATTAAATTAATTTGGATTAATACAAATTGCTGCTTTTTCCAGAGCTTGTCTACTAGATCTATGGACGGATGTATTACAACAAGATTTGAAGGTATGTTATGGCGTTTTTTTTTAATTCTTTCATATATTTTTTTAAAAGAGTTGATGATTAAACATATGTTTATTACAGGAAGAAGTGTATCCAGCCAACATGGCGGACTTATCCCACTCGCTTTATGTATCGGACAAGGGATTGACATTGAAAGTTAATGGATACAGTCAAAATCTGCACGTAAGATTATCTTACTAATATTATAAATGCTAATTTTTGTATGGATGGATATTTGTTACTAGGTATCTACAGAACGGCATATGTCTGTAAGGCCGCGTCTGTTCCTAATAATCACCAGAATGGCTTGACCGATATTAACGGAACTTTGACGCGAAGGTAGCTGATGAACGCGGTCATGGTACACAGTACATTTTTTTTTATTTTGTTGTCTTAGTCACGGGAGACCGCTATTTTTAATAATAGTAGTAAAGAGATTTGAATGTCTAAATTTGTAACAATATTTTTCTTATTCTATGAATTATTAGTTGCTTGTGGAATTAATAACACGTGAGATGCGGTCATCGAGCAGCTCTCTAACGCCGGCCATGTTTGAAGCGGTGCGCGAGGTGCGCGCGCGCAACTATCACAATGTTCTCATCAAGCCGAACAAACTGTCCAAGTAAGTATATTGTATATATTATAAACATGTACCCGTTTGTAATTTACCTAGGCATATTGCACAACAAAAAATCTCACGCTTAGAACTCAGAGGCGGAGACAACGGATCTCCAGTTAGGTCATCATACACCTCCCTCGCTTCTTCTACATTAATCTACGCAATTTGCTTACATTATGAGTATAAAAAAAAACTACGAATTAAAGAGAAAATATTTTTTTTTTACAAAAGACATGCTTTTTAATATTTTCGTAGTGTCATCTGTAAATAAATCTTTTTTTATACAAATACCCTTACATTATTATGGAAAACTATAAAACTTATATTTATGTTCTCTATACATATTCATTATCCATACACTTTGATGTATGTAGATAATAAATAAGTGTAACATTGTTCGTACAGAGACCTTCGTATGGATGTATTGCTGGATCCATACATATCTCCGCGCGACAAGGCGGCCGTCGTACACAACATCACAATAGATGACCTACAAGATTTTAGTCGCCGGTTGCTCAGCAAAATGTACTTGCAAGTATGTTTTTTTATCATTTTCGGTCTTTGTTCCTTCGAAGTAGAACGCATAGTTTTTTACAGGTCCGCTATAAAAAATGAAAAAAGTTTTTATGTTATGTTAAACCTTTTTATTGTTATAGTTATTATTTTATTACGAACTGTTATACGTCAGTTCAAATTTCTTGACGGTTCAAGGTCTTTTCTTTAACATTGTTTTCGATTGTGCGATGTTCCGAGGCGCCAACTTGTTTAAAATGTATTATACGATTATAGGTAATTTTATTATAGAAATCCACTGAACTTTAATGAAATATAATCAGAGTATATTTATTATTAATTATTTTTTCAGGTGTTAGTTCAAGGCAACATGGCGTGGCACGCGGCCATTAAAATATCGGAAAATGCTCTAAAGAATATAGAGTGGGATGCCCTCGCCGAGTCTGAATTCCCAGAGGTAAGATCATGCAACACCAGAAAAACACGAGGTATAATAAAATCATATAACCAGATAGCATTGAGCCGTCTCGGAAAAGAAAGTGTACATTGTGTACAGCTCTTAGTACACTGGATAATTAAAACCAATTAACAATGACCCATGTTTTATATTCAAATTAACCTTTGGTATAGTTCCAAGTACACTGGATTATAAGACCAATCAACAAAGAACCTTGTTACACAAGTAAATTCGTCACAGCTTAAAGAACAGCCCTAAATACACTGGATGTTAGTACCAATTTACATTGACCCATGTGATATATGTAACTATATACTGCGCACAGCTCCGAGTACACCAGCTACCGCTGGGAGAGCGCAAGCTGCGCGTTCTGAGCCTCAACCCCGCGTCCACCAATAGCATCGTCACCAACTACTACCAGGCGGAGGTTACCACACCCAAGGATACTGCTATACTGGAACTGCTCATGGTAATTTTTATACTTCTTACTAATATTATAAATGCGAATGTTTGGATGGGTGTTTAAAGATATAGAAGAACGGCTAAACGGATCTCTCTGAAATTTGGCATAGTCTGGAAGAACACATAGGCTATTTATTAAGGTTTTTTTAATTCCATGAAGACGGAGTCGCGGGCGACAGCTAGTATAATATAAATGCCTATGTTTGGTTGGATGGATGGAATAATATGATGAATGTTTCTGATCACAATGTTGATGATGATCAGATGCTGATGGAGGAGCCGGTGTTCGACGCGCTGCGCACAAAGGAGCAGCTGGGGTACAGCGTGTTCAGCATGATGCGCTACACCTTCGGAGTGCTCGGCTTCTCCGTCACCGTCAACACGCAGGTCGACAAGTTCAGGTAAATCATTTACGATATACTAGTGAAATTGATTTATTGGTATGAGAGTTCATCTTGAGAAAATGTAAAAAAACTATTATATTGTCAATTCTCTTCAGCGCTCCTCTCTACCATCATCAGCTCACTATACGTCCTCACTGAGGGGCGCGGAGTCTACCCTAAGTTAAGGGTGATTAGGCCATAGTCATCCACGCTGGCCAAGTGCGGCTTGACTTCACACATATCTTTGAATTTCTTCTCAGATGTGTGAAGGTTGCATGACGATTCTTTTACCTTAAGAACATGAGATATATGTACCAAAAAATTGAAAAACATTGGTACATAGCGGAATTCGAATCCTGAGCCACCGATGTCCATGGTCTCTACTATTCCTCTCCCTCTCATTTTCTTTTGAATAGACAGAGAAAATTATATGTATGAGTACTATTTACAGCGTGCAGCACGTAGACGGTCGCGTGGAGGCGTTCCTGCGCAAGTTCTCGCGCGATATGCGCCGGCTGAGTGAGCGCGCGCTCGCCGCCACACGCACCGCACTCGTCCAGCTCAAACACACCATAGACTACGAACTCAAGGAGGAGGTGCCATAGACAATGATTACCATCGACAATTCATTTTTTGCTTTCGTCGCTTTTATGCAATAAAACCAAGTAAAATCCTTAGGATTTATTGTCCTTGAGTTCTGATAATAGTGATTAATAGTAACTAGTATTAGAATTTGTCAGTTTACTAACTTTTATATACAAGATGTTGCCCGCGACTCTGTCCGCTCAATATAAAAAAAAATAGTAAATAATGCGTTCTTCTTTAATACTAATGATCCGTAGTCTTTCTGGAGATACTTTGTAACAAAAAAATTAAGTTTATGAAAAAAATTAAATATATGTTTTTTTTTATTTAGGTGGAGAGAAACTGGAGAGAGATCGTGAGCATGGAATATAAATTCCAAAGGCTATTTTCTGAGGTATAAGTATTTCTTTTTGATACAATATTCAAGTAATAGTAAGCAAATGCTTCATTTCAATATCAAGTTTGAATAAAAATGTTTAGAAAATTATTATAAGAGATTTTATTTTATAAAGAGGGAGAAAAAAAAGGATAATATAATATTATTTGTATTCTTAGGCTGATGCGATAGAGAAGATAAGAGTGGGAGATATCAAGAGTTGGGTAGAAGATCATTTCCCCAGCGGCAATAAGTCACATTTCAGGAAACTATCAGTACAGGTAAGAATAACATAAAACCGCTTAATACAACATATCGGTTATAGCGACTAAAAGCAGATATACCGTAGATTCTGTCTGAACGACAAAATACCTTATAAATAGTATCGGTTATTACAACTGAATATTCTTGGTTCTTTTGAAGTCGTTATAACCGGTTTTGATTGTAAATCTTTGCAATTATTTCTCACCTATCTCTTTAGGACAGTATGTGTCTACTGCTCATCTTCCATTTAGTCATTATAACTACAAGGTCCGTTCCATCTTTTTATGTATGGGTGGGCGATCAATGGTAGGTGGCGTTTAACCCACTAAAACCCCACTCGGGTCATCCAGTGGGGTCTCTTGTGGAACGCACGGGTTAGTTCCATCTAGCTCAATTTGCCTATTGACGTCTATCTCTTTCTCGCACAGGTAATGGGACATGTGTCGAAGAAGGACAGCAACATAACCGAAGTTGAGCTCAAGAATTACGACCTGACGTATCTAGATGCCAACAATCCGATCGGAGATTCAACAGAAAATGCAACTGATTTCATCAAAGATATTAGAGATTTTAAAAAGGATTTGCCGTTTATTGACGTGCCTCAAGTCCAGTTAGCTCAGTGCTAATATGAACTTTAACATTATTGTAATAAATCATATTTTTGTTTGACTTCATCCAAATCACTGAATATGACGTCATAATTATGGAAATATAGATTAAAAATGACTGCAAAAATATATTTGACTATGGTTTGTAAATTCTTAATATTAATAAGAATATAATTTAAAATTAAAACAATTTCCATACATTTATTTAATGTACATGTATAAAATATTACTGCCTCATTGTTTTCTGTAATTTTTTTTATTAAAATAGGTACTAAAATAGAAAAAAAATATGGTCCAAATGATTGTTTTGTTTATAATGTAGTAATATTAAATGTTTGTGTTCTTTTATTTATATAAATAATACTCTTTTCAGAACAAAATAAATTGAATTCAGGCGTTTTTACTCGATTATATATTTTAATTACATTTTGTTATACTTTTATTTAATTTTAAAATTTGTTGCAACTGTCAAAATGACACAGATTATAAATTGACGAATAAAAACTCATGTGTATTTAAATGCTTTGGGTTTTGTTAAATTCGTGTTACATATTGTAAATATAATAGGTAAATGGACATGATGAAAATAAAATTATAAATCAATATCATATTTATTTACAAGTAACCGTCCGTTGTCAATTTTTTTTTAAATTTTATGACCTGGTAACATAGACCTTTGGGTCATATCTTATTTGGTCTGTTGTCAAAACTCCTTTAAACCATAGATTAATTTATAGTTTTTGCACGCGACTTTAAAAGAAATTAAAAACATATAGAAATAAATACAGCCTATGTTACTCTATGATAATATAGCTTACCAATGGAAAAAGAATTTTTAAAATCGGTAGTTCAGTGTATCAGAAAACGACCTGTATCCTGCCATCGTGGCCCTGTATGACGTTGCGCTGCTTCCTCATGTGCCTCTGCAGCATCACGTAGTCCACATCCAAGTTCTCCACATTTTCCCTGTTTTCTGACAACATCTGGAACATTACAATATAGGTAAATAGTATTTTGTTGTACACCTATACTAGCTATCGCCCGCGACTCCATCCGCGCGGAATTAAAAAAAACTAAATGAGTATTCTATGCCTAATTTCAGCGAGATACTTGGGGCTGTTCCGGCGCCACCTTCTAACAATTATTTACCCAACATTTGCATTTATAATATTAGTAAGATTTCAAACATACAAGTACAAGATTAGTAATCTGTAAACTAAAGCTCTATTAAGCTTCACAATCCAATCAGTTTTAAAACCCGAAGAGCCCAGAGCTCAGAATTATGACATCCACACACTCATGATTGGCTTAAGTATTATATGAATCTGCCTTTGCAAAAAACTCTTTATAGCTATAGGAAAAAATCGAAACCAATATAGGATCACTTTGTTCGTTAGTCTGTCTGTCCACAACTCTTTTTCTCAGGAGCGCGTCAAGATATCCAACTGGAATATATTTTTTACAGAATACAATATAGAAGACGATATTTTTCAAGAGATTATTTCAGCAATGGAAACCGTCGCTACGATTAGAGGTAATGAACAAAGATGAGTAAACATAGATAATTATGAGTCGTTGTATTACGCGATAATGTCATCCCTTTCTTTCCCATAGATAAGAAGAGAGATAGCAATAGTGTCTCACCGTGTACCCGCCGCCGCCGTCTCCTATGTAACTCTGTGTGAGCACGCGGTACGTCTTGTTGACGTCTAGCGGCAGATACCGCGGTATGTCGCACTCTATGCAACGGATGTGCGCGGATACAACGCGGGATCCCACCTCAGATGACGCGTTGTATACTACGCGCATACCTAACATATACAATTACATCGTCTAAACGAGAGGTTAAAATTATTCATCGTCGGTTTCTGAGACCATAATTCCAGTATGTAAAATTGTTATGTTTTGTCAAAGATATTGAGAGAAATGACGATTTTCATACAGAGAATTTGATATTAGAAACCGACGATAAGTATTGGAGATTTAATAAAAATGTTCGGCCCGTTTAGACAGTCCGGGGCGGAGCGCAGTGCAAATAAAATTAATCTTTATAAGATTGTAACAAGGTTTAATCTTACTTTGCACGTCTTTCTTATTAATAGCAACTGTTAAATGAACTGACTAGTTTCGAACCTTCATAATTGGATAGGTTACTTTGAAATATAATATTTCGATTGAATCATATACTAAGCAGTTTACATACCAGCAACTTGCAGCATCCTACGGCTGTTAAAAGAGCCGGGCGTCTGCGCAGTGCCGACTGAGAACTCCAACGCGTCCAGTAAATATTGACCCTTCAGGTCATACACCTGAACGTAGTTCTCAAATGGAATCGCCATCAGCAGAGCCTCAGTTGTCACTTCTATATATAAATCGGATTGTTTGCTTGTTATCTTACTATTATAATATTATGAACTAGCTGTCGCCCATGACTCTATCCGTGAGGATTAAAAAATATATATTCTAAGTTTAGCGAGAACCACGCCGCCGTTCTAGAATTACTTTCTCACAAACATCCATCTATCCATCCAAACATTAGCACTTATAATATTAGTAAGATGGGAAATTAAGATGAATGGATGGATGGATGTTTGTTAGAAGATATCTTCAGAACGCATCAACGATTCTTGATGAAATTTGACACAGATGTAGAACATAGTCTGGACGAATATATAACGTTTTTTTTTAATTCCACGCGTACAGAGCCTCGGGTGACATCTAGTTAAATATATAATTGTTTCGTATCTAAAATGTTCAATAAATAAGATTACCTCCCGGGTTAATCTGCATTCTTAGTCCTCCCGCATTGGCCATACAAACATGAGCGTCGTTCCAAGCGCCAGTTTTCGCCCGATCCATTACCTAATATCATTTTTTTTCTTTAGAAATCATAATTTAAAAATATACGCCTTAAACTCTTTCGATATTAAAATATGACACCAAAAACAACTACTAACAATACTAATAACGTTAGACGATTAAAAAATTCTAAATACATCGATAAGATGGAATAAATTAATCAGTCAAGATTACGAAAGTGCGCTGAATGACATTGTCGGTAAACCAATCCATATCAGACATCCAGCAATGAACTGAACTGTTTACTGAATGAATGACCTGTTCTAGCAGTCCATCGCAAGCCCAGTTGCCGAGGTTGCACTCCGCACTGAAGCAGGACCGCGTGAGGGTGACATGCGTCCTGCCTAACACTTCCTTGCCCACCGCGTCCACCTCCTCACGCCATGGCTCCAACTCCTCCAGCATCAGAGGATCTTTACAGAGGTAGTGTAATAATATACTAATTATAAATGTGGGATTTGGATGGATGGATGTTTGTTACTACGTATCTCCAAAACAGCTCAACGGATATCGCTGATATTTGGCACATAGTCTGAACTGAAGGGTCTTGGAAGAAATGGCAGGCAAAAGTTTATAAGAATATGCAGACGAACTGCAAAATACATAAATATTCAATTTACAATCACAGTTTATACCTTGAACAATAGAGGAACCCAAGAAGACTGGCTGACCTTCCCACCTTTCTATGATACCTTGGTTATTAATAAATAATTTAATGTTCCCCAAATACCGTGTGTAGCAATGAGCTTGCACTACAGGGATCTAAAAAATAAATAAAAAATCTAAAGTATTAAAATAATTAGCTTACGTGTTCTTTATACGTTAGAATTTAAACTCATTAAAATTACTTACTCTATGACCATCGGACCTCGTTACTACAGTGGGGTATTCCCCGATCGGCCTCGTGCCATCGGGAGCTTCGCCGTTGTATAACAAAGAGTGAGAATGCCCGCCCACTATTATGTCCACTGTTGGGGATACGCGCTCTGCTAAAAATCTGTTCACAAAAACCTACTTTCAAGTCAATTATATTAAATTCACGTCGGTTTACTAACAACGATTACAGTCTTAAGAAGTTGCAAAAAAAAATTCTTAATAAATATTTATCCGAAATAATTAAATTACCTACATCATTCAGATTTTAATGTTTAAAATGTTTTCGATTTCTATCATGCTAAAATCTAGCAAGTTGGTTCAGCTCTCCTACCAAACGACAATTCTATATGCAACAAGCTCCCTAAATGTCAAATTTAGATCCACTAAAGTTGTAACGTCCATCCACTAAAGATGTAACCCACTCCCATTTAAGGTGTAACCCACTCCCACTAAAGGTGTAACCCAATGAAGGTGTAATCCCTTAAATCAATGGAGCAAAGTGACTTTTGACTGCATACTGGCTACTTACAGGTCACTAGTGTATCCGACATGAGATAGCAATATAATAACATCAACGCCCTGCGCGGTCAGCTCGGCCGCTTCACGATTTACCGCCGTCAGCTCATCTTCCATTACCACTCTACCTATTGGCGCTGAAAACTAGCACAATTTGTGCCGTATTAAGCTGTTTCTATTATATATAATAATATACTAGCTGTCGCCCGCGCTGAATTAAAAAAAACTATTGGTCGCAGCGTAATGTTATATAGCCTTAAGCCTTCCTCTATAAATGGACTATACAACAAAAAAAGATTTTTTCAAATCGGACCGGTTGTTCCTGAGATTAGTGCGTTTAAACAAACAAACAAACTCTTCCGCTTTATAATATTAGTATAGATAAGTACTACATCAGATGAACAATTTGTGAGTTATTTTACTAAGTAAATTGCAATTTAAAAATATACAAGCTTAATATAAGTTGCATTGTAATCGAAAATCAATTTTTAAAGAAATTTGGTAATTTTTCAGTAGTTATGAAAATTTTAAAGTCATTTACGTAATTTCATATTTACTCGATTACCATACATTTGTTGATCTATGGATCTAATATGTAATCTCTGCCTACATCGTCTGGGTTACATACGTGTTATGTTTATTGCAGTATACTTACTTGACGTAGTAACACGCCGATGATTCCAATCTTCCTGCCTCGCCGTTCCACTACGATATGATTCTTTACATACTTTCCTAATTCAGGTTCAAAAGTGGTATTAACATTAGCGCCCAGCATTGGTGAGTTTAGTCTTTCCAGGTATGGTAGTAAACCTTCGACACCATGATCGAACTCGTGGTTACCAAGGACCTGGATAGAATGTTATTAATTAATTTAAAAACAATATAGTCGACTAGCTATCGCCCGCGACTCAGGATCTATGTTCAACAACTATGCCAAATTTCAGCAACATTCGTGCTGCCGTTCTGGACATACCTTGGAACAAATATCCATCCATCTAATCATTCGCTTTTATAATATTAGTAAGATGAATCAATGTAGGACTTTGATAGTTCAAATGACGGAAACTTAGTATGTCGACCCTACGTAAGTAAGACAAGGTCAGGGAGATGGTGATGATGAATTCGCATAGCTGATGACAAAAACCAATCTCTCGAATATTCCTCTGTATGTCTGTCCGCATGGCCGCCTTTGTTCAGGATAATCTCCCGAACGACTGGACTGATTTTGAGGGGACTTGGACGGGAATGTAGCTGACGCACGCGGGCATATAAAGGCAGGACCGCAAGTAAATAAATAAAATAAATCGATACATACATGTGCATCATGTTCGAGCATATTCATGAAGTGCTGGGTGACATTCCATCGTAGGAAGTTATACCAGATGGTGCCTTGGAAGGTGTCTCCTGCATTCAAGAGTAGAGAGTCGGGCTCCGCCTCCTGCAGCTGTCTTACGCCGGTGTACAACCGGGCGAAACCTCCAATGCAAGTCTCATCCGGGTTGCAAATACCTCCGGTCGGGCTTATCTCGTCGAAGCTGAAAATAGTCAGCTTGATTTGTGAAACTTTAAGATTATTAACTGTTCGTTTCTGAGGTCAAAATCTCTGTAAACAAAACAGAGAAAACAATATGTTTTAAAAGAGGATTTCGGTCTCAAAAACTCACAGTAAGATACCTAACACCAAACACTCGTTCAGCAAAAGAGAAGTAATATATTAAATGAAGACTTACTGTGCATGAAAGTCATTGTAATGTATGATGTTTAACTCATACAAATCCGTGTTTTGTCCATACACGAGCGAGAGTAAGGTAACAAGACACAACCATTTCACCATCGCTTAGCCTCCGCGGTGTCATGTACCACACTGCAGTATCGTGACATACTAACATATCGCAGATAAAACATTAGACCAGTGGTTCCCAAACTTATTTTGTCTACTGCCCACTTTGAGTATAAATATTTGTTTAGCGCCCCTATATTTTCACATATTTAAAAACCACTATAACTTCAAATTAAGATAATTAATTATTGTGACCTATATAAGTATATTAAGGGTGAATTCTCAAAGAAACTTTTACTATAACCCGCAACTTGAGACCTGCAGCGCCCACAAGGGGGCGTTATCGCCCACTTTGGGAAACACTGCATTAGACCAATACACTTAAGTATACATCAGGGCTGCAAAACTCACGCCGCTTTTGTTTAATTGATTAAAAATGTAGAAAAGTATTTGTCTTTTCTTCGACATACTAAATATAATATGGTTGGTTACTTTTGTTCGATATTTTTTTTTCGGCGTCAAAATATTCTTTGGACAACCCTGATATAGATAATTGATTCTGTATTAACTGATAAAATAGATAAGAAAATCCTTATGAACTATTTAATCTCTCTACAATTTATTTACTTTTTGCAAATATTTTAAGTAAATTTGAACGAAATTACGAAAGTTGTAATTATAGCTTATTTATTTATTCGCGAGATCGAGGTTTTTTATATAAGCTGTTAACAATTTCAATTTTCAATAAAAAGTTCTTGACATAATCTCATAGGATTTTTTTAAATAAACAAACTAATAAGATATTCTATTCATTTTTGTTATAATGGGATCAAAAAAATAATAATATTGAAAGCAAGAAAACTATCGCAGCTCCTTGGACTTTCGCTTATCCAATGTCAACTGTAGTCTTATCATATCTTACTCATCTTACTAATATTATAAATGCGAATGTATAAATGGATGGAAGGAAGATTGAAGGTATCTCCAGAACGGCTGAACGGATCAGTATGAAATTTGGCATTAATATAGAACAAAGTCTGGAAGAACACATAGGCTACTTATTAAGTCTTTTTTAATCCCGCGAAAACGTAGACGCGGGCGACACTTAGTCAAATAGTTAAATATTAATCGAACTAATGTTATTTTATCTTGAAACATTTAATATGTTATCAACAAATTCTCTAAGAGCTATTATTCAATGTTAAAGGGATTAATGTAATATGAATTGTTCAAAAATTTTATCATACACTCCATATCGTGTGATTAAGATAATATTAACAGATTAAAAATAAGGAAATGAAAAAAGTTTAGTATACAAATCGATATCAATATAGACAAAGATCGATCCACGCAATCTTAGGAACGGCATTTTGGCGGGACGGTACTTTATGTATGCGAGAGTTGTAGGCTACTTTTTTTAATTCCGCGCTAACGAAGTCGAAGATGACCGCTAGTAATACAAAAAAGTAGAAAATGAAAATGGAATACTAAAATTCTTATAAGAATTTCTTATACACGTCTGGGGTTACAATGTATTAAAAAAAGAAGCGATATAATTGCTAAACATTTATTTGCAACAAGAATTAATACACATTTAATAAAATACAGACGGTATTTAAAAATAAACAAATGCATTTATTATATGATAGTGCGCATGCGCAATAACATGGTAGTCACATGACGTCACAAAAGTGTCCCCGATGGGTTTCACGTTATTTAGGACGCGTAGTAATCTGTTTCATCATTAGTAAACATTATCAATAATATTGTCGGAGGAGGGGATGTATAGGAAGGGTAAATATCCTCTTTCTGTGCATCCCCTCCGTCGATTAAAGGTAGGAATCGTATCTGTAGTGTCTATGGCTAGTGGTAATTTGGCTTTTTTTTGGAATTGAGATGGCCACTTGCTCGTTTATCTGCTTATAATATAAAAGAAAAAAAAAACTTCATCGGGCTCTTTGACCATTGGTCAGTTTTGGTTCACTATGTTGCTTCAACCGATGCTTACTAAAGCATTCTCTACTGTATTTTTAAAAATAAAGTGTTATTTATTAAGCAATAAAGACATTCACAAATAAAACTAAGTGCTACTACTAAATTAACTACACATCTCTAAATTTCTCTTTTAACCAAAGTGTAATTTCTAGATTCCCATATAAGTGTTTGGAATTGAAAGTGATCTAAAAGTCTTACCTAAAAATATTAAGGGCACTTAATATTTAAATACGGATTGTAAAAATATTTGGTTTACATTATGCCAGTACAGTAAGACAGTAGCGCTGACTTGCATGGACTATTTTGGCTAAGCGGTGATTTTGAGCGCTACTGTCTTACTGTACTGGCATAATGTAAACGAGGCATAACTGTGTGTTTCAAACAATGATATTTGTATTGACATATATTGCCATCCCTTACATTCTCTTTGACAAGATGGAGATAACAATATGTGTCAATATGTCATTGCAATCGAAATCCACAGCAACATGTCGGAACATGTCGGAACATAACAAACATTTAGATTAGGAAATAAAATTCAACGAAATACTGAATAATCACATTTAAACAAATATTAAACATCACAATAAATGTTATAACTATACACTAAAATATATAATTTTGGTCACCCTACACTTCATTTCAAATAATTATAAATGGTATTAAAGTGTAGGGTGACCATATAATTAAAATAAATAATAAACTAATTTAAAAACTCAATTTCGAATTATTAAAATTAGTATAATAATTTAGGGTGCAGGTGATTTCTAACAATTAGATATTAAAGTTTTTTTTTTACTTACGAGACATCTTTAAAAACATATAATATTTTTTAAAGTTATTTCCGTAATGGAAATGCATTATTTTGTAAGAAAATTCCGATTTGATTAATCGCTTCTAAGAATACATATATCGTTCGAATGTAAAAGTTGGATACTTCTAACCGTTGGTTTCTGAAGACAAAATCTGTAAAAAAACATATCGTCATCCTTGTCATTATCTTTTTAAAAACAGAGATAACATGTTTTAAACGGGGATTTTGGTCTCAGAAACTCACGGTAAGTCATTTCTGTTTTTATAATTAGAATTGAGGATGTCAAATAGGTCCTACAACCGTATGTAATTTATGTAAAAATATATTTAAGTACCATAAATAATTATAAATCCAAATACAATTTCAAATCCGGCATAACAGATGTAAACATTTTGATTCTCCTTAAGAATACGGTGTACGTGGGTTGACATTGATCATCTCGGTTGTGCTGAAACATACAAAATATATAAACATAATTTAAAATAAAACCAAAGTTTTGAAACATTAGTAGAGTCCGCTTTAACATTTTCGCACGAATTGACCGGTTCTTCCAGTGCAATATCACGACCACACAGAAGACAGGCGTCAAGTGAAAGCAATTCCGGGTCCAATCTGACAAGTGTGCGGATCTGACGCCAATTTTCAAGTCTCTTTCCTTTCTCATTATTTTTTATAAAAGGGGAAATTGGATTTTACGGAGGAGTGGATGCATAGCAAGGGGGTTTCCTCCTTCGTCCTGTGTTTACATATTCATGAGCAACGGACGCTTCGCTATTTCGCCAATTTTGTCATCAAATAATTGGTATTCGGCATTTTCAATTTGAAATATGGATATCGTTAAGACATTTTCTTGTCAGTAATGTCAACTTGGTTGTGATCATTGACAATCTCGATTGTCAAAATCAGCAATGATAATATTTTCACTGCTAATGCGTTAACAATACTTTAACCAATAGTTATCTTATAAAACTCAATAGAAACAAAAGTAATAATATTAAATACATACATAGATAATAAAAATATGTGTCATTCTAAATGAAAAGTGAATATTTGCTCTGTCTACGATGATTTTGACATAGTTAATAGATTAAATAAAGCCAAGAACTATTAATATTTAAAAAAAAACTAACAAAAATTACTAAACTATTTCAGGTTAGAAAAAACAAAATGAATTCTATCAAAGTTATGTATAAAATGAATAAAATTTTCGTAAATCAAAATGAAAACAAACAAAAAACTTACGAATACTCATTAACATTGTGTGAGGTTGTCTGTTCGTCCATAAAATACGTGTGAGCGATAGGAGGTGGGTATCTGATTTTAACACAATTATTCTCATTTATAATAAAAAAAAATAAGTAAAAAATTAAAAAAAAGTTTTAAACAAGGTCGTCTTATTTAAAAAATTAGCACCAATTATTGCTAACATATTAAGAACCAAACTAATCACATAAAATCGAACAATTTTGTTATAATTACTAACTTTTAAAAAAGGTAGAAAATAACATCAATCAACAAGTCACCTAAAATTAATCATATAAGAAACGTAGTATACAAAAAATAAGATACTAAAAACTGAATAGTACGTTTCAAATATCTTGGCGGCTCGGGAAATAGTAATCGCTTAGAAAAAAATGTCAAGTCGCGCAACTCAAGGTCAACCGCCAAAAAAATTAAAAAAAACTTAATCATAGGAAGGTAAAGTATGATTGGATTTTTACTCAAACACCAATTACAGACTCTTATATAGCTTCAAATCAAAACCGTCAAACGAAAAAAGTTATATCTGATAAGAGTTATAACGTTATACAATTATAATATTAAAAGACTCACCTTCGAGAGCATCTAACATGGATGACAAGGAGTACTATGCCAAGCAGCAGGCATAGTGTGCCAACCACGACATATGCCACACCGAGGAATGGGTTCTTGCCACCCAGTAACGAAGTAGTTGATATTATAAACGATTTTGTTCCATCAAAGTCTGTCACCGGGTAATCTGTAAAATACAAAAAATGTTTATCACTATGAAATGTGACCATAAATGCAAAAAAAAAACATATTATTTTTCTACTCTTTGGAATTACTGATGTAATATTCAATTTATCTTTATAGGATGTTCTTAGTTTTGTTAGCAAAGCATGAATCAAAAATTCAAGATTAAAATTTTTATAAAAAAACGGATTGTTTCTTCTGGTATAAAAAATTACATAAAAATAAAACACTACTTACTATATTCAACTCGTAGCATATATGGGCCCTTAACAAGTCCGGTACTGAAACCGTACTGGGAATGATCTACTCTTCGGTACAACTTCCTAAACGTGGGTAACGCAGCTGTCCGCATCCATACTATTAAGTCTTCATTCTGTTACAAATACAATTAGATTAAAAAAACAGTACAACCAGATGTATGTTATATTATTAACATTAACCTATGAGACGAAAAGAGTTACATCTGCAATCATTGCTTACGAGATGTAACTCTCTACATTGTATAGATTATAAGCCATAGCTAGACAGAATCAAAAATAGTGCCGTTATTTTATGTTACGTATAATCTGTGAACACCTGTATATAATCAAGACATTTTTTTATTTTACTTATTTCCTATGTAGCCATTATTCATTACCTTTAAAATATTTAATTATAATTATAAATTAATTAATCATTTAATTTACCTGAAAACCATTGTTATCAGTATTGTTAAGATCCAATTGCCACACCGGACGTCGCCAGTTCACGGGTTTTGTGAAGTTTGCAAATGCTAAAAAAAATTTAAACTACAATTTTTTTCCATTCATTAAACCCTTTAGAAGTTCACTATTACATTGTAGTATTAGCACATGGTTGAAAACACGCAATAAAAAAATACACAAAATATATTTGGCATTTAAACTGTTAAGGTAAAATTTAAGAATGTTACCAGTTTTCAAATCTCCAGGTGGATTACGGAACTTTATATCTTTGTCGGATGTCCAAGCGATACCGGTCCGTAACACCGGCACATCAATATCCCAATCAAGAGAATGCACCATCAATGTATCTACAAACAAACAAGAAATTATTTTGAAACTAACTTAATTATTTGTAAAAATCATGCATTGAGTTTCCATTTCAATTATATCTTACTAATATAAATGTGAATGTTTGGATGGATGGATGGATGATTGTTAGAAGATATCTCTAGAACAGCTGCATGGATCTTGCTGAAATTTGTCATAGATGTAAAACATAATCATGAAGAACACATATCAAACTCATTTAGTATTTTTTAAATACCACATTAACTGAGTCACGGACGACAGCTAGTACATGTATAAAACAGACATTAAAAAAATTGCTAAGTAACTGAAATTTTTTAAAAAAATTGTTTTACAAAACTTTTAATGTTACATTAATGATCTAATCCATTACTTTTATATTGTCATTAATTACAAAATTATAAATACTATAATTTAAATAGAAACATACCATTAAACATGGAATTAGCAATAGCACCGCATGGAGCGACAGGTTTCAGTTTGCCCTCTTCTTCAGCATAGCCAAATGGGTCACAATCCGATGATGGAGTCAATGATAACTGGCCACGGAGTTGACTATCATCCCTGTTAATTTTGTTTTTATTTATCATTTATCACTATAATATAAAATATGATCAGACTGCTTGTGTTTTAAATTTAATCTAGCCAGATTTATTGTAAAGTAAATTTATATACTTAATTAACATTTTTGTATAATTTTAAATGCATCAAAATGATGATTTGTCTCATTTTTATATCTTAAATATTACTGTGAACACCCACTGCTAGAAAACTTGTAAAAATAAATATGTTGTCTATTATTTTAAAGCGCAAAATAGCAATTACAATATTTTTCTTTACAATTGTATTGACAGTGTAAAATTATTATCAAAATATGTATAACATGAAAGAATTGGATGATACCTGGATTTAACATATCGCCTGTGATTCTGGTAGTAGTTGCTCAGACCATAGTAAAAGTAAACATCCCTCTTGAAGTCTTCAGTCAAATTAAAATTAATTTCACATGTACATGAATTCATATCATTCTTCTTTATATATTCAGCACAAGTTATGTTTTCATTCACTTTCATACATTTTGTGTAATCAATTACATGTTCTTTCACCTTTAAGTAAATAAATAAAAAATATATTTAATAAATAGGCTGAACAATGTTTTTGTTACTGTGATTTTTTCTTTATTTCTACACAATATCTATTTATATTCAGCCAATACCATGATGAAGAGCAAATTTATTAGATTACTACTCCCAAATCTACCTTACTACAGTCTTAGGGTAATCAATACTGCTATTTTCATATGATAACAACAAGTATAAACAAAACTATTTTTGTATCTTACCTCATCCGAAAAGTAGAGTAATCCAATTCCTACTGGAATAAAAGCAATTCCAATTACGAAAAACGTTGGCAAAACCGTCCCAGCAGTTAAAATAGGCTGCCATGCAGGCAAACGTTGTTGTTTAAACGCTGATTCTGCAGAAAAATAATTTGATTGTAAGTCTTGAAATCAATAAATTAAAATCAGGTGACATATTTCAATGCTATTTATTACCAGCTGGACGTCTTGATTTCACGTTTTGATCCGATGTATCACTAGATGTAGCCATGTCATTAGTTGCTGCAATACTCTTCAGTAATATTATAAATTAAAAATGATAATTGTAGATACTTTTAGCTTAATTTCTTAATCAATTATCTTTATTTTTGACATTTGTAAAACTCAAAACCAAATGTCAAGAACACGATCAAAGAATAAATAAACAGGAGAATAGACATAGATATCGATTTTAAAAGATAAAAGCGATCTTATACCGTAGGAAATACAGGAAATAATTCCTGATTTTTTACAAACTGGATTCGACTATCTTTTATATTATTGTATCTTTGGAAGACGCATGTGGCGTACTTATAAGTAAAATACTATTTTAATGTTTTATGCTTCAGAGATTCAGTGAAATAAAACATGTTCTTACTCGATTAATTTTTTCGATTTTGAAGTACCATTAGTACCCATTTGCCTCTGTCGCACATACCTATAAGCTGTTCTCCATCTGTCACATCAAGTCAAACAAATGTTTGTTAAATTGTTTCAGGATAATGAGTAATAGTGCTCTATTGCAGTTGATTATTAATCATATTTGAATTTACAACAAGGATACAAAGCAAATATTTTATTTAAACATTACACGAATAGTACCATCAGTAAATTCGTGAACTGACCCGATATTACAGTGAGAGCGAAGAGAAAATGGCTAACGAAAACGCAAAGAATGTGAGTAATAACTTAGTTTCTTTTTGTTGTTTAATGCACTTTGATGTTTCATAATGATTATTATCATAGGGAAACTCAACAGCATAATGTTTGTAACTACGTTACAGACAAATAGGGACACAAGGAACCTTATTTGATGACATTTGTAACAGTTTTTTTTTATTCTCCTGGTAAATTAGATCTCGATACAGTTAGGGCCGGATACGTGACAATGTTGACGTGCGTTGCCTGAATATTTATCGAATGAATGTTGGTAGAAACGTATTAAACTGGGTCATTATTTTTTTACTGTAAATTTAAATAATTACTATTTCTAAACTGTACGTAGATGTTTTGTTTATCGGAGCTCATTAAGCGTAATGTTAATTTAGTAAACATAGCGTGTGACTCACTAGTAGTCAAGTATGATATGATATTCAGATATAAACTGTGTAAGTCATCAATATAGGGAAATAATTTCTATAAAGCAGTTTGGCAAATTTAACATAATCATAAAAAAGTTGTAGAAACCTTAATTGGTAAAGCATTGAGAATTAACTAACTAAAGGATAGACACCTAAGTTGAAGTACAAAATATTTGAAACAACTAATATGCTCCACACAAACTGGAGCCCCATTTTGGACCCTCAGGGGATGAATTAAAAAATCCCTTCTTAGACTTCTACATAATAATAGAAACCTCTATGTAAAATTTCAAGCCTCTAGACTCCAATGTTTTGGCTGTGTGTTGATAGTTGAGTCAAATTACTTTTTTATATATAGTAATATTTCTCTTAAACAGTTTGCAAACCTGGAGACCCCAGGTTATGTTGGTTTTGCCAACTTACCAAATCAAGTGCACCGTAAGTCAGTGAAGAAAGGCTTTGAGTTCACTCTAATGGTGGTTGGAGAGAGTGGTTTGGGGAAATCAACACTTGTGAATTCTCTGTTCCTTACTGACTTATATCCTGAACGTGTTATCCCTGATGCTACTGGTAAGTCAAGTGTAGACTTAATAGGATACTAATAAACTAGTGCATACAATTGGACCACATGGTCACTTCAAATTGCACTGATTTGTGTTTAAGTGTTACTTTATTTACAGTGACAAAATTATATATTCTTTTGCATATAACCTACTTATTTCTTGAACTCATACATACAGAAATATTATAAATTTGTCAAACCTCTTTGAACAGGAGCCATTGTCTATTCCTGATGGACAATCTCTATAAGCAAGAGAAAACTTTATATACTTAACTTATAACTGTATATACTTTTATAAACAAGAGAAATATTGGATTCCTTTGGATTCTTGCTTATCTAGGTTCAATTGTTTTACTCAATGTAATGTAAGGGCCTTAGTTATATTATAAAATTGATGGACATTTGATATCTATTTATAAATTTGTTATCATCTTATGTATTTGCTTTGAACTGAGCTGCAGTAGGTATGTTATTATCATACAATACATGACAAAAGCTAAAACATAGAAGTTAATATATTATACTACTAAATTTAAGTGGTATTTTATTGAAAATTAAAACTAATATTATAAATAATTTGTTACATTTTACTGCCTTTTTTAGAGAAAACAAACCAAACTGTAAAATTGGATGCATCAACCGTGGAGATTGAGGAGAGGGGAGTGAAACTCAGATTGACAGTTGTGGATACACCTGGCTATGGTGATGCCATTGATAACACTGATTGCTTCCGAGTAAGTTTAATTGCATACTGAGTCCTTAATTGCTTGTTTAGGGTAACTCTTGATTTATACATTCTACAGTTAGGAGGTTATAAAATGTTAGGTGTGTACTTTGTTTGAACAACTTTTCTAGTATATATTGCCAACAGATAAATGTGAAATTTGACATAGTTGAAGCTAAGGTTAAGTGCAAAAAATATTTTATTATTTAATATGATTATATTTCGTCATAATTCATACATGCATACATACAACAGGCTTACATTCAGCAGTGGACGAATTTACACTGAATATAATGATTACATGCATTATTCCTCTAGAACCATATATTTTTGATTATTCCAGAAAGCAAACAAGCTTATGTTAATGGAACTGTAAATACGCTGATCTTCTCCTTATTAGAAAAGGGTGGGAAAGTTAATCTTAAAAAAACATATTTTCTTCCAGTCAATAATACAATACATAGATGAACAATTTGAGAGGTTCTTACGCGACGAGAGCGGTCTCAACCGTCGGAACATCGTCGATAACCGCATACATTGCTGCTTCTACTTCATATCGCCTTTTGGACATGGGTATGTTAGACCTTTATTCCACTAGCTCTATCTCAACTAGTCCCTGCTATATCTTGGAACATTGTATTATTTCCACTGGGGCGATTGCAATAAAAAAGGGAAACAATACAATAGAAATAGAACCATGTATTTCCACTGCACATTCATAAAAAAATTATAGAAGTTTGACATAATAGGGGATGCATAGGATAGTAAAATATCCTATTTCTGCACATCCCCTCTCTTGTTGAATAAAAGTTAGGTAATGCAGTTGCAATTGCTGATGTGTATAGGTAGTGGTTGCTTCACTATTAAGGCGAATTCAGTTGGCCACTTTCGCTTTTACCACCTTATGATATAAAAAAATACTTTGTCCGAGTTCTTTCGGAGAGAATAAAAAAGATGACAATAAATTTAAAATATGGTTATGGTTTAAGTACAATAAAATTGTACAACTTAATTAAAATTTAAAAACATTTGTCTGGATTACACATATTTACTAACACTAGTATGATATATTTGATCTAGAAATTATTTAACAAATGTATTGAGGCCTTGGTAATGTAATACTAAGTCTTCAATTAAGGTCAATTGAATCAATTGAATGTAGGTTAAGGTCTTAAGGTAATCCGATAGATGAATTAGCATCGTAAGCAAATAATCTAAAGTGCTAAAGCATTGTATATAGTTAATGTTTAAGGTTTGATTCCAAGTTTTATTAATTAATAAGCTTTTAAGAGATAACCCAACACATATGTAGTGATTAGATATTTATGTTTTTATGTATATGGGGTTATGTATTGTGATTATTGCCTTACAATGCCTTGTCTGTTTTTTTACTTTGAAATATATAAAAAAAATTGTTTCATTTATACTTTTAAGCAGTATTAAATTTTTGTTATGTCTGTAATTTTGTATATAATTATTTTGTAGGCTGAAACCACTGGACATTGAGTTCATGAAGCAGCTTCACAACAAAGTGAATATTGTGCCTGTTATTGCTAAAGCGGATTGCCTCACCAAGAAGGAAGTGCAGAGGCTCAAATCTAGAGTAAGTACATATTTATAGTCTTTGACACATTTTACTTATGTATAATCTTTGACAGCTATTTTATTATGGAAGGCAAAGAGTAAGTTCACCAGATGTGACAATTACTAAAAATATGTATATTCAATAGGTAATGGAAGAAATCGAACGAGAAGGCATCAAGATATATCCGCTGCCTGACTGCGATAGTGACGAGGATGAAGATTATAAGGAGCAGGTAAACATAAGCATTTTAATATCAGCATAATGCTTTTTCGTAGTCTTAAGCTGTCCAGTGCGACTTCTCTGCATGGAATTAAAAAAAAACTTAATAAGTAGTCTATGCTTTCCAGACTATGTTCTACATCTGTGTCAAATTTCATCTGGATCCAAGTAGCCGTTCCGGAAATACCTTCAAACAAACATCCATCCATCCATCTAATCATTTGCATTTATAATATTATAAGTAAGATTGACATTTCTATGTGCAATTTTCCAGCCAATTCTGTTAAGTTGTTAACTAGGGAGTATTAATTTGCGAGGTATACTCCAGGTTCGTCAGCTGAAGGCAGCTGTGCCGTTCGCGGTGTGCGGTGCGGGGCAGCAGCTGGAGGTGCGTGGACGTCGTGTGCGCGGCCGTCTCTACCCATGGGGCGTGGTTGAGGTTGAAAACCCAGAGCATTGCGATTTCATCAAGCTGAGGACTATGCTCATGTCAGTTACTAACTACTATTCTAGTATAAATGTTTTCACATATCTTGGCGGCTCTAAATTTTGTGAGTCGCAGCGCTGAATACAATGATAGGTGGGTAAGGGCAGTGTTCAGATGACCTTGGGCCGCTAAGATATATGAAAAGAGTATAAATTTAATTCATTATATGTATTAACTTACAATTAAGGATATTTAAATCTTTACTTTTCTAGCGATTTTTTACGAATTTTATACTAAAAACCTTTTAATACGATATTTTTTATAACGACCAAAATCCGTAGACATCAGGAATGCCAAAGATAATAAATTATTGTCGATGCTTTAATGTTGTTAGAAGTACTTTTGAGTGTAAATAACTATATGAAATGATTAAATTGTTTGTATGTTTGTGTAGTACTCACATGCAAGATCTTCAAGAAGTGACGCAAGAGGTACACTACGAGAACTATCGTTCCGAACGACTCGCCCGCAATGGACAAGTGCCCAAGCGACACACGTAAGTATATAAAACACTAGGCCCCGCGACTCTGTCTGAATGGATTAAAAAATCATAATTAGTAGCCAATGTGTTCTTCCAGACTGTTCGACGTCTATATTCTACATCCACATCTATGTCAAGATTCATGCAGCCCTTCTGGAGATATATTTTAACAACAACCATCCAAACTTTCGCATACATAATATTAGTAAGATAGAATGCAAAAATAAAAAAAAACAAAAAGATGTTTTTACTATAATGTTGTTTATATTAGGTCAACTGAGAGTGGTCTGAGTGAGGCAGACTCCAACGGACTGAATGGATCTAATGAAGATTCTTCTGAACGTGAACGTGTGCTGCGTGAGAAGGTAATTAAATATCCCAATATGGTATAGATTTACCGTGGGTTTCCGAGGCCAAAGTCTTTATAAAATATATCGTTATCTCTGTCTTTCTTTTGGACAGAACAGAGATAACAATATGTCATAAAGGGGGGTTGTGTTTTCAGAAACCTATGGTAAATAACCTGATTATACAACAGTTGACTGAGATTTTTTAAAGTTATAAAAAATATGCTCATGTTATTGTGTGTTTGCAGGAGGCGGAGCTGCGACGTATGCAGGAGATGCTGGAGCAGATGCAGCGCCAGATGCAGCTGCAAGCCGCCGCCGGGACCACCGCATAGTCCGCGAACATCCAACAGGTATACCCACAATCTTCTGGAACATTCCAGAACTTTAGACATGTCTAGACATTACTTTCACTATGCCTTGTATTCATTCAAAGAAGACGACCCTAACTTAGCTGATTTACTTTAACTCTTTCTTAAAGTCTCCTAACTCGAATTTAAAAAAAAAACTTATAAGTAATATATATGTTCTTCTATACCTTGTTCTATATCAATGTCAAATTTCAACCAGATTTTTGAGATGTTCTGGAAATATATTCTAACATCTGTTCATCCATACATTTTTTAAAGTTTAATTTGTAATAATTTATTTCCAGTTGGACACAAGTACGGCTGTCCAACTGCCGGACGCTTGCGACGTCGTCAATTCAATACTGCGCGCCATTCCGTACTGCGTCACCAGCACATAGCCTATACATGTGTCACGTGACAATCATATAACCTATCATACAGTTACTACAACGCTTCCCTTACTTTAATAATCAAAATGCAGATATATTAAGCTACATTATAAGTTTTTTTGTATTTCATTTACATTTTAAACATGTACTCCATAGATCGATTTGTGAAGTTCGTGTTGCCACTGTCGATAATACGGCGACCTGATTGGTCGATAATATCAGCCACCTGATTGGTGGATAATACAGCTAGCTGATTGGTCGAAAATATTTTGACATTTCTATACAAATGTAATTCCAGTTTTACAAAAAAGTTGATGAGAATGTTATGCTTAAAAGATTATGCAATAATGTTAACGAAACAAATTTTGCTTTCAACGAATATATTATAAGATTTAGAAATGCTTACAAATAACCAGTAGTCTTAAAAATTTTAAAAAGAAATCTCAGTTTATAAATAAGTTTAAATTGATCTTTTAGTTTGCTTGAAGTAGTAATCGAATTTTATATGTATTCTGTGCAATTTGACATCTTTATCTATGGTATAGATTATAGGTTAATAGATTGGCTGTACCAAGTTATTGTTACAATTTGTAGTAAAAATGTTTAATATTTAATTTGAAATTTATATAAAAATACTTTGTAATATCTCTTATTTACAGTATTGATTTTTTTAAATTAATTTCTTTTTACTGGCCTCTCTATTAGCACATTAATCTATGGTATAAAATGATATGACTGACATAGATAAACGAATTTAATTTCAATATAATATATTCTATTAGGTTCCTAATAATTAGTACATTGTCAATTGGTAAGAATAATTACTTATTAAATGTTTGCAATCTCTCATAGCCTTAACTGTTGTGTATTTTAATGCAATTTTTTATTATAATATCAATTTCGCATATCGATTTTGACGCTTTTTATATCGATATAATGTCACACATTGTTCATAGATATATAACCTATAGATATATTTAACATTTTATATAATTTTGACATCTAATATAGAATCGATTTTCAATACGTCATTTTGGATTGTAAATGACAATTCTAAAGGAATTTATTCCAAGACAAGTTCTTCGAAGGATTTTTTTTGCATCAATTTTGTTCACCGGGTTAATTATCTTTAAGTTATAAATCTATGGTATTGCTGTTAGGGTGGATTTCTACTGTCTTGTCACCTGTATTACAATATTGCCTTCCCTTTCATATATAAAGAACAGAGATTGCAATAATGTATGTATACAGGTCACTTCATTAAAAATCATGTTTAAAAACACTTACTCGTGAAAAATAACATGGTACATCCGGCGACTTTATTGAGTAAATTCATACATAGTGAATGAGAAAGTTTTATTCATATTTTTAGTCTCCATTCATTGATTCGTAATATCATGTTATTGTACACGAGTAGTACCAAAAGTAATCCTTAGTAGTTAGGATTTTCCTAAACTATTAAATAGATTGTTGAAATATGTACACATTGCTTTTAAAAGCTTTTATAACATCAAAAAATGTTGATTTTTACTTACAATGCAGTATAAAAATCTTACGATCATACACTTAGGCATAGACAACAGAAATATAGATTAAAATAAATAGAATAAAATAAAATTTATATGATCAGTTACTTATAGATAAATAAAAACGTTTGTATTTTATTATTAACCGTTTTAAATTTACATTTCTATCTAATATCTAGATATTTTATCCTATGTGCCATTTCAACTTGAGCCATACTTTTTTAAGAAAGACCTAATTAGTAACTATTTTTGTTTAAAATGATTAAAAGGAAAATTCGCTCTCTTTTTTTCAAATGAACATTTTTTTAATACCGTTTGAACATTCTCATTTCGAAATTAAAAAAAAAACATTTATAATTATAGTTAATATGGACTGAATTATTTACCGAGTATTTACTTCAAAAATGTATTATCTCTATGTATTATTTTTAGTTAGAATAAGTTGAGTTATGATATTATACACAATTATGTACTCTCGATATTAAAAATTATATTGAATTGTGTTTGTGTGTATGACAAGAAAAATACTATTTAACTCAAAAAATTACCGTACTTAAGAAAAAAATAACACTCTTGTAAGATGCTTGCAGCATTGTTATAAAAACCCATTAATCGCACAAGATACGTTTCAATAGCTCAAAATGCAGATTATACATGTACATTTTAACAAATATTCCTCATTCTTTTTAAAGTTAACTTCCAGTTAAGCTTCAAGTCGAGCATTTATGGCCATTTACATTTTATCAAATGGAAAATAACAAGAAGTTTAAGATTAATATTAATAGATTTGACCTCATAGATAAATGTATAATAGTGAGTATTAAAATATCTGGCCTCTTATTTTAAATTAACATAAAGTAAAAAAAAAAAGTATTGGTGCATTTATTATTGTAAGATTTAAAAGATAAATAAAAGCGATTAAAATAACAGTAGCCTAAATAACCGAAATCCATATGTTATTTTATGAAAAAATAATTAAACAGGTATGGAACTTTTTTAAAGTTGTAAAATTGGTGCCAAAGTCTTGATTGAAGAATTAATTTTGGTTAAAGTAATTTATCGAATAGCATCGAATTCTCTTGTCCATGTTGATAACCAAATATTGCATGTATGAAAAGCTATGTAATCATATTTTTATATTAAAACATTTAAATATATTATACCGATTGTTTTAATTATCATTAATAACTGTTGTCCATTGGATAATTTTATTTTATCCTAGAAAGATGTACGAACAAAGTCCTATACTTATAGATAGATATGAATCAAATCGAAAATGCAATAGATGGCGGGTATCGAACCTAGAACCTGTAGGTACAAATCCAGGGTCGAATCACTGCGTCACCCGTCACCGAAGCTTTCCACTAATTTAGTAATCTGTATTGTAGGGCTTAGTTATCTGTATTTTTCTTGTAAGTTTGACACACAGTTTGACTTAAGTTGTCTATGGTATATTGTCAAAATAAAACGAAAATTAGTTTCTGTATTTCTTAATTTTCTGTTCCCTAAATAAAACAATGGCAATTGTTGAAGATGGATTGCGAAATGATTCCGAAGAAGATAATGAAATAGAAGTGTATGTTGAGGAGGACGATGCGGAACAAGATTCTGATGATTCAGACGTATGTTATAATGTTTGCATTTTGTTAATTTTTCCATGGAATAGGGCATGCATTTTCATAAATAAAAAGTTTCATTGGCTTATTTAACTCGAACTTCATACTTATTATAGATTTTCTTACATCTCTGCTTTGTTGAATTTATAAATACATCATAAACATTATAATTTGGTTCATATATTACAAATTGTTAGTTAATGAAGTAATGTTGGTAAAAGAGTGGTATGTTTTAAATAAGATTTTTGAAAGGTTCAAATAATTTTGTATTTCTATTAGTCAGCCCGTCACTCACCAGTTTCTCAGTGTACCAAATATTTAAATACCTTACTTCTTAAAATTTATATAGTGTAGAGAAAACATTTTTGAATGTTAATATATTCCAATAGGATGATGATGAGGAGGTGTCAGAAAGAAAAGTGTTGGACTTGGAGAGCCAAATAGCAGATGATCCATACAATTATAATGCCCATGTTGAATTAATACAAACTCTATGGTTGGTACAATTTCTTTATTAAAAGTCTTTTTATACAGTAATGTGGTATAAAGTTATGTTGAAACTTGAAAAACATTTATTCCTTCGGATTAAGTTGGGGAAAACAATATAAATTTGATTCAGTAAATATGTTTATTAAAATAATAATATAAGAAAAAATGTAAATTTATCAAAAGTATTAAAAACAATTCAGTAATGAATATCTATTTTTAGGAGTTTATCAGAATTGGACAAATGGCGGTGTGCCTTCGATCGGTTCCAGCAGACAATGTTATTACGTCCTGAGCACTGGCTGTTGCGTCTCCAGACGGAGGAAACTCTTGCACATTCCGCTCAGTCTATAGAATTTATGGCTGATCTATTCAATCAGGCGTGTTATGATTGTTATTGTAAGTATAAAGGAAAGATCAAATAGTACAGAAACTCTTACAACTATCATTTGCATGATTCTATCAAACTTTCAGTTTTGTATGTAGGCTATACATAAGCCATACATTCTGGTGTCATTATATGTAATGTCTGTCTATGATCTTTTTATACTATGACCAAAGACTGTCCAAGCGAATTAAAAAACCATTAGTAGACTTTGTATTCTTTTAGACTATGTTCTACAGTTATGCCAAATTTCAATGAGATCCATGCAGTTGTTTTTGGCTCAAAGTATCTCCACCTACATACAAACATCAATCTAAACATACATACTTATAATATTAGTAAGATTTTTGACAAAAGTTGTTTTGTATGAATAAAAATATTTTATTAATTACCATACTTTGCTGTTTAATACTCACTTAGCAGTATCTTAGTGTAGATATCTCAATTTTAGTCAATACTCTAGGATTGTCATTATTTTAATTGAGTGTGACATTGACAAAATTCATTTACAGCCATTCCAATACTAAATCTATGGTGTTCTTGGGCAATGAGCATTGGTACAGAAGATGGTAGGGCACAAATAGAGGAAGTGCTCAAAAGGGCTGGTTCCGATCCTTTTTCTGGGAAACTATTCTGGGAAGCAAGACTGGAACTGGAGAAAACAAAGCTTCAATCATTAGGGTATGAATATATTTACTATGTTATATAAAAATTGATCAAGGCGCTATGCTATCATCAATTAGGATTAAATGTTTAAAAAAAATCAAGTAAAGATTGCTAAATAAAATTCAAAATACCAAAATGTTATTTAAATTATAAAATATATAAGATAATGTTAATAATATAATTATTTAATATTCTGTAATAAAATAAAATATTAAAATTTAAATTATCTCATTATAAAGTCAAGTTGAGATCTGTTATCATGGAATATTCCATATATCAGTTCTGTTTATAAGAAACTAGCTGTTGCTTGCGACTCCCTCCTGTGTGTTCTTCCATGCTTTGTTCAACATCTATGCCATATTCCATCAAGATCTGTTGAGCTAGGAATAGCGATAAATCTATCTATCTATCTCTGGAAAGAGATACCTTGTAACAAACATCCATCTATCCATGCATACATCGGAACATTCATATTTATAATATTAGTAAGAACAATGATATTTCACAGTGAAGACCATCCAGATCTAAAAAGTCAGAAGCAGCATGTTCTGTGGGTCTTAGAGGAAGTGGTGTCTCGGCCACTGCTGAGAGGTGATGAAGGATGGCAACCATTTGAAGAAATGGCATTAGAGCTTAAAGACCAGACTTATGTAGACAAGGTGGGCCTTACTATAAAAAATTTACATGTTTCAAATACATTTTAACTTAAATATATGTCCACCTTTTTGTACTGAAACTATAACTTCTGGTATTGAAAATAGTGTAGTTATATGTATTTATGGTGAAATATTTAACCACTTTGATGTACATATCCTTTGGCGTTCAAAGGGTTAAAACACTTGTATAATTTAACACCGAATAACTAATTTTTTTGAGCTAATACAGATGTTTATTTTTTTAAATTATAGCATGTTTCAAAAATTGTGTATTTTATTAATTTTGATGTACAAAAAATTGTTGTCATGTCACTTTTTTTTAATGTTTTTTTTAGGTTAAAATACAACACGAAGCGGCTCTTGAGTATTTACACAAAATCACGCCTTTTGAAGATAAACTACTAATAGTAGAGTAAGTATTTTTTAAATATACAGTTGAAAATACGCGAGAACTAAGTAAAATGAGAAACCTCTATAAGTGAGACTCATGTCCAGTCACAACAAAAAAGCCTCTATAAGAGAGAAACTCGGGTTAAAGAGCAACTATAACAGTATCGAGGTATATAAAAAAATTTCTCTTGAAAAACATGTTTTATAGCTATTCATTGTATTTTTTAACAACATTAAAATTATAATTAGAATTTTTTTTATTTAAATAAATAAAAAATATTATAACAGGTTTTCTTAAAGATTTTTATATTTGTAGTTTAATCTTAATATTATCAATTAATAAAAAATAATTTGTATCCTATGTGTTATTCCAGACTATGTTCTATATATATGCCAAATTTCATCGAGATCCATTCACCCGTTCTGGAGATACCTTCAAATAAACATCCATCCAAACATTCGTATTTATAATATTAGTAAGAAGTAAGATACAATTGTGATATGAGATAAATAATATGTTGGAAATTACAATTCTTATATATTCAGAGATCCAGCGGAAAAAACTCAATTATATCTGGAGTACATAGAACTTGTAAAGGAATTGTCAAAACAAGAGAAGTATTTGGAATGTGACAGCAACAGTATTTTAAGGGTGAGTACACATTTATATTCAACTAGCTGTCGTCCGCGACTACGTCCTTGAGGAATAAAAAAAACATAATTATTAGCCTATGTGTTCTAGACTGTATGCTATATGTTTGCCAAATATCATCAAGATCCGTTCAGCAGTTTAGATATACTTTTTAACAAACATCCATCCATCCATACATTCAGACATTTTCATTTATAATATTAGTGAGATTATTTTATAACATTTTCTATAAAAAAATGTTATTGTACTAATATTATGAAGTGGCAAGATTTGATTTTTTGTTTGCATTGAATAGACTCCGAAATTACTGAAACTATTCGAAAAGTTCTTTTACTGGTGACTAGGTACACTATCAATGGATGACATAGCCTATATTAATTTAGATTTTTTTTTAATTTTGCTTACAAGTAGCGGTTAATTGCTATTTTAAATTTTATTTCACGACAGGTACTTTACGAGCGTGCTACCACTCAGTGTGCGAGTGGAGAAGTGTTACACGAGTTGTTGTTGGAGTACGGGAGTCACACGCAACAGAACAACTCACGTATGACCACGCGACGTGTCTTAGAGGCGTGTGTACGCAGATGTCCCAGCAAAAATACATTCTGGACGCTCAAGATGCAGCAAGCTGAACATGAGGAGTCTGATTTTGATGAGGTAATCTATTTATAGAAAAAATAACAAATTTAAAAATTAATAAAAAAAATTGTGTGTATGTGCCCTTATTTTAGTTTGGAAATAAATTATTGTCATCAATCTATACTAATTAAGCAGAAGAGTTTGTTTAAATGCGCTAATCTCAAGAACTACTGGTTCGATTTGAAAAAATCTTTTTTTGTTGGATAGTCCATTTGTAAAGGACGGCTTTAGGCTACATAGCATTATGCTGCGACTAACAGTTTTTTTTTAATTCCGCGCGGACGTAGTCGCAGGCGACAGCTAGTAATTAATTAAATTACAATTTAACAAATAAACAGTATATCTTTGATATGCGACAAATCTTTATAATCAATAGTCATTTATACAGTAACTAGCTGTCGCCCGCGACTTTGTCCGCACGGAATTAAAAAAATATAGTAGCCTATGTGTTCTTCCAGACTATGTTCTATATTTATGCCAAATTTCAGCGAGATCCATACAGCCATTCTGGAGATACCTTACAAACATCCATCCATACATTAAAAAAATCGCATTTATAATATTAGTAAGATTATATATTTATTGCAGGTTAAATCTATATTAGAAATAGCACTAGCAAAAGGTATGGAGTCTTACACACAAGCGGAATTTCTCTGGATGAGTTATCTTGAATTCTGCAGACGACGAACTGATTTCAGTAAAGAATCTGACGTGGACAGATTGCGACGCACTTTCAGACTGGCCTGGGATTCACTTGGCGAGGTGAGCTTCATCAGGCTCGAAGGACCATTTTTTTTGTTTTGTCGGATTTTTTTTACTTTACCTCTTGTTATTTACTTGTGTTAAATTGTTGCAGACTTGGGGTAGTGAGGCGAATGATTGCGAATTACCTTTATTCTGGGCTCATGTTGAATACAAGCGTATCAAAGATCCCAAACAGGGCAAGGAAATATTTGAAGAAATATTCAGTGAGTTTATTTTATATATAATTCCGTATTAATTTCAAAGATTATTAGTTTTTTTGTTAATATAAGGTGACAAAAGACCTAGTAGCAACCCAAATTCGCCGAAAGAGAATATTCCCCTTCCCTATGCGTCCCCTTATTCGTCTAAATCCACTCCCTTGGTTCCCTTATAGGCAAAGAATGGGATGGGAAAGAGGACTACAATTAGACCTACTACACACTTATTAGGCTATATGCGCAATGACTTCGCACTTAGACGTTCTGTGTGGTCGTAGTATTGCAATTGACTAGGTTCATTCTGTATACCACTGTTTAGATGGATGATTAAATATAAGTGTAAACATGCCAGAGTACGGCGAGAACGTGACGATGTGCAAGTACTGGGAGGCGCTGCTGCAGCTGGAGAGCGAGAGACAGGTGCGGGAGGAGGGAGATGAGGGTGCTGGCCTGCAGCGGCTGCGGGAGCTGCACCGGCGTGCGATGCGCAGCGTGACTGACTACCCGCCCACCATCGCACGACTCTGGCAGAACTTTGAACGTCTGCACGGACATCTGGACAACGTCACACAATGTGCCAAGATATCCAATGTAAGTGCATTCAATCAAATCAGTCATTCAATCATTCAGTCGTTCAGTCATAATCATTCATAGAGGTCGTTTTGTCTCTCACTGTCGTTCATTTACAATTATTCAATCAAGTTCTTTCACACTGTTATTACATATTCATTTATCCATAATCATTCATAAGTAGTCATTCAATGGAATATGTTTATTTACTAACAGTCATTCGTTCATTTTTTTATTTACCGTCATTTAAGTCATTCGTTCACAATGATTTAATTAAATTCGTTTACTCTTAGTTATACCTGCAAATTGTTTAATTCTTATTCACATTGGTTCACAAATAGTCATTCATTCGTTCAAAGTCATTTTCATTCACATTATTTGATTCTTTGACAATTCTTTGTGATAAACAAAAATTTTAAGAAAAAAAGAAAATCGACTTTTAAAGACATTCCCAAACAAAATGCACCAAAAAGTGACAAAGTAATATCATGAAAATCCTCGAAAGTAAGAAAATTATCTTCTTTCTTGTAACAATTATTATTATTTCGAAGTCGGTGTTGGCTCAGGAAAATTTCACTAATCTACCTCGGCACATACCATTTTATATCTGAGATGTCTTAAACCTAGTTACGTTTAAGTTCCTATTTAGGCCTAACCGAAATAAAAAAAACATAAGACAAGAGAACATCCTTTTTGAAGTCGGTTAAAAAGATATAAGTAATATCAGATTTCATAGATTAAAAAAAATAATTCCAGAGTAAGGTGAAAGAATGGCGTAAGAACTACCAAACGATGAGAGATAAAATGACCGGTGGTGCGCAGAGAGGTAAACAGGCACAAAAAAAGACAAAGTTTGATGATAAAAAGGTAAAAGATACACTGGGTAAGGGGAAGAGGAAGGCTGGTGCAGGGGACGGAGAAGGCAGCGGAGTGAAGAGGAAAAAGGAGAACGAGATGGCAGATAACAAAATGAAAGGGAATAATAGTGGAGTGAAGAGGTCTCATGATAATGAGAAAGAAGGTATTATATTATTATTTTGAATAAATATTTATACTATTAATACTTGCTAATAAAATAATATTTACTAATTGTTAAAATTATTTATCGAACAATAAATGAATATATTTTATAGTTTGCTACTAATTTAGATATAAGAAATAAAAAAAATCTTTCTTTTGTACATTAACTATTAGACTTACATTACTTCTTTTTAAAAATGTCTGAAATAAAATTGGTTTTAAGCACTTTAAATTTTCTAGGCAAAGATAACAAGCGACAACGGACAGATAGTTCCTCCAGTGGGCCTGTGTCTGCGGACAGGGAGGCTTGCACGTTGTTTGTTAGCAATCTAGATTTTAAGTAAGTTGCTTGGTATTTTTTCTAACTTGGTATTGTTAGAAAAATATAGGATACTTAATTTATGACAGTAGACAAGATGCCATGCATTATAAACATGCCAGTGAAACAAACCTCTCAAAATAAAAAAAATAATTAGATTTACCTGTGTTCTTTTTCTACATCTATGCCAAATTTCAGCGAGATCTGTATGGCCGTTCTGGAGATACCAAGTAACAAATATCCATCCAAACTGATTTGAAAGATTGAAAATCCAATGTTTGATTCCTATGTTTCATTCATTTAGAAAAACATACCCTTCCACAGAAATTATAATATTTGTTCAAGTATTTCGGCAGTGGAAACTCACGTTGAAACATTTAAATATATTTTTTTTTATATATAATACATTAAAAACTTTAAAAACAGTTTTTTTTTATTTTTATATTATATTTTTTCTGTATGTAGAGTGAACGAGCAGAATCTTCGTGACAAATTGTCAGAGTTTGGGGACATCATGTCTTTACGAGTGAAGGCGGGCGTCAAAGCCTTCGGTGGCTCCATCTGTTATTGCCAGTACAAGACTCCGGTATTTATTTTTTTTTCGTTTTTGGCTTACCCACATTATTTATAAAATGGGTATGGGTTGAATAAAAAAACTTAGAAGCCTATGTGTTCTTCCAGACTATATGTTATATGTTCTATATATGTACCAAATTTTAGCGAGATCTTTTGAGCTGTTATGGAAATATATTCTTATAATCATCCATCCATCCATCAATACATACATCCAAATATTCGCATTTATAAAAAGTAAACTCTATGACAAGGCTCAAAAATCTTGATATTGCTGTATGGAGAGGTAAAAAAATCTGATAAATTCTTTTTTTGGATTTCGGCTTTACTTTTTTATTACTTATCTAGCTGTTGCCCGCGACTCCGTCCTGACTGAATTAAATAAAAACTTAATTAGTAGCCTATATGTTCTACCAGATTATGTTCTACATCTATGTCAAATTTCAGCAAGATCAATTTAAATGAAAAAAGAAATGAAAAGAGAAACCTTCTAACAAACATTCATATTATGTTATATTTATTCCAGGAATCAGTAGAAGAAGCAATCAAACATGACCGCACACCATTAGACGGACGACCAATGTTTCTATCAAAGTACTCAGTTAATAAATCCAAGTCGTTCAAATACGCGACAACAGCGGAGAGGAACAAACTGTTTGTACGTAACTTGCCCTACGATCAGTGCACTAAGGAAGCTCTCACCAAAGTGTTTGATAAGTACGGCACCCTTAAAGATGTCAGAATTGTCACTTTCAAGTAAGTATTTATCTGTGTCATTTAAAATAGGCATTACTAGTATAGTTCCAGTATATCTGCGAGCCTTCGATAGCGATTCCATAATAAATTTCAAAAATTTATAAAACTGACAATAATTTTAAAGCTTGTTATGTATTTTTTGATAATGAAATGAGGGCGTTAGTGAGCCATCATAATTTATTTATGCACACTGAGTCAGATTACTTTATCGTTCTACATAGACTGAAAAACTTATAAATTTTCTAAAAACGTTGTAAATATATATTTAACATCTTTTTTTTTAATTAGGGACGGGAAACCTAAAGGTCTAGCGTACATAGAATACGAAGACGAGGCGAGTGCATCTGAAGCATTGAAGCAGACTGACGGGCTCCAGCTGGGCGACAGGAAGCTGCAGGTGGCAGTCAGCGAGCCGCCGCCCAAGCCCAGCACAGCGCCCACGCCCACGCTGGGACAGGCTAAACGAGATGTCGCGGGAGGCATGTGAGTATACATGGTTTTTGCCCAGTCAAGAACAAGCCCACGCCCACTTTGGGACAGGCCAAACGAAAAGCCGCGGACGGCTTGGGAGTATATATATTATTTGCCCACTATCAAGTAAGCCTACGCCCATAAAAATTTAGTTTTGTCTTAATTGATTTCAAATTCATTGTTTTTAATGTAATATTATAAATGTTTTTTATTCTTAAACGATCGTAAAATCGTCATATAATTTAAAAAAAAAATGTGTACACCAAGGGACACAAAATGGCGGATAATAGCTATAAAATGTCGTATTTATTTAAAATGAACAAATTAAATATCTGTTTTTGTAGGCGACGGACGCAATTGAGCAGTTTTATACCAAGCGTGCTTCAGAAGCCCTCCACAAGTAAGGCTGCCAACGGACAAGGCAATGGACATGACGAGAAGAAACCACTATCAAACACTGACTTTAGGAACATGCTACTTAATAAGTGAACTGTGGGCGTGCCAGTGCACACACCGAAAACATAAATCTATTTTAAGCATAAATTCATTAAAACATTGGTCTAAACGAATAATCTCTGTCAAAATATTTAAAAAAATCTTGAATTTGCGCCATCTATCGGTTTAATTGTGAAAAATGCTTGGTCATTTAAGACAGTGATTTTTTTTCTTAATGATTCAATATAATCTTAAAGTTTTTTTTTAATGAGGATTACATACATTCTCTATATTACTTAAAATGTCATTATTTGTAAAAATTACTCGGATTTTAAGGAAATAATTAGGTTTAAGGTATTTTGGTTTAACTCAAAAAGTTGCGTGAAAATATGTGACTCTTTTTATTGGTCATTAACCAATGCTTGTTTTATTTTTTGTTATTATTATAAGCAAAAAGTATAAGTACGAGGTATACTTCATCATCAGCTCACTATACGTCCTCACTGAGGGGCTCGGGAGTCTACCCTAAGTTAAAGGTGATTAGGTCATACTTAAATACATATATACTTACAATAATTGAAAACACTTTTGATGTTCTTTATTTTCATTGATACACTGAGTGTTTCTTAGTGTTTCCCGTTGGACTAAATATGCAGAATATTTCCATTAGGATGAAAGGTAAGTCGTTCGGCCAACGGAATTTTTTTTGTGGATACATGTATGTAAATGTCTTATACTCTCTATGGGTAAATAAATAACACTAATCTTTGTCGAATTATTGCTCGGTAGAATGACAACTGTCACTACTGTCAAAGTGATGTCAATGTCAAATTAGAAACTAAATTATCTTTTTTTACGATAAATTCTAATTTAATCTTCCAAAAAAGCATTAAAACCCAGAAAACTATAAACAGGTTTTGATCTCTTCATAAATATCTATGAAGTTTTGTGTCTGAAGTTATATTTCGAAAATAAGGTTATCCGGAGTGTGCGAGCGAGATGGATGTATACGATAGGCAAAGGTGCGACAGAGATAGATGTCTTTTAGTAATATTTCTCTTCAATTAATAGTTTAAGTATTCTTTTTAAGTAAATTTAACCAATTTACTGAAATTCAATACACGAAATACGCTGGTTGTATTCGCAATAATTTCGATTTTACCTTTTAAGATAAAAAAAAATATTTTCTTTAAAGTTTTTGCCTTCGATGAGTGATTTTTGTTGCCTATAATTACTCATCTAAAACTTATATAGCTATAAGAATGTAAAGGAATAAAAATATTTGTAACAATGATGTGTTTAATTTCAAATTTATTAAATTACTTATTATTCGGGTTAAAAATAATCTTGAAATACCTTTGTTTTTGTATCCATGTTGCATATAATGAAAACCTGTGGTTTTAGATATATGTGTAGACCTACAACGATATCTGAACCGGTGGGTATAAGTCAAACTACATTGTGACAGCTATAACGCCCTCCTGTCAACGTCAAAATGTCAAGATCCTCTGTATTGTATCTGTCGTGTCATTTTTTTTCTTTTATGGCATTTTGTGCCTAAATAGGTTTTATATATTCTATGGCAGTACTTACCGCGATATCAGCGCCTCTTACCGGTTCAGATATCCTTCTTTGATATGTTAAAATTCAGGTATTAATAAAACACAGGTGACAGTAAAATATAATTTTTATTTATAAAAATACAATCTCAAAAGAGACTATATAATCTATGTACACGACAAATATTACATTGGGTATACATATAAGCGCAGCTATAAGAAAAAAACATTTCTAAAAGCGACAAAACTTTGTACTAAGGGGCTATAAATTCTCGAAAGAAATATAAAATTATGCATCATTATTCGTTGCGTTTATCACAACAACATCGTTAATCGTGCCACTTATTTATAAGTTACCCCAAAAATTAGTTCACATATTACTGAAATCGACAAAAAACGATCCGAAATCGATTTTATTCGTTTTAAGCAACGAACAAATAATCGATTAGATCTGACCACTTTCATCTAACAATTGGTCATTTTATTAGCACCATTAGACCAACAAGAACTACAAATAATGCAGTTTCCAAAACTACAAGACTAGACATCTAAAACACAATAACATTAGTAAAACACATTTAACCGATTGAATTATTTTCAACATTATGTTGATAAATGATATTGGCACCATTTTTCATTTAAAAATATTTCTAAAATATAACAACACATTTAAAAAAATAGTTTAGTTGTCAGTTTCGAAAAAAAGTATTTTTAACACTGGCAACTCCAGTTAACTTGACATTTCAACAACAAAATGGCAGCAACATACAAGTTGTACTGTTTAGGTTACTATTTTAGTAATGCTTGAATAAATGGAAATGTTATATTATTATGATAGGTTAATACAATTTTAATTACGTAGTTTTGCACATAAAATAATACTAAATACTTTATATTTATAATTATTTGATATAATTCAGATTTTGCGCAAATAACATTTTTAAAAATGATATGACACATATTTTACGCACTACACTTGCAGATGCTCCTCATTTGTTAAATTATTTATTGTTAATTGTGCTCTGATCTGGCGTGAGAGGGACAAACACATGCGAAAACTAAAGTGCGACAGAGACAAACTATCATGACGTATTAAAGTACGCGTAGCAAATAGTGGCAAAGAGCAAGCGGCCACTTAAAATCGCCAAAACAGTAAAGTGACCGTTGCCCATAGACATCTGCATTTAAGATGTGTTGCTTTATTCGACAGAGGAGGGAACGCATAGAAAGATGATAAATAGTTCTACTTAAAGTATACAATATTATATACTTTTAGGACGTTCAATGTATACAGTAGGTATGGTATGGTTATTTATATTTAATATCACGAAATTCTTTGATGAGTTAATGCTAATATGGTCCGAAAATTTGAATTACCAGATTACATTTTCGGTCGGTAATAGATTTACGATGAGATTTTAATAGACACGTTAAAGAATATTTTATCGTTAAAAATGAACAAGCAGGAATTTACGACTTTACTGACACAAAATGTAGTATTGAATTACGAAAAATGAAATGTTTAATTTCCGAATTGTCGTAAAAGGGATATGTAAGTATTCATTCCCTTAGAATTACTTGAGCAAGACATTGAAACACGTGTTCCAAATAAAGTTAGCAATGGATGGAAAATAACTTTCTCACAATATAAATAAGGCAACAAATCATTCGATGTGTTTTCCATCCTTCCATTTTTTCTTCGATCGTTCGAATGCTTCTATTATACAAGCCCTGTAGAGAAACAAATACTTAAATAAAAGACCCATACAGTAGCCACGTAGTAGGGCTAAGTTGGGCAACCGCCCAGGGCGTTGGGCATAAGAGGGTGTCGCAGGCACCAGACTCCGATATAAAAGGAGGCCTGTAGTGCCCTCAAAGAAACCATATCTTTGGAAAATTTCCCCCGACACCAAAAAATCTCGCCCGTCGGAAGTGCTAAAACCAACCCTAGACTTATATTATTCGACTGATAAGTAGGTAATGTTTTACCTGAAAACCGACTGGTGCAGGATGTAGGCGGAGACATGGCCAGCGTCCACGTAACGCACCTCAGCGCCTGGCCAGATCTCCTCCAGCCGGCCTACGTCCTCACGAGGAACGTACGCATCATGTTTGGCACACACCGCTATAAACAACACAAAAAAACTATAATTAAGATTTCCTGTAGCCAAAAACTAAGCCCCCGTGGAGCAGCGCTTAAGGCAAGAATTGAATACGTCCTGGGTTCGATCTCCGTCCTGTCATCCCTAACCGACATATGCATTAAAATTATTTGAATAACTTGGTAAATTACATTTAAAACATAAAATAAAACTTAAAAATAAATTGCTTAAGTTAATTGACATATTTTTTTAATATTGTTCTATTAAAAAGTTAAGTAATGTGTCAAAAATCTTTGCTTAGTGTTGCCACAACTTAACTGATATATTGGTATGACCAGATCATGAGTACTATTAAGATTTAAATATTTTTTTTAAATTAAAACATTTTAGGTATGAAAGTTATAGAATTTGTTAGTACTTACCAATAATTAAAGAAGTATCATATGGCACGGAGAAATTGCTCAAATGAGTGCATTCGTCCATTATCCCCCTCATGAACTGTAGCGCCTCTCTGTCCCTCCAATGTATTTTACCTATATCTATCTTCTTCCCTGATTTCAAAAATGGTAAATTCGTCCAAAAATCCGATGTCATTTCGGATACATTCCATGATTTCTTTTCCGATTTTTTATCGATATGTACAATTTCATTTCGTGTTTGTTCCGTTTCTTTTGATTTTTCTGTATTTGTTTTGACAGATTTCAAAGAAGATTCATTTCTAGATATTTCGCTGGTAATTAATTTTTCCGTTTGTTTCAATTTTGCGTTATCCAAAACTTTTTCTGGCGATTTTTGTATTTTATCAGAATCACTGGCTGAAAATAAAAATAAAATTTTTTTGACATTTCATATTTCAAAAAAATATATATTCCAAAGACCAAGTGTTCCAGTCCCAATACACATACAACGAACGAACGAAACATACAAAATAAAATAATAAACATATGATATGTGTTCAGTACAGAACAAGAAAATAAAAAACTGTTGGAAATATCTTAGATTCGCGTTTAATTAGAAGAAGTACATTAGTGCGACATGTGTGCGCTTGAGTGCGAGAATTGCGAGAATGAATCGAATGAAAGAGTGAGTGCTTGAAGTTGAGTGACGTCGCCCCCGCGCCGCTCGGCTAGGTGTCAAGTTCGGCGCAGACATCCTCCGGGGCCTTGAAGGCGATAGCCTTCAAGACAGGTCTTCTTCCGAGGAGGGTAGAAAGCATAGTCTGTTGAGTGCCCTTCGCACGGTCCCTTGAGAAGTGACGACGTCAGCGACACGAGGGACATCATCAGGACCAGGATACAACTTGTTGACTCGACCGAGGCGCCAACATAATGGAGGTGCATTGTCCTCCTTTACAAGGACAAGATCGTCGATCTTCAAATGTCTTGATTCAGCGCGCCACTTCGAACGTTGTTGTAGTTCCGCAATGTATTCGTTAGTCCAACGTTTCCAGAAGTGTTGCCTTATCTGCTCTAAGTGCTGAAATCTGCTGAGTCGATTGGCGTTGCAGTCCAGGAAGCTTGGTGACGGTAGCGAAGTAAGCGGCCTGCCAATCAAAAAGTGTGCCGGGGTGAGAGGTTGGAAATCATTAGGCGAGGGACTGAGGGGACACAAGGGTCGGCTGTTTAGGATAGCCTCGATTTGAGCAAACAAAGAAGTCAGCTCCTCAAAGGTTAAATGACTATTTCCTAAGACCCTACGAATGTGAAATTTAGCGGATTTTACTCCAGCCTCGGCTAAACCGTTGAAGTGAGGAGCGTATGCAGGTGAGAATTTAAAATCGATACCTCGAAGAGCTGCATAATCATAAATAGTGTCAATATTTGACTGTAAAAAAGATGAAATTTCTTTAGACGCGGCAACGAAATTCCTACCGTTGTCACAGTAAATTAGTTTAGGCAAACCTCTGCGAGCTATAAATCGTTTTAGCGTTAAAATAAAAGCATCCTTACTTAATTCGCTGACGGCTTCCAAGTGAACGCATTTGTAACGAAAGCATATAAAAATACACAAATAACATTTAGTTATTTTACATCCGCGGCCCTTTCGATCACTGATCAAGAACGGTCCAGCGAAATCAGTACCAACGGTATTAAATGGAAAATCTGGCTCAACTCTTTCGTTAGGCATATCGCCCATTATGTTACTCATCGTCGTACCTTTGAAACGACGACAAACTAGACAGTTACGAGTTACCTTTCTTGCCAAGTTACGGCCACCAAGAGGCCAATAGCGGTCTCTAATTGAAGCTAGAACGTGTTGGGGTCCAGCGTGTAAAAGACGCTCGTGTTCATTTTGAAATAAAAGTTTTGTCAATAAATGTTCAGACTTTAAAATAATAGGGTGACGTTTGTCGTAAGAATAGGCGGAAGAATCGATTCTACCTCCTGCTCGAAGCAGTCCATCCGAGTCAAGAAAAGGGTTTAAGGAAGAGAGAGATGACTTTGTTGAAAGAGTTTTTTTAGACTTTAACCTAATAATTTCATTAGAAAAGGATTCGTTCTGAGCTTGGGTGATAATGAGCTGTAGGGATTTATTAAGTTCATCCACGTGCAGACAGCCAGTTAGTTTATTGTTAGGATTACGGCAGTTGTGTAAAAATCTAATAACTCTTGCATAAGTTCGTTGTAAGGTACGAAATTTAGAAAATCTTTTAAAATCTATCACAGGAGATGTCGTTATTATTTCCGCTGACAAAGTAGAAACCGTCTTCAACTCTGGCAAATCGAAAACGGGTGAAATTTCTTGAGGCCATAGATGATCGGGTTGCAAAAGAAAGGAAGGGCCATGCCACCAAAGATGACAACTTACTATATTTCGTGGATCTACACCTCGAGACGCGAGATCAGCGGGATTTTCGTTGGTAGGAACGTGACGCCATTGTGACAATTGAGTAAGTTCTCCTATAGCGGCAACTCTGTTGGCAACGAAAGTTTTAGTTTTGTTAGGTGACCTTAACCAGCCTAAGACCACGCTTGAGTCCGTCCAGTATATATGTCGATCGACAGAACGACGCAAGGCCTTAGTAACTGAAATGCTGAGTTGTGCTCCGAGCAACGCAGCACATAGTTCTAATCTTGGAATTGTAGTCGCCTTTAAGGGGGAAACTCGTGCCTTGGCTGTTATTAAATTAACTTGAACTTTATTATTTGAGTCAATAGATTTAATATAAATACAGGCTCCGTAGGCTTGCTGAGAAGCATCGCAAAAACAATGCATTTCAGCTATTTTAGAATTTTGGATTAAAACTAGTCTTGGTACTTTGAGAGATGAAATATAGTGCAGTTGGTTAGAAAATTTAAGCCAAGTGGCAAGAATATCTTGAGGGATCTCGTCATCCCAGCCTATTTTAAGAAGCCATAGTTTTTGAATAAGAATTTTTGGTTTTATTGTACATAGGGATAGCAATCCAAGAGGGTCAAATATTTTAAATGTACTAGATAAAATTGATCTTTTAGTAATGTTCTCAGGCGGGGAAAAATTAACTTGAAAATTTAAGTCATCTGAAGAAGGAGACCAACCGATACCCAGAGTGCTTGTAGAATAACTGATAATTAAGTTACCTTCTTCTGGATTTATCAAATCGGACATAAACAACTCGGGAACGTTAGAACGGTATTTTCTTAGATGAAAACAACCTTTTGTCAGTTCATCTGACACAGCACGCTGAATGTGACGAAGCTCCGCGACGGAGTCAGATCCTGTAAGCAAATCGTCACAGTAAAAATCCTGTTGTATTATATTTTTTATTTTGTCGTCGTCACATTCCTCGCCCAACTGCCAGATGCATCTAGTACTTAAGAAACTCGCACTGGAAAAACCGTATGTCACCGTATTTAAACGTAAAGTACGTAAAGGGTCATTTTCGTTTTCCCGCCATAGAATAAGTTGTAGGTCACGATCTGACTCTCTTAAGCTAACCTGACGATACATCTTTTCTATATCGCCCGATAATATATATTTATATTGGCGGAAGCGAATTAAAATATTAAAAAGTGAGTCTTGTATTGTAGGCCCTATCATTTGTAAGTCATTAACTGATAAACCTGACGTAGAACGAGCCGATGCATCGAACACGACACGTAATTTAGTTGACTCGCTCTTTTCT